ACGGCCCGGGGGGCTAACTTCCAGGAGGCGGCGCGCCTGGCCGCCACGGGAGTTTCCCTGGTGGTCGGGCGCATTGAGGCGTTGGGTTTGCGGGTGGCCCTGGATAAGACGGAGGCCCTATTATTTCATGGGCCCCGTCGTGGTCCACCCGCCGGCGCCTCAATCGAGGTCGGCTCGGTCCTCGTACCGGTCCGGGCCCAGATGAGGTACCTGGGTCTGGTCCTAGACGGTAGGTGGCTCTTCGACGAGCACTTCCGACAGCTTGGTCCGAAGCTGGTGGACACTGCCTCCGCCCTAGGGCGACTTTTGCCCAATTTGGGTGGGGCCAGTGTTCCCACGAGGCGGCTGTACGCGGGGGTTGTCCGGTCCATGGCGCTTTATGGTGCACCGGTGTGGGTGGCGGCTCTGACCGCCCCGAATAGGGCGCGCCTCTGGCGCCCCCAGAGGATATTGGCGGTCAGAGCCATACGCGGATACCGCACGGTGTCCACCGAGGCGGCTTGCGCCTTGGCCGGAACACCCCCGTGGGATTTGGAGGCGGAAGTGCTCGCCGAAGTTTATCGGCGAGTGGCTGACTTCCGGGCGGAGAGCGGATTTCGCCCTCCGCCCGAAGACGTGCGCGAGTGGCGCGAAGCCGCTCGCCGAGCCACTATGGTGAGATGGTCGTTCCGGCTGGAGACTCCACGCGCTGGCTTCGCCGCCGTGGAGGCTCTCCAGCCGGTCATCGCCGAGTGGGCAGGGCGGCAGCACGGGACCCTTTCCTTCCGGCTGACGCAGGTGCTTTCCGGGCACGGTTGCTTCGGAAAGTACCTGTACTCGGTCGCTAGGAGGGAATCGAGTCCCGCCTGCCACCACTGCGACTGCGGTGAGGATTCGGCCCAGCACACGCTGGCGGTTTGCCCCGCATGGGCGACGCAGCGCCGGGCCCTCACTGCAGTCATCGGCGCAGATCTCTCGCTACCGGCCGTAATTCGCTCCATGGCCGGTAGCGACAGTTGTTTTACCGCGGTCGCAACCTTCTGCGAGGAGGTAATCTCGCAGAAGGAGGCGGCGGAGAAGGCCCGGGAGGACGACCTCCACTCGGACCTGATCCGCCGCCGGCGAACCGGGCGGCGGAGGCGCGCTCACCTGCGCCTCATGCCGCCCTGAGTGTGGCCGCGGGTGGACGGGATGGGTTCTCCCCTCCACCCGCATTAGTTGGCCAGCCGCGAGGGGGCGGCGTCCGCGTGTGCCGGACGCCGCCTAAAGAGAGGGTCCACTGAGACGGAGCCCGCGCCAGGAGCGGGCCGGCGCTGGGAGGGGTCCAGAAGGAGATAGCTACCTGGACCCCTCCTAAACTGGAAGCGCAAAGAGGGCACACCGTGTGGTTTTAGTCGGTTCGAGTCCGACACACCGCCCCGCCGAACGAGAGCCCCGGCGGGGTGACGGTCCGAGGGGATTTCCACACGTAAAAAAAAAAAAAAAAAAAAAGGGTTTTTTTCTTCTCTCTGCAGTGCTGGTGTCCTGCGTATTTCGCTCCCTTAGTCGGCTCTTACGTCAATCTGAGTCAATTGCCTGCGTTTTAATGTGCTGAGTTTAGAGTTTTCATAATTCAGTTCGGGTGCGAGCAACAAAGTTTCTTCTATCAAAAAGTGACCCGGTGTCAATGGGTATGGATCATCAGGATGAGTGCTGATAGCCGGAATGATTTAGAGTTTGAGCAGGCCTGTATTTGGGCCAACACTGTACTCAGTTCCTCAAAGGTAAGTGTACTCGTACCGATTATTCTTTTAAGGTGAAATTTGGTTGACTTCACCCCGGCCTCCCAAATCCCTCCAAAGTTTGGAGAATGGGGAGGGATAAATCGCCAGCTTGTTCCATTGGTTGCCAACCAATTGGCTAATTTAGGTGCTACAACGGACCCTTGATGAGTAAGCAATGCCGTTAGCTCCTTGTTAGCTCCTACGAATGTGGTGCCGTTGTCACTCCACAACTCAATATACGTATACTGCCCTCTACGAGCTATAAAACGTTTAACCGCTGCTAAAAAGGCCTGCGATGTGCGATGTGGCCATGCGCACAAACAAACAAATGTAGCCCTTAGTTGTATGATGATCACGTTCCTCCGCCGACCTAATGCTAATGGGACATGCGTAGTCAACACCACTCCTAGAAAATGGTCGGCTGGCATTGACTCTTACTGAGGGCAACGACCCCATTAATGAAGATTTGGACCGAGCGGCGTATCGCATGCAGACCACGCACCTTCTGATGTATTGTTTAACAACGCTCTTTACACTTATTATCAAATACTTGGATCTCAAGTAATTGAGAACCAACTAAGGTCCACCATGCAAGGTACGCTCATGTGCATCCACTATTAAAAGGTGAGTCAAGTGAGACTTACGAGGAAGTATGATAGGATGCTTAGCGTCTTCGTGGAGGTTGGCTTTCTACAACCTGCCGCCAACTCTCAAAACCTGCTCATGATCCAAGTAAGGATTGAGCGAGGTAAGTGCCCCTTTCTTGTCTAGTTCTCCCCTTAAGCCTTCAATCCTACAGACTTTAAACTTAGACAATATGATCGAATATGTAGATGTCCCTGACTACTATCTTGATCAGGTTAGAAACATATTGTTGAACAGCAACCTAGATATACGTAGTGTGCCCAACATCCTAAATTACATAGTGAGCCAAATGGACAAGAGGTTCCGCTACCTACCAATACTAAAAGGTCTAAGCCCAGACTTTATATACATCTCTCACGCATTGTTACAACCGCAGTATAGGGCATCAGCATTGATGGCGGACTCACCTGTTGACAAAGGCCAGAATAAAAGTATCACTGAGTTATGCATCAATATTTTATACTTCTGTAGAACAAACAACATTCCTTATTACCGAATAAAAGAATATTTCATCTTTCACATTTCATAATTATCCTGTAGTAAAAATTCTTCATTCGACAGATGAAAACAAATTCACTAGGTTCGTAAAAGGATGTTTAGGTCTTGAAATAATACCCGTTATAGAGAAACCACCCATAAAGTTTTATCCTAAGCAAAGTAAGATATTTGAGACTCTCCATATGAACAAAGCGGGTGTAGAGTTCAGAAGATATAACGGCGAAGAAATGGTGTTTTTCGAGAGCAGCACTTCAAAGGGATTTTTTGTTCATAATGCAGACGCACTACTGACCATAACAATAAACAGAACTAACATAAAAAACTTGGCATTTGTTTTGGGGCAAATAGCTGTTTTCATGACTAAAGGGTTCGAATATACCAAAGGCCACACAATAAGAATGATAAAAACGCACATTGCGAAACTGTACTCAAACTCTTGGTGGACATTACTTGGAATGACAGAAAGTATGGTACGAACAATAAAACATGAAATTGAGAAATTAATTAATTAATTTCTTACCTTAAGGTATTTATTTCTGAGCCAAAATATTCCCTTTGACACATTTTTAAACAAGGGAGTAAAGCGCCTTGAATTTCCTTATTTGATAGAAAATTTGTACATTTTGACCCCGCCTTAGTTAGATTTTTTAAATTTCAGAAACCGTTTACAAAGATGAATACTTGGTAAACATAGCATCCTCCCTCGTTTCAATTACTACAGCATTTCATGAAATTATGGACCTTCTTTCCTCAAGGTCTCTTTAATTCTCTCCTACTATAAGTTATGTCTTTATTTTTCAGCCAACTAGGTCCTTGGCTCCACAGCTCAAGATCGGCGTGCTCAGAAGGACTTACACCGAGTGAAGCACAGTCTGCAGGGTTGTCCCCCTAGGACATGCGACCATTACCTGATCTCCATGGTGGTAAGTATATCAGACACTCGATTCTCTACAAAAGTTTTCCAGCAGCTGGGGTGACTACTCAACCAGGCGAGAACTACTGTTGAGTCAGTCCAGGCGTGAGTATTTTCCTTACAGCTACTTCATACATTTTGATCCGTTATTTACCACTTTGTATGAAATAGTTGATTTTTTTTCCACTTTTATTGAGGGACAACAACTTAAATTCTATTGTTTTGCCAAGGCATTGCGGCAGCCGGCGAAATAAAATAAGATTTGAACGTATCCCTTACATGAAAAGTCTCTCTTGAAGCATTTAAACCGACAGCTGGTAAATCGTCGTATGCTGCAAGAGTTTGGTTTGTGCTTGCAACTTCTGCAAACAAAGTTTCTTTGTTATATTTGTTTATAAAATTATGAAGAATACAAGTAGAAAATATTATATTATCAACATTTTTTGGTAAAGCTTTAATGCGTCTCTTATAAATTCGGAATTTTGATGTCAACTGTCCAAATGTGTTGTCCACTACCCTCCTTGCACGAGATAAACGAAAGTTGAAAATTCGCTTAACGATGCTCAAATTGGTCCCTGAATACGGTCGCATTAAATAAATTTTGAGAGGTAAAGCTTCGTCTCCTACAAGAACATTTGGTGCTGTTGTTGAACTGCCTGGTAGATACGAAGCTTCAGGTAAAGTCAAGTTGTTTCTTTGAAGTTCTTTTCCCAGACTAGAGTTAGCAAAAATTCCTCCATCACTATTCTTTCCATAAGAACCAACATTGACAGTTGTAAAATTATAATTGGCACAACTAACGCCATAAGCACAAATGAGAATGTTTTTTTTATAGTTGAAGTATAGTGATCCACTGTTAGGCGGTGACTGGATGTTAAAATGTTTTCCATCAAGAGCTCCAATGCAATTTGGAAAATTACGAGTACAAAGTGTATTGAAGTCGTCAGCTATTGATTTCCACGTCTCATTTGTTGGCCTATTTGTGTCAACACATTGACTAGTTTTCGTTACAATTTCTTGCACAGTACTAAACCCCATTCGATAGCTTAACGCAATTGTTTTAAACGAATCTCCTGTTGTCAGGAATCTGTAACAAACAAAAATGTTAAATTATCTGTTTTATTATCTTTTCAGCAAAGGTGTGCAAATCGCCGTGGAATAATATTCGGGATCAATACCGTAAATCCATAAAGAATACAGCAATGAGAAGTGGCCAAAGACGTGAATCACAAAAACATTATAAGCAGTTGTCATTTCCTCGGCCGTATTTTCAAGAAAGAGAAACAATTAGCAATATAAGTGCTCAAAGTGAAGATAGTACATTAGATACGGATTTAAACAGTGGTTCTCCACACTCTGCACAGTCTCCATCAGTTTTGAGGGACGAAGAAGTGATAATATCTATTCCATCGCCAGTTCATACATCCCATCGAACAGGATCACTTTCACCAGCTCAGGAAACAACTGACAAACCAAAGTCTACTGCTGCTACTTTGTTGGAGTATGTATTAAAGAAAAATCAAAATAACACTACAGAGGAAAATCCAATTGACAAGTTTCAATCTTACACCGTATTACCAAAACTTAGCTAAGACTGACATATTTAATATTGTACAAAAGTATGAAATAAACATGTTTACGACATATGGAAGTACAAAATGTTGAAAATGATGTACAAATAATTTTTGAGACAAGTACCCCATCTGCCGGCACAGGACGTAATTTACAAGTGCAAGAAGAATTACCAGAAATTACACATCCAAGTCCATCTACATCTACAAGTGCCCCAACGAGTATGCAAGGAGAATCAGCAGAGACTGTAACTTTATCCGAGAGTATTCTGAATCCTACAAATAATCGAAATTCTTCTAAGGATACAGAAAACAAAAATGTACATGAAGATGACTCCACCTTAGAACAGTACTTTTCCCAATTTCAAGCCTAATTAAGTAATTACAAATACTTTTTAAATATAATTTGATGTGTAAAACCCCTTTGATCAATAACTAAAAATTACATTACATTTAAAATAAAATAATTTTATTTTTACACTTACCTTAACGTAACAGCGAGTCTTTCCATTGGCGATATAGATTGTCTCCAGTAAGTATCTTTTTTCTCAAACCATCTTGTAGCTTTTGTAGTAGCAATTGAAAAGTAGATTCTGACATTTTGAAGTAATCATAATAATATTTAGGGTGTCTCGTGAGTTTCAGGCATAATGTGTTGTATTCTCCTGCAGTTTCTCTATCTTCCCACAGCTCACAAATACGTTTTATTGCCTGCTGATAGTCTTCTTGGTCATCTGCTTCTTCTTCATCTAGCGCTATTGCAATCATTTCTAACTCTTCTTGGTTAAACAAAGACATCGTGAAGTTTGCGTATCAGAAAGGAACCGATTACACTGATACCGATTTCTCTGATACGTGTGAACACGGGTGACTGCTGGCACGTCCCTGAGGGGAACACTGAAACGGACAACTCGGAACACGGATAGATCTGACCCGGAAATGTGTGGATAGCGCTTTAGAACAAATGATCATGCTCATCACAGCATTATTTGTCCTGGGTAGGAACCAACAGATGAGTTATAAATATACAAGTAACCTCAAAGTATAAAAATAAGTTAGTATGCACCCAACTACTTTCAGTTTTTTCTAATTTAATTGTAATGTAATTCAGTGAGTTCCTTACAATTTATGTGGTTTAATACTTTAATGTTTACATGCTAAAGGATCTAGCCGGTTAAGCATATGAAAACTGCACTCGCGTCTGATGAAGGGTTATAGATCCTTTCATATTATTTGTAATACTTAAATTTGTACCGTCCACTTTTTTAACAAAAAAGTTAAAATACTTTATTGTTTTAGATATTAACTGCCCTGTCATTTTATGGTACTGGGTCCTATCAAAGACTAATTGGAGACATCAGTGCACATAGCATGGCGCAACAGACTGTCTCAACAGTGATAGTCATTGAGTTATATCTGTGATCATAGATCAGACAATGATAAGTGCATTTTTGCTCAATACGACTTATTAATAAAGGTATAATCGCCAAAAAATGCTCTTTCATTTGGTCACATCAGGATAACTACATGCAAAATATTACTGTTGTATTGAATACTAATCAGATTGTGATAACTTTCATATTTCAACTTTTGTTTTGGTCATATTGCGTTAAGTGATTTTATTTAGATCTGACCGAAAGGACAATGCGCTTTTTATTGATCAGAATATGACAAAAGCACACTTATCAACTTATGATCAAAAATTACTTGGTTAGCGGGAAACATGTCATAACGTGTCGTGTCACTATTGTTTCGCGTACCGCACATTTCATAGTTTATTGTTAGTTTTCGTTATGACGCCGGTAAAAGAACATTAAGATAGGTTATAATTACTGTTAAAATGATGAGTGCTCGCTGTAAGAAGTTGTTGGAGTTAGCTATGAGACAAGAAGATCCAGAGGTATGTTTATCATTATTTTGATTGTTATTTTATTCAAATCGCGTCAGTGTGCATTGCGAGAGTAAGTAGGCATTTTAGTGAGCAATATTGTAATAGTTGATATGACTGTTTGTGCCTAGTATATTATATAAAATACTGGCACCCGGGCCTAACGTTGTTTTTTTTTCATTTTAGGATTTAGCTGTGAAACAATGTATGAGAGAACGTACTCCATTAGCTCAGAAGGATATCTTGCAATCTTTGCCCGGCCCGTCGGGTAGTCAAGTAGCTCAGCAGGATATTTTGTCATCTCTGCCCGGTCCGTCAGGTACTGCCATAGCTCAGCAAGATGTTTTGCAATCTCTACCCGGCCCATCAGGTAATCGAGCTAATAGTTCTGATCGTACTTCTCTCGGTGAAGATTATAGTTCTGATGACGATGTGCAGGATTGTAATTGATTACCTGCTGGTACACATGTAGAACACGTCTCATCAGCGTCATCTAGCAAGACATCTACCCCTAGAAGCATTAGAAGCATTGCGGTCCCAGCATTGGTTTCTGAAACACAGGATGACGTTAGAAGAAAAAGGAAGCGTGGTGTCGGTATGATGCAAAGAAAACTCCGTAAAGAAAGAACAGAAAAAAATAAAAAGGGGGAAGAATACATAAATCAAGCTGGGAAAAAAATATTGGGTAAATCTGTAGGTGTACTAAAAGAATGCAGATTAAAATGTAAAACAAAATTTACGAATACACAATTACAAAGAGTTTTTGCGGATTATCGCGCTATGGAAACAAGAGATATGCAACGTTTACATTTGAGTAGCCATATATTATTAACACCGCCAATTAGAGTTAAACAGGTTGAAATCAAAAAGAAAAGAGAAGCTGTAGAGTACTTTATTGAAAATGAAGGTAATTTAGTAAAAGTTTGTCAAAACTGTTTTCTTAACGTGTATGGTGAGAATCGTGGTTTTGTGAATGGCATAATTGCCGTAATTCGCTCCATGGCCGGTAGCGACAGTTGTTTTAGTTTGGCCAGCCGCGAGGGGGCGGCGTCCGCGTGTGCCGGACGTCGCCTAAAGAGAGGTAAAATTTTTGAGACCGAGCCCGCACCAGGAGCGGGCCGGCGCCGGGAGGGGTCCAGAAGGCGATAACTACCTGGACCCCCCCTAAAACAAAAGCGCAAAGAGGGCACACCGTGTGGTTTTAGTCGGTGTGGTTTTAGTTTTAATGTGCTGGGATTAGAGTTTTCATAATTCAGTTATAACAAAGTTTCTCCTATCAAAAAGTGACCCGGTGTCAATGGGTATGAATCATCAGGATGAGTGCTGATAGCCGGAAGGGGTTTAGAGTTTGAGCAGGCCTGTATTTGGGCCAACACTGTACTCAGTTCCTCAAAGGTAAGTGTACTCGTACCGATTATTCTTTTACTTTGACGGTTGACTTCACCCCGGCCTCCTAAATGGAGAGGGATAAATCGCCAGCTTGTTCCATTGGTTGCCAACCAATTGGCTAATTTAGGTGCTACAACGGACCCTTGATGAGTAAGCAATGCCGTTAGCTCCTTGTTAGCTCCTACGAATGTGGTGCCGTTGTCACTCCACAACTCAATATACGTATACAGCCCTCTACGAGCTATAAAACGTTTAACCGCTGCTAAAAAGGCCTGCGATGTGCGATGTGGCCATGCGCACAAACAAACAAATGTAGCCCTTAGTTGTATGATGATCACGTTCCTCCGCCGACCTAATGCTAATGGGACATGCGTAGTCAACACCACCCTAGAAAATGGTCGGCTGGCATTGACTCTTACTGAGGGCAACGACCCCATTAATGAAGATTTGGACCGAGCGGCGTATCGCATGCAGACCACGCACCTTCTGATGTATTGTTTAACAACGCTCTTTACACTTATTATCAAATACTTGGATCTCAAGTAATTGAGAACCAACTAAGGTCCACCATGCAAGGTACGCTCATGTGCATCCACTATAAAAAGGTGAGTCAAGTGAGACTTACGAGGAAGTATGATAGGATGCTTAGCGTCTTCGTGGAGGTTGGCTTTCTACAACCTGCCGCCAACTCTCAAAACCTGCTCATGATCCAAGTAAGGATTGAGCGAGGTAAGTGCCCCTTTCTTGTCTAGTTCTCCCCTTAAGCCTTCAATCCTACAGACTTTAAACTTAGACAATATGATCGAATATGTAGATGTCCCTGACTACTATCTTGATCAGGTTAGAAACATATTGTTGAACAGCAACCTAGATATACGTAGTGTGCCCAACATCCTAAATTACATAGTGAGCCAAATGGACAAGAGGTTCCGCTACCTACCAATACTAAAAGGTCTAAGCCCAGACTTTATATACATCTCTCACGCATTGTTACAACCGCAGTATAGGGCATCAGCATTGATGGCGGACTCACCTGTTGACAAAGGCCAGAATAAAAGTATCACTGAGTTATGCATCAATATTTTATACTTCTGTAGAACAAACAACATTCCTTATTACCGAATAAAAGAATATTTCATCTTTCACATTTCATAATTATCCTGTAGTAAAAATTCTTCATTCGACAGATGAAAACAAATTCACTAGGTTCGTAAAAGGATGTTTAGGTCTTGAAATAATACCCGTTATAGAGAAACCACCCATAAAGTTTTATCCTAAGCAAAGTAAGATATTTGAGACTCTCCATATGAACAAAGCGGGTGTAGAGTTCAGAAGATATAACGGCGAAGAAATGGTGTTTTTCGAGAGCAGCACTTCAAAGGGATTTTTTGTTCATAATGCAGACGCACTACTGACCATAACAATAAACAGAACTAACATAAAAAACTTGGCATTTGTTTTGGGGCAAATAGCTGTTTTCATGACTAAAGGGTTCGAATATACCAAAGGCCACACAATAAGAATGATAAAAACGCACATTGCGAAACTGTACTCAAACTCTTGGTGGACATTACTTGGAATGACAGAAAGTATGGTACGAACAATAAAACATGAAATTGAGAAATTAATTAATTAATTTCTTACCTTAAGGTATTTATTTCTGAGCCAAAATATTCCCTTTGACACATTTTTAAACAAGGGAGTAAAGCGCCTTGAATTTCCTTATTTGATAGAAAATTTGTACATTTGACCCCGCCTTAGTTAGATTTTTTAAATTTCAGAAACCGTTTACAAAGATGAATACTTGGTAAACATAGCATCCTCCCTCGTTTCAATTACTACAGCATTTCATGAAATTATGGACCTTCTTTCCTCAAGGTCTCTTTAATTCTCTCCTACTATAAGTTATGTCTTTATTTTTCAGCCAACTAGGTCCTTGGCTCCACAGCTCAAGATCGGCGTGCTCAGAAGGACTTACACCGAGTGAAGCACAGTCTGCAGGGTTGTCCCCCTAGGACATGCGACCATTACCTGATCTCCATGGTGGTAAGTATATCAGACACTCGATTCTCTACAAAAGTTTTCCAGCAGCTGGGGTGACTACTCAACCAGGCGAGAACTACTGTTGAGTCAGTCCAGGCGTGAGTATTTTCCTTACAGATGCCTAAGGTGCCCGAAACTTCATGGAGATGTTTTGCGAGAAGAACATCACCACATAATTCCACACGAGGAATGGATACCTGTTTGACAGAACACCATATGTCCACGACCCATGTCAAATCGCGAAAACAAAACAGCTATTTCATACATTTTGATCCGTTATTTACCACTTTGTATGAAATAGTTGATTTTTTTTCCACTTTTATTGAGGGACAACAACTTAAATTCTATTGTTTTGCCAAGGCACTGCGGCAGCCGGAGAAATAAAATAAGATTTGAACGTATCCCTTACATGAAAAGTCTCTCTTGAAGCATTTAAACCGACAGCTGGTAAATCGTCGTATGCTGCAAGAGTTTCGTTTGTGCTTGCAACTTCTCCAAACAAAGTTTCTTTGTCATATTTTTTTATAAAATTATTAAGGATACACGTAGAAAGTATTATATTATCAACATTTTTTGGTAAAGCTTGAATGCGTCTATTATAAATTCGGAATTTTAATGTCAACTGTCCAAATGTGTTTTCGTTTATCAACTTTCGTGCAAGGAGGCACTACCCTCCTTGCACGAGATAAACGAAAGTTGAAAATTCGCTTATCGGTGCTCAAATTGGTCCCTGGATACGGTCGCATTAAATAAGTTTTGAGAGGTAAAGCTTCGTCTCCTACAAGAACATATGGAGCTGTTGTTGAACTGCCTGGTAGATACGAAGCTTCAGGTAAAGTCAAGTTGTTTCTTTGAAGTTCTTTTCCCAGACTAGAGTTAGCAAAAATTCCTCCATCACTATTCTTTCCATAAGAACCAACATTGACAGTTGTAAAATTGTTATTATCTTTCCAGCAAAGGTGTGCAAATCGCCGTGGAATAATATTCGGGATCAATACCGTAAATCCATAAAGAATACAGCAATGAGAAGTGGCCAAAGACGTGAATCACAAAAACATTATAAACAACACGAGCAGTTGTCATTTCCTCGGCCGTATTTTCAAGAAAGAGAAACAATTAGCAATATAAGTGCTCAAAGTGAAGATAGTACATTAGATACGGATTTAAACAGTGGTTCTTCACACTCTGCACAGTCTCCATCAGTTTTGAGGGACGAAGAAGTGATAATATCTATTCCATCGCCAGTTCATACATCCCATCGAACAGGATTACTTTCACCAGCTCAGGAAACAACTGACAAACCAAAGTCTACTGCTGCTACTTTGTTGGAGTATGTATTAAAGAAAAATCAAAATAACACTACAGAGGAAAATCCAATTGACAAGTTTTCAATCTTACACCGTATTACCAAAACTTAGCTAAGACTGACATATTTAATATTGTACAAAAGTATGAAATAAACATGTTCGAGTGACATATGGAAGTACAAAATGTTGAAAATGATGTACAAATAATTTTTGAGACAAGTACCCCATCTGCCGGCCAGGACGTAATTTACCAATTACCAACTGTACTTCGACCAAGGCGATATGAATGCGACAGTAACTTGTAAGATGTCCCATGTGCAAGGTACCTGAAAAAAAATATTATAAATTCTATAGCTTATCTATTAAGGATAACTTTTATTTCAGTTGCACAATTGAAGAAAAAATGGAAAAATCTTAAGGATGCCTATAGAAAAGAATTGAGGAAGATTGCGACTTCACGCTCCGGGGACCCCAGCCCCGATGACGAGAATTCTATGTCGGAGTGGAAATATTTCAGCTTAATGACATTTTTAAAAGAAGAATTTATGCCAGCAGAAAACGAGTTCAATCTTACTGAAAATGAGTATCAAGATTTAGATGCTTCTTTTCGATCTGAATTCCAATCTACGCTTTCGCCGCCGTCATCTTTGGAAAATCTCCGGCCACGTGAGGTATCAATGTCACCCCAAAACCAAGTACTTCGCATTCGGAAATACCTGTTTTTTCCCGCAAACGAAAAGTTACTGATATTTGGGCCGAATATTTAGAAATTGAAAAAAAAAACTGAAAATTTTGGAACAAGAAGTCAATAAGAATCAAAATACAGCAGATGTTGAAAAAACAGAGGATTATCATTATCTAATGAGCATTTTGCCTGAAATGCAAAAACTGAATTTCATTCAGAAAATCAGAGTGCGAAATAAAATAAATCAAGTTCTGATGGATGCATTCAAATTCAATTCAAATTCAAATTATATATTTGTTATAAATGGGGTGGTACATTGGTTTCGAACATGTATGGAGATAACTATACATCACGCGGTTACTACACACAACCGCCTCCCGCTACGTAGTAATATGTAGATAGTAAAATACTAAAGGCTGATTATTCAATTACTTTTAAATAAATAAATAAATAATACCTAGTACCTAAATAAAACTCAATCTGTGATTATTGTAATATCAAAAATACTTATTATTACAATTATGAGTAGGTATAAGAAAAATAAAAAAATAATATTTGCGTGATTACATGACAATTATTTGTATTTTATTTACACTTACCTCAAAGTGAGAAACAATTTTTCTGGATTGGTGACTACTTATTTAAATATACTTCTATGTGCTGCAGAATGTAATCAAAGTTTTCACACTCATTCTTGTGTACTCATAAAACTTATTTGAATATTTTCTGTAAGCTTTGTATAGGTCACGAAATTCGCCATTTAAATACCGATCTTTATTTAGTTCGTGCACTCCTTCTCTCATATTAAGAATATCTTGTTTTAAAAATGTACTGCTTTCTAAACAGAGAAGAGATAATTTTGTTAACGCCATGATTTTGAACACGTTTTGACTACCTAAATACGTCCACCGTGGCCGCTGCAACTAACCGCTACTGAGGGTACGTGGCGTGCAAAACGCACCGCTCACCGACGACGCCGACCCGCTCGCCGCGCCGCGATTCGCTAAGACCAAAGTCGTGACCAGGCCGTAAGCGCCATGAAAATCACGGCGCTTCCGACCTTTTAGTCTCGAGAAAACTAAATCCTAGCAGCGATCTACCGCAGCGTGTTTATACAGTATTGTTAGACGGCTTTCAGCGCTCCAGCGGATTTTAGTTTTGATTCTTAACAAAATGAAGAATGATTTTTGCTTAGGATGACTTCTCTAATACGTTAGTACATATAACTCAATGGTGATAGCTGAAGTTACTGCATGCATTAATTCTCCAAACATGAGGAGAAAGTACATACACTTTAATCAAACTCCAGAGGAAAGAAATAAAACACGAGCTAGGTGAACAGTGTTCTAATAAATTATTTTTATTGTTGAACAATTATAGTAACAATTATTATATTATATTGTTGAAATTTCTTGAATATCAATAGTTACTTATTACATGGCAATAAAGATGATTTTTTTTTCAGATTTTACCAAAAGTTCAATATACCTGGTGTTTTGGGGTGCATTGATTGCACACAAGTTGCAATAGGGTAGATTCCTGGGTTTAAAATAAATTATTTCGCCTGCATCGTTAAATGGAACATCTCAAAATAGAACCTGAATTATCCTCCATTATCAATTTAATGTCTTTATTGATTTGATATCTTGATATCAACATTAAATATAAATGATTTGACAATAGCTAGGTATGACGTCACGAAAAAGTATTTCATACAAAAATGTACCGCGTCTAGCGTTTTGACGTTTAAAAAAAAGTTACTCAATTGACTTGACAGTCATCTACCCTATTATGAGACCTAGGTATAGACCATGAAGAACGGTATTATTGTAGGAAACACTATCACTCCCTAAATGTTCAATTGGTAAGTAGTAATACACAATAATGTGGAACTTAGTTAAGTATATACTTTGAATTTAAGCAATCTATTTAATGTGCAACTTCCTTTTAGATTTGTGATGCAGATATGCAAATTACCAGTGTGGATGCTAGCTATGGGGGTGCCACACATGATTCTTTCATATGGAATGTGCACCCATTGAAAGAACACTTAGAGAATCTTAATGAATACACATGGTTGTTAGGTAAGGTTACAATAAATAGTGAAATAGAATTATGTAGCTTTAGAAGAGACTTAAACTTCATGTAAGGAAAACACATTATTCTATTAAAAATAATAATTGATCCTTCCTAATTTACTTCAAGCTAACTAAACTACTTATTTGTTTTTTTTTTTGGTAATTAGTGGTAAATAAAATCTTTAAAATTATTTTCAATAATTAATTTTAATGCTCAAACAAAAGAGCTTGACAAAAAATACATTTACCTAATTATTTTATAAGTAATCAGTTGAACATAAAAATATAAATAATTCATGTATTGTTACATAGGGTTAGCTTTCAAAGTCAAAGTCAAAGTTTTTATTGCGTTCATGTGTACATAAGGTGTTAATTACAATTTTGGTTCTAAAGACATGAAACCCTGCTAGGGCACAGCAATTTTGTTGGTATTAGGCGTTATCATGTATGACATTAAATTAAAATATTTATACATTAAATTAAATTACCAATTACAAAGATTATTATGTTACTATGAAGAATAACGTTACACTAATTATTTTTCATATAAATGCAATTAATAAATTTAGTTCTATATAATATTAGTTTTGCAAATAAATTTAAAATTCATTATCACAAACAACAGTATTTATTGTTATTATTATTGTGGCCTATCTTCAAAAAACTCTTGCAGAGAGTAGTATGCTTTTTATTTATTTATTTATTATTTATTATATCTTTATTGTATACACTAATAGAAAAAACAAAACAAAAGATGAGTTACAAATAGGTAAACGTAACAATCGGCGGTCTTATCGCTCACAGCGATCTCTTGCAGACAACCTTATCATGGATTTTAGGTATTTAACAATTTAGGGTAGTATACATACACGTAACACAATATCACGTGAATATTTAAAAATATTTACAAACATAAACAAACACATTCATACACAAATATACATCTATGGACATTACACATATACAAATACACATACATACATACACATATACCCATACATATTTGGAATATATAATATATTAAATAGGGAATCAGAACAGTATTTATAATGACAGATAAAAATCTTTTAATATTTTTTTAAAAACAGGCAAAGTTTTAGCTTGTCGGATTTCGGCTCGGCTCGGCTTTTTGTGATAAGTAATTATTTAACTTTTTTTTAAATATGCTATCAGATTTTAAATCTTTAAGTGTCTGTGGTATTTTATTGTATATTTTTATACACATAACATACGGACCCGAATGGTAGATTGAGAGGTTGGATATTGGCAGTGCCAATCTGTCTTTATGTCGTTTTGTTAACTTATACAGTAACTTAATACTATATTATTAAAGAAAAAACATATAAATAATTAAAAATTGTTCCAGGTGCCTCAAGATATCCACTAAGGAAATATCTAATGACTCCAATCATTAATGCAGCTCCTGGTACACCGGAGAGCCTTTACACCAATATTCATATACAAACTAGAAACACAATTGAAAGGACTATCGGGCTTCTCAAAGGCCGTTTTCGTTGCCTTTTCGTGCACAGAGTTCTACACTACAGACCGGAGGTTGCTGCATCTATTGTTAATACTTGTGTTATTTTACATAACATTTGTAATAGAGCAAATATTCCTGTGCCTGAATTGAGTAATGAAGATATGCTTAGAGAAGCTCAGATGCAGATAGCAGCAGTGGATCCTGATGCTGGAACTGTCCATACAGATAATGAAGCTCTCCATCAAGGTGTCAGTACCAGGAGTAGCCTTATTCGCCGCCTGTGGAGTTCCGTGTTATCCTAAGAGAAAAATATATATACTAATTTTGAAAGATTTCTGTAGATAACGTTTTCATATTTAATTACCTATTATTTAATTATACACGGTGATTTTGAAAGCGTTTTGGAACAGAAAATTTAGAATTATTTATCAATAACAGAAGCTATATATATAACGTTAATTTAATTAAATATATTTTTTTTCCATCATAGTCGATATTCATATCGTTTACAGAGAAAAAGTGGGCACCAGTAGTAGCGCTATTCAATCACACGTAGGTAAATACTACAAATAGAAATACTATGCGTTTTAATATCGAGTCACATAAAATCGTATTCGCCAATAAAAACAAAGCTACCAAGTTGCGCCGGAGTCGTCCAACCAATGACGGCATTGCACTGAGTCGTATGCCCCGTAGGCACATGCGCGGGACTCACCTGTAATCGTGAGGCGTCCTTCGCTTTCAGTCGGTCAGTAATACCATAACATCGTGACGGCACGCTACATTGATTAGCGCTAAAATGAGTCGACAGTACGAATTTTCAAACGTGGAGTACTTGGCAATGGTACAGCTGTATGCTACTGCCAACTACAGCTTGGAAGAGGCTCGGCCTTGTATTCCCAGCCGGAGCATTTAAATGCACTACGGCTACGTGGAATTGAAAGCCCTCAAATTCCCTCCACACCTACCATCTTGGCTGCAACCCAACGTCTTCTCGACCACGGACAATTTCGTGCGCCTACTCATGCGCAAGGTCAAGGACGTTTTAATTTTTATTCGCCGGAGTTTGTAGAAGATGTTCTTGAGTACTTCGAGCGCGATCCCCGGCGGAGCACAAGGATGGCAGCACGAGAATTCGATGTTAGCCAAAACTTCGTATGGAAGATATTACGTACACAAGGATTACATCCGTATCATTTTCATAGAGGACTTGCCTATCCATAACATCTCACACTCTATTGTAATTTGACCTATGTTTACAAATAAATGATTCTGATTCTGATTCTGAAGGCTCACGTAATAAACAACACTGACGCACCGGCAAGAATCGCCTTTTGCCAGTGGTTGTTAAATAATACAAACGCCAACATACTCGTACTCTAGACGGACGAGTCACTGTTTACTCGAGTGGGACTATACAATGTGCACAATGAGCATTACTGGGCTCTAATTAACCTCCACTTGATACGAGAAAACCATCACCAGGTTCGTTTCAGTGTGAACGTTTGGGCCGGTATCATTAACGACCAATTAATAGGGCCTATTTTTATTGAAGGTCATCTAACCGGCATCTCGTACTTAGAGATGTTAAGGACAATGAGACATATCTGAGTTAATAGACGATGTGCCGTTAGCTTACTCGAGAGGTTTGTACTACCAACACGACGGCTGTCCCGCTCATTACACGAGTGTAGTGCGTGCATACCTGGACAATGAGTTTAGTGATCGGTGGATAGGTCGAGGAGGGCCAGTGCCTTGGCCACCTAGAAGCCCGGACTTAACGCCCCTGGATTTTTCTTATGGTCGGAAATAAAAAGACTTGTTTATACACGGGAATATGAAAGCCGTGATGATTTACGCATTGCGATAGTGGACGCTTTTGATAAAGTGAAAAGTGATAGAGACACATTAAGAAAATTAAAAAACAATTGCATTAAACGTGGAAGTTTGTGTATTGAACGCAGCGGACTCCATTTTGAGCAGTTGCTTCGATACAGAGAAGTGTAAATAGTGTAAATAAACTGTAAATAGGTATGTAAGTTAATTATTCTGTAGATAGCTCCGATTTTTTAAATACGCCTGAAATATTTATACCTACAGTCCGTTGATAAATTGATTTGTTGTGAAAAGAACAATCGTGGTTAATAATCGCAAAGAAGTTTAAATAAAATAGGTATTTGCGACGGTCCTAAGCCCGTGTAAAGTATGAAGGACAAACTGGAGTCTATCTACGTAAGTACTCGCTAGCTCGCGCCTATGGGTATACTTTTATCAGCTGCTGTTAGCGTCAGCGGTGCGCAGCGGCCGCCGCAACGCTCACGAACGTGTTTCATTCATATACGATATTGAACGAATGATCAGTGCATTACTACTTTCCAAGTCGATAGAGTAAAAATGAATATTAAAACTGAAACTTTTTTTTAGTCAACATTACAATTGATTTAACCATTTTATTGGCACTATAGATGATTCCAAATTAAAATGTTTCGTTAAAATGTTCGTCACAGTGTATATTTATGACTTGGACAGCAAGTCGGGTCACACAAGAGCGTTACCCAAGATAACTTCTCATCATGTCGCACCAAAAAACAAAATGAAAGTGAAAAAAGTAACCCAAGTGCTCAGTGCACGTACAGCACGTAAAAAATATGAAATATATTGACACCAAGAGTAAATTGGCAATACAGGCTGGTAAACCTAGACATGTGCGTACCATCCCTAGAAGGATGGATAATTACATTGAAGAGTTTTCTTGGATTATCAAAATTATTATTCTCTGAATATGGGGTAGAATATTTTTATCCCAGGTTCTTAAACCAGGATCCCCTGGAAAATTTCTTTGGAAAATAATTTGAGCCATGAATTATCGGAATAACAACCCCGATGCTGATACATTCATGTTCTCATTCAAATCGCACGTCATATCAAATATATTCAACCCTCACTCAAAATTTTCAAATTGTGAAGAAGATGATGGTGACACAATGATAGATTTAAATTATCTTTTTAAGTCCCAAAATGAAAATCATGACAATATTTAATTAGTTGACCCTTTATTTGCACCATCATCTTCAAAGTGGCCTTTGGAGTCAGAGGCCACTGAATCAGAAAAAAACTGTGAATGACAAAGTGAGGATTCAAATATCGGCCTATACCGCTGGATACATATCGAGGGCTTCATAACAAAGGGGCGTACACGCAAAAATGCCTTTTTTTTTTTGGTGCAATTGGTAGTATGAAACAAGCTGCACAACTTAGTTAAAGACTCATATTTTTCTGATTTTTTTTGGATATTTATAGGTCGTGTAAATAATAGGCGTAATTTTGTGACATGGTCAAACGGTTATAACATACAGGCGTAAGCTGTGTATACGCCATCTACAGTTATGAAATTTTGAAAAACTTGCATAACAAACGGGCGTAACCTATACGCCAAGTCGCCACTCAAAATTTCATTGCAACAAAAAGGCGTATTGAGTGTTTTCTGTGCATACGCCCATGGTATTCGATAATTTTTGAAGGCGTATGCGTGTACGCCTTTATGTTACAATGGCGACTCGTCAATCGAAACAAGTCAGTACGCCGCTACCCATAGTCGAGTGAAGTTCATTTTTTAAGTTTTGATAAAAATCTATGTAATAAAAGACGGACAAATATAAAGATGAAGAGAAGTTCCAGAATAATAAGTTTGGCACTAGGAAACGATAACGGTGACGGTAAGTCTTTTATTATTGATTTAATTGACTATTTTTGGTTACAAATGAGTTTTTGCCTAAACTTTTGATATACCTAATAAAGTATTTAATTCCTACTCAATAGGTTTACCTATTGAGTAGGCATTTAACGTATTTATAATAAGTAAAAGTCAAGTACCTACCTACTCCATTAAATGTTTGGAACATAGGGTCTAGCATGAGTTCGCGGAGTAGGTAGGTACTTATCTAAACGTAACGTAAATTCGATCGATTTTTAAATTGAAAAGACCTTTTTTGCACATGATGTTTTATTTATTCAGTATGTTTTATTAGCATTTTTGAGTGCTACTAATTGTGTTTTTAAAACAATCAAAATTATTAAATAAATAACAAATTGCTAGTTTAGCTACTAATCTACCTACGATTACTTTCAATTTGTATAAGAGCGTTGCTTTAACTTTTTAATTTCCATTGGCCCTCAGGTACTGGTACCATTAATATGCATGATGCATGTGGAAATATCCAAACACCTACTAATACCCCTCCTGCATCACCAGTTACACTGGAACAGGCCGCTATTGCTAACGAGTTGCAACAGTTAATTAATTCCGATTATGAATCTGAAGTTTCGCATGATGATTCAGTCGAAGATCCTGACTTCACCACAGAAACTTTGAACCTGAGAAATGTTCCTGTCTCATCTCCGTCGCCACCTTCACCATCTGTATCACTAACAACTCCTTCTGATCTGCGTTCTGTAGAGACGGTTAATTTATTTGGGCATGATTCAAGTCTGAGAATAGATAGATCTGACATTTTCAATATTTCTTTTCAAATGACTCCTGACGTGGAAGCAGTTACAAGTACTTCTGCTTTACCATCTGCTGTAAATTCACCTGGTTTAAGTACTTCTTCTGCTACATCGAATGTTGTGAATTCACCTACATCAAGTTCTTCTCGTGCCATGCCGTCTGTCGTGAATTTGTCAACTTTTGGAGATGAAGCGGCACAGCCGACCTCTAGTAACAGAGGCAGAGCCAAAAGGAAAAATGAACATTCATGGAAACAAAACATTCGTAAAAAGTTGAGAAACAGTGGTAAGGAGTACTATACCTGTAAGAAGGGACTAAAACCAGAAAGAAAAGCAGTGTTAAATAATTGTAAATGCAAAGGGCAATGCAATACGGCATTAACTGATGACGCAAAATTAGATGTTTTTAATGCATTTTGGAACTTGGGAAACATTGATCGACAGCGAGACTTTTTGATTAAAAACATAGAGAGCTCCGATGCAACGAGCTCTCGAAATGTCAATTCAAGACGAAAGTATACATTGAAATATACACTTTCTCATAATAACAACAAATACCCAGTCTGTAAGAATTTTTTCCTGGGAGTTTTAAATATTACAGCCAAATGGTTCGCACAGCGTTATACAAAAAAAGACGATCTGTTGCTGAAATAGCTTCACCAGATAAAAGGGGAAAACATTCCCCTGGGATAAAACTTCCAGATGTTTTGGTTGAACATGCTAACTCTCATATTGAATCTTTTCCTACGGTGCCTTCTCATTGGTGTCGAAAGGACACTAAAAAGGTTTACTTAGAACCTATTTTAAATCAAGAAAAAATGTATAATCTGTACTTGGACAAATGTCAACAAGATAATATTGCAAAACCAATTTCGAAAACTTCTTACAGGGAAATGTTATTAAAGAAAAATATTGCCTTTCACAAGCCGCGAAAAGACCAGTGTTGGTGCCATCACTATGAAATGTTACCAGAGGATTAACGAGAGGAAAAGAAAGAAGAGTACAGGGCACATGTAAAAACGAAACAAGAAGCTAATGCAGAGAAGGCAGAAGATAAGAAAAAAGCGGAGCAAGATCATTCATACATGAGTGTTAATTTTGATATGGAGGCAGTTCTCTACAGTCCACTATTGCTTGGAAAACCTGTGTTTTACAAAAGGAAAATTGCTTGTTTTAATTTCACAGTATTTGATACAGCAACTAAACAAGGCTACTGCTATAAATGGCCAGAATACGAAGGAAATAGGGGCGCTAATGAGGTATCCACATGCCTTAATTTATTTTTAAAACAAGTACCAACTCATGTTTCACACGTAGTTCTCCATTCAGATTGTTGCCCAGGACAAAACCGTAATTCTATTCTCCTTTACATGCTGATGACTCTTCAAACTTCAAATGACTGCACGATAGACGTAATTGACTTAAAATTTCTCGAGCCTGGGCATACGCACATGGAGTGCGACAACATGCACGCAGCAATAGAAAGAGCTTCTGAGTCTGCGAGAATCTTCATTCCGGATGATTGGCTGTGAAAACTAAACCGTGTAAGTTACATCTTTTAACTCACGAAAATTTTATCGACTTCAAGTCTATGAAGGAGTCTGCTTGGCCTGCTTCTATCAAAGCAACTGACGGTACTGGTTTAACTTGGAATCGAGTGAAATGGCTACGGTTTAGAAAAGACTGTCCCGGCAGGTTTTATTTTAAACTTGAGTACTCTGATGATTTTAAAGAAGTCATTAAGCCCAGAACACGTTTATCCAGACAAGAATCTAAAAGTTTGGTTAAAGCCTATAATTCACAAATTCCATTGACTGGTGCTAAAATTAAGGATTTATTAGAAATGTGTAGAAGTGGTTTAATACCTACCACATACCATTCATTTTACAATAGTTTGCCACGTAAACCCTTGACCCGCGTTGTCCCACAAAGTGACGATGAAGATGAAGATGCAAATTTGATGGCATCTAGGTCTGCATATCGTAGACGAAACAGGCGAAACTAAATATTGCTTTTAAATTGTTTTTTTTTTCTGATTTTGATTTTCTATAAGTAAATAAGTTTTATATAGTTTATGCGCCTGTCGTTTTAAAAATATTTTGAATGTTTTTTGTGGTAACAAAAGGGCACACGGAAACTATTCTATTTTTTATTAAAGCAATTAAAGTTCATGTGCAAGTGCATTTATGTTTGTTACAACAGTACGTAATTAATAAAGTAATTTATTAATAAATTATCGGCTCAACCTAATACACAAAGATTTCTTTTTATACACCCCAAATTAGTATCAAAATTTAGCCCTATTTAGCGGATATTTTTCTAAATTGTGATTCAAACAAAGAGGCGTACTTACCGTTTATTAAAAACTACGTGTGTTACAAGTATATAAGTCTTAACAGTAAACAAGTCATGCCTAGAAAGATGCGTGTTCCAAATTTCAGCCTTGTACAATCAACCAGTTTTGTATTATTCACATTTTTGTCCCTCCTATAAAACTGTACTTTTGTTATACGCCCATTTGTTATGAAGCCCTCGATATGTCGAAAAATATCAAAAAATAATAACTGTAATGCATGTGCAAAAACGTATATTTCTAAGGAAATCTAGGGTATTCATTGATATATAAGTTATAGAGAATACAAAAGACTACAAAATAATTATTTGAACCTATCCAAATGAGAAAATTCTTCGATTATATAGAGAAAATTCTCAATCAATACACAATTACCTTCACGAAGATGGGTATAAAAATCACTATACATAATATTAGTAAATGTGACATGTCTTGGTTAGGTTGTGAAATCCATTCATTAGATGTCGTAAACTTTCATGCGCCATTAGTCAACCGCCTGCAATGCCACAATTGGTACAATATAGCTAATAAGATTTTAAATGGAAAAATCGAAGAAAAATATGTTATGAAAATGCCAAATATGCAGCAACAATTGCTAAAAAATATAAAAGCCATCGAATAAAACGAAAAATACTCAAATAAATTTTAATTAAATGTGTTGTTTTATTTATATTCATAAATGAAAATAATATAAAAAACCATAAACCCTTGGCAGTCGGGTAAGAATCCTGTAAAATCTGGCCCGCTCAGACACATCACTAAGTTTTATCGATATCGGTATTTTGAATGTGCTTCAAGCACTACGGTCCTTTATTTGTGTGCCATACATAAAATGTCATCTTGTTACGTATTGTATGCGACTACAGTGCCAAGACTATTAAACGAGGAACTAAGCAAATTGTGCTGTCACATCTGTAGCTTGCTACATTATACCGTAAAACGGGGTGAATAGAAATATTCTTGGGAAAAAGTCTAAAAGCCTGATATTCGAAAACTACTATAAAAATCGCAATAGTGTTTTTGTTTTTACAATGGCAACATTTTTTTGTTGGTCTGACAACATTTGAATAGTATGAAGTTAGCAACTTATATCAAAAAAGTGAGTTCAAAGTGCAACGGTTGTGTGTGTGTCTTTTGTGCTCTTATTAACTTCTCTCTAGTTATTATTTAAATTGTGTTTTTGATAGTAAAATAACTTTATTCGAAGGTGAAGTGTATCCAGAATAAATTGAAAAGGTAATTTTTAATGATTAGTTTGATTTTTATTGGTAAATTAGTAAAATAACTGCACCCATAAATATTTCTCGATTAAGAGGTGAATAGAGACGACTGAGGGGTGAATAGAAACGCCATATGAGGTGAATAGAAACGGGAAAGGGGTAAATAGGAACGAGAAAGGGTTTAATAGAAACGCCAAAGGGGTTTTTAGAAACGCTTTTGATAGGGTTGGCACTTTATGCAGGTTGTTGAGTTTTAACTTTATTACCTCCCTACATTTTTAAAAAGTTGATTTTTTAATATTTAATTATTGATTTTGTGTACGCAGGTATAGTTGCGAGCAATATGCCACGCAACTACAAACCAGACCCTCGGGGTAAGAAATATATAAAATATGACTTCAACTTAATACAACAGGCTGTTAATGAATATTCTGCGAGTAATTGTTCTCTTGATGCTATCTCAAAGAAATGTAATATACACACATCTGTTTTATACAGACACTGCACAAAAAATATGAAAAGTCAAGGAGGTCAAACTGTTTTCTCCAATAAAACTGAAGAAGAATTGGGTTGGATTTTAAAACGAGTCGCCTGAATTTGAGGGTATTGGTGGTGTAGGGGGCTTAAGGGAATTAGTCTTAATTCCCCCACAGTAATTTTGGCTGCCGGAGTTGCGTCTAAATATTTTAAAACAATTTCCAAAAATTCTTAAATACTCTTGCAATTATGCAAAACGGAACGTAATTTTTATGCTTTAGTACAGTTTTTCAAATGTAATTTTTAGGTTTTATGTGAAAAACGTGAAACGAAACGCAACCCGCCATCTTGGATGGATGATATTGACAGCTAATGTCAAATTTGTGCGTCATTCCTTTGCTTTCGAGTATAAGTGAATGTGTTCTTCCGTATCGATTTGTGTTTTTTCTACGACTTGGCTACCTTCTTGGAATCTGTTTGGATTGCTTTACTGTACGACCTCGACTTACTCACTTTTAGACACTGAAATAACGCTATCGCAGCTTGCAATGGCGTCTGGAAGTAGTGGAAGTGGACACCCGGAACCGGTACCGTCTACGAGTTCGGGCCTTGGTGGAGCATCGGCAGTATATGAAGATGTTTTCGAGGACGACGGGCCCTTTCTCGATCGACATCTATACACAGAAGAGGTTCTTATGATGTGGAATTTGGCGAGAATAATAAAAAAATTGGGCACGAATGAGCAGTGTGTGGCATTCGCCGAAGAAAATGGATTGGTGCAGACTCAAAAATTATGCAGAACACATCGCACTCCCATGAAAATAGCCAAATCGACCAACAGGTCATTTGGTTCTTGGTGTTGCACCAAAGGCAATTGTAAATCTAAATCTAAAATACCACGCAATAACGGGACATTTTTTGAAAATATAAAAATTGATTTGGTGCATGTTTTCTATCTATTATATGCATATTCAAAAAAATGGAGCTACAATGACGTCATAAATGAAGATCCCTACAAGGAACATTTTGAAAGGTGCCTGGGCCGGGCCACCATATGTGACTGGTATAATTATTGCCGAGAAACCATTGTGGCATACCTCGGGGATGCGCGGGAGCTTAGCGCAGCGAAGCTCCCGCCTTAGCCATCGTGGTTATTTTTTTTTAAACCACCCAGAAATAGGAGCCCCGCGTAGCGGGGCTCCGTCGACTCATAATTGAAGCCAGTTTTTATATATATATATATTTTTTTTTTATAGGTCGCCATATTGAGGGCCATTGGGTTCTCGGTATGATTGAGGATGGATCTGAAGATCTGAGGTTGGAAGTGTGCCCAGACAATATTCGCTCTGCTGAGGTTTTGGTGCCACTTATATTGAAGAATGTGGAAGTTGGCACCACCATCCACACTGATTTTTGGAGAGCATATGATTGCTTGCCAGAACATGGCTACATACACAAAAAAGTCAACCACTCGGATCGTGACAACCCATTCATAGCTGAAGATGGGACTCATACTCAACGAATTGAGTCCCAGTGGAGAGCTGTTAAAAGATTTTTTAGGAAGGGCAATTTTAATAACACAGAAAATTTTGCAGATGTTATTTTTGAATATTTGTGGCGGCGAAATAACGTAAAATACAGGAAAGATCCATTCATGGAATTAATAAAAGCAATAAAACATGTATATAAAGTGGAATAAAAAAATTTGAACAAATTTCTGTTTTTATTTTTTCTAAGGGAACCAAGTATTTCCGGCGGGTGAAAATGGTGAGGGGGGGATCCGGCCCCTTCCCCCTCCCCCAACCACTCACAACCCCTTATAATGGCGACGTATTTCGAAATTTTTACCGAAGAATTTATTCAATACATAAATATATGTGCGTCATCGGGTCTCGGGTCATCTACAGACGAGTAGACGACCCCCTCCCCGCCCGTGTGGGAACTCCATGTTCCCTGTGCTCCCTGGAAGCGAGCGCGCTTCGCAACGCGCTCGTCGCCACCCCGGCCTGCTTCTGCTAGGGTGGCAGATGGCCTCACCTGTCACCCCCAGGCCTGCGCTTATGGAGGACGGAGGTCGTTCTGCGACCTCCGGCGCCTGAGTCGCCTGCGGTACCTGGCCCGTTCCCGGGCCTGGCGGGCCGGGAGAGTTCTAAACCTCTCCCGGTCCCGCTCCGCCGTCATCTTCGCGAGCATAACTTGCTCGCAGAAGGAGACGGCAGAGTTTCACGCACTCTCGCTCCGCACGATAGCCACAATCAGGCTATCGAGCGAGAGAACTCTCACTCCGATGGCCGCCACGAGGTCTCGCCTCTGCTCAACCCACGCCGGGCATTGTTATTGTTACCTAATATTTCTTTACATACGGCCAAAATGAAAACAAGTTCATTACAATTTAAATTAATGGTGAAGTTTATAGAGCACCAAGTAGAATTACGTAATTTAGTGTTTAATAAACGTAAAATGAAGTTCAGTGAACAAGACTAATTAATTTAATTGCTTTTTAGGTATGGAGATCTCAGCAAACTATTGTGTAATGCAAGATGCAGAGTATCATACATATATATCGTTATTTCAACGATAACGTCAATACCACCTTTTTGCCATAACCTTATTTTTATATGTCATCACACGATCACGTTAGTTCTCAATTCCATTTTCAATCACATTAGTTATGTCCTTGTGTGATGACACCAGTTCTGCTTGTTTTTCTTTTCTAGTATTGGGGGAAGAAGATATTTTACGTTGGCTGAATGAATCTGACGGTGAGGCTTTATCGGACGAAGAACATGAGAATTTATATATACAAACACATTTTGGTGAGAAATCCAGTACGGATGACGGAGAAAATGCAAGCGATATTGCTCCAATACAGGCTGAAAATTCATCTTCGTGTGAAGAAGACGTTATGAGCTCAGTAACTCCTCGGCTTCCACCAATAGCAACTGTCTCTGGGCAAGGAAGAGTTAAATCAAGAGGTATAGGAAGAACACTAGGAAGAGGAAGAGGAAGAACACTAGGAAGAGGAAGAGGCAGGGGACCAAAAAACAGCTCACTGTCAGTAGCCACGTCTATGAGTCACAGTCGTGGGCCTAGTCACGCACGGATTGTGCGTCAGCGTGGACGTGGACGTGGTCGTGGCCGCAGTCGTGGTGTTCAGCAGCGCCAACGAAGAGGTATTCAATCCATTCAACAGAAATGGACTCATAGTTCAGGCCCGAAATTAGGGGGTTACAGCAACCAGCCTATCTGATATGTAATAGATCGGAATGGAAACCTATCGACTTCCTAGAGGAATATATAGATGATAATTAACTGGATAAAATGGTTATAGCGACTAACAGGACAGTTTTATCTAGAACCGGATATTCTTTTGGACTTACATTGAAGGAGCTCAAAACTTTTTTTGGTCAGAAATTTTATAATGTCATGCTTACGTTTTCCAAAAATAATATAAAAATGGCGTATTCCCATCATTGCTGACTCAATGACCAGGGATCGTCTCTAAAAGTTCTATACGATGATGATTTAAGCCCTGAAGATAAGAAACAAGACAAAATCTGGAAGGTTCGTCCTCTAATTAAGAAGAAGAACAACGCACTGTCGATATGAGTATTGATGAAATGATGATACCATTCTCTGGTTAGTGTGGTATTAGAGTTTATGTTCCAAACAAACCAAATCCATTGGGGTTGAAAGTTCATGTACTGGCCAATCCCAATGGAGTTGTGTGTGATATGATAGTTTACCAGGGTGATACTACTTTTCCAACTGAACTCACAGAGCGCTATAGTCTTGGTGAATGTTCGATAATTTGCCTGACTCGGTCTTTGGTACCTGGGCATATAATACATTGTGACAGATATTTCACCACAATCAATGTAGCGGACTCAATGTTATAAAATGGATGTTATATTGTTGGTAACATAATGGCTAATAGGATACCCAAACATATTTCTTTGATTTCGGATAAAGAATAAATGGCTAAAGGTCGCGGAACAACTTTTACCACAGTTCGAGGAGATGGAAACTTAGCGATTACTAAATGGCAAGACAATAAGCCAGTATATTTGCTCTCTTCTTGCTATGCAGCCGAAAAAACTGACACTTTTAGACGTTGGTCAAAATTACACAAAACATATCTGACTGTGACGCGCCCGGAAGTTATAAAAGAATACAATTTGTCCATGGGTGGAGTTGATTTAGCAGATCGAATGTTGTCTGACTGCCCATCTCGTGCTAGAACGAAGAAGTGGACCATAAGATTTATACTCCACATGCTTGATATTGCAGTCACTAACTCGTGGTTTGTGTATCGTATAGAATGTATGGTGAAAGGTATAGCTTGCAAAAGAATAATGCAACTGCAGGAGTTCAAAATGAGTTTAGGTCACTATTTTGTCAAGCCAATGACGTGTCAAGTGATAGCACAGAATCAGACTCTGAAGGAATACTGGAACCTAAACATAAAAGAAGAAAGGTGTCTATTGTTCCCTTACCATCAGACATAAGGAGGTCTCAAAAAGCTGATCACATGCCTATTAGATCTACTGTTCAGAACAGATGTCGCCTACCAGGCTGTAAACAGAAAAGCAGGACCAAGTGCTCAAAATGTAATATTTATTTGTGCAATACTTTGAATAGAAATTGCTACCAAAGTTTCCACAAGTAAACAGTTTTCTGTTTTTACTTTAGAATTTATTTTTTGTCTCTCGAAGCCAATCAGAGCAATATATTAATCTGGTTGGTTCATTAGCTGGTAAGATACCAAGAGGTCTGATTATAGATAAATAGATAATAAGCTAAACTTGTTTAATTATGTTACTGTTGATTAAAATGATGATTAAAACTTATTCCAAACGCATTTATTAATTTTTTTATTTATATTATGTTTAAAATTTACAGAATTTAACATAAATGATTTATATCATCATACAAGGACACAAACCCAGCGACCTCATATGAGCACATAATCTAAAGTGTGGGGGGAGGGGGGTTAATTTTCTTTAAATATTTTTTCAAAGAACCTTGTCTCAATATCTATCAGTAAAAACTCAAAAAACCGAACATTTCCGAAAAAAGTAGGTCTAGGTCTCAGGAGGATAGATCTACGCAACAATTACTATTCCCAAAACTAGTTGTTTTCCTTGAAAATAATTAATTGAAATCTTATTTACACCTGAAGACCATGAAAATTGTAACAATCATACTCTAAAATATGATGTCGAAGCATCGACTAGCTTAACCTCTTGTCTGTTGCAAGTCCTATGGTAGGACTTTTATAAAAATTGCGTTTCTGTGGCGCGTCCTACCATAGGATTCGGCACACGCGCGAAACAGATGTTCGGTTACATGCATATTGGAACGAGTAATATAGTTTTACTCTTTCGAACTTATTAAAAATCGTATAAGAATGAACGGGACTTCCTTCTAACGTGCATTAAAACACGACTGTAGTACAAAACCGTTGAGAATTTTTGTTTTAATCTGTGACCTATGTCACTCGAAGATTGCCGCGCTTGAAGTGCATTGTGTGTGCTATTTTGTAATCAAATCTAGTGATTTCGAGCGATTTATGATGGAAAAGTAAGTAATGTTTATGTTTATTTACTAACATTGGCATATTATTAACATTTTAAGTCAAAAACAAACTTTGAAGCACTGGCCATGTCATTTTACGAACTAGTAAATGGATTTTGCTTTGTTATATTATGATAGAAACATTATCAAAACCGCAACGAATATGTGTAATCAAATCATTATTTAATGAACTTCAATCAGATTACTACAAAATGCGTGCATGTTAGACGCAAATGCTAAAATTTTGACCTCAAACATAATGTGAGCGTACAAAATCCTACCGTAGTACTTTTAACAGATAGGCGTTTTGTATCACAAAATGGCTGTCAGTTGATCTAAATATGGATAAGACTTTAGAACTTCGCATTAAAAAAATCAATGATTTACTTTTTTCTTTTAGTTATTTGATTTTTAAATATTTTATAGCTTTATAATAGGGATGGTGGGTTTATTTAAACAATTATATAATTATTTTTTTCAAATGTTTTCAAGATGTTTTAAAAATTTCAAGTGTTTATTTTGTACGTTGCTTTATGTTGGCTTTGTTTTGCATGGAAAAGTAATAACAACGACGAAGTTGGTGGCGGTCGAAGAACCTGTAGAGGTGGAAGAGTAAGAACCCGTGGTGGGCGTGGGCAACGGGGTGGTGGGCAACGTGGTGGTTCATTAAACAGGCCCTTCGATCTCTCAACCGTAATAACCTTTTGAAACTAACTTTCAACTTTTTTCCTTTCAGGCAGCGAGGAAGAGTCTGACGACGAAGACGAAGGGTCTACCCAGCAGTTACTGATGCCCCGGGTGGCAAGGATTTTTATGGACGAAGACGATGAGGCTATAAAATTATTTTTATATATACATACATATATATATATATATATATATGTATGTATGTATATATAAAAATAATTTCGAAAATAAAAACAAATACTGATTATTTTTTGCACTTAAGAAGTCGTATCCATACTATTCGACTTCATGTAGCAAACATGTTGATTTTTCACTATGTTCAAGAACATGGTTTTTGATATTGTTCTTCCAAACATGTAGATTTTTTCATTGGAATGAACGCCTAGTTTCATGTAAATCTTAATTAATTAATTTATTATAAAACTTTTAAGGACTTATACTGCTAATTCTTAGTTTATATGAGACATTGTTTTTTGTACCAGTTATGAATGTCATATTTCAAATATTATTATTCAAGATCTACAGAATAAAACAACATACCATTGTTTAAAATAGTTGAGTGATAAGCTTAAGTTATTGTTAACAAAATATCTTTTGTCCCTGACGCCAATAATGTACTCAAAACTATAAATTTATGAGACCCACTTAAGTGACATTTGAAAGAGGGGCTTTTTTCATCAAAGTTAAGAAACAGATGTGGTATACAAAAAATGTATGAGGAACATTATGCCATTTGATATTTATTTTATTACTTAGATAATATTGTTTAAAAAATATACAATATTTTATCCAGCAAATGTTTTATTTTTTAATAATTAGAAAATGAAAGGTAAGTTCTAGGTAACCCATATTAATACTCTCAAAACTAAAAAAATATAATTCCAAGTCAATTATAGTGTATAGAATTACACGAAGAAACTTATTTTATTGATAATACTAATAGGAGTTACTTAAAACCTCGTTAAACTTTTGAAAAAATGAGAATTTTCTAAACCTATATGATAATAAAAAGTGCATAAATCCCTGTCTGTTGAAAGTCCTACTCTAGGATCCACAGATACGGGCAATACAATTCTGTTGACAGCCACAGTTGAAAGTTTAAAAAATATTGGTGTATTGAAACCATTCAAATTATCCCTGTGTTGCAAAAGAGAGCTATAAAGATGCGTTATAGGCAGTCACTGAGGGATAAGTTTAAAGAAATTGGTATCATAACAGTTGCATCTCAGGACATATATAACAATTTAGTGTATTTAAAGAAAAATATTAATTTATTCACAAATAATATAATATAACAAAAAATACCGATTTGTACACTAAATTAACCATCTTACAACGGAATTTCCAAAATCATTTTCTAAAACTACATACGCCTTAAGCCAAAAAGGTATATTTCAAGGTCTGTTCGTTTTATGACATAATTCCTCATTACGAGATGAACAATTTTAATCTAAATCGCGGAGCACCGCGTGGCAGAGGCCAGAATTCCGGCGGTAACCGCCGAGGAGCGCGCGACGCCCAACGTGCTTATAACCATTTTAATAATCGGCAACTCCAACAAGATTGGAATTACGAACCACAGCCCTACGACCCAAGTCGCGAAGTTCAAAGACGAAGGCCAACTAACAGGTCTACCAACTTTCGCGGTCTACCAAAAACAGCAACCACCATCTGAATAATCACAGGAGGTCAAGCCGAGTACTACGGAGGATAAACCCCGAGATAAACCACTGTATGATATTGGTCCACATTCGTCCCTGATCCCTGCACAGGACATATATTGCCAGAATTTTGAATTCTCTGTCTTTGTCCCTTTAATAAATGAGACATATGTAAAGATGAGGGGTATCGACCCCCGATTACATGAACGTCTACCACTGTCCATGTTTACTCATGCCATGGCAGTGCATCTAAACCTTGAAATTTTAGAACTCGCCAGAAATGCAGGACAAAATGTTCTCAATCTCTCTGATTCAAGGGAAATACTCCCTGATTACAAGGTAATCCCGCAGGCGATTGTTGACTACATTTCACATGTAGCATGCGTCATTACTCAGGATGAGAAAGAAGTAAGAATAAACCTCCCACCTGCAGCTATACCACAAGGTCCGATCCATTTAAAAAATATAGAACAACCAAGCGGATCATTTGGGCAGATAAACCCAGCAAATCACAATTTATACGAATGCTACGTCTCTCCACTCGTTACATCAAATCGAGTATTAGCACCAATGCAAAATCAGTCAGACTATCTACCGTTGCCAGACGCTTTCATACCTGGACAACTTCTACCAAATAGGAATTTATTAGGATACTAGCTGACCCGGCGAACTCTGTTCCGCCTTAAAGGCAACAAATAAGCCGATCTTCGAATTTAGTAAGTTAATTTTTTTCTTAGAAAAAAATCTTCCGTCTTTGAAAATTCTTCGATAAAGCATTCCAAGTATAATAACGTGGCATCTCCTAGTAAAGCAAAGTTCGTGCAAACTTTTTTTTTTTTTTTTTTTCGGAATAAATATCCTATGTCCGTCTCCTGGCTCTAAGCTACCTCCTCACCAATTTTCAGCCATATCGGTAAAGCCGTTCTTGAGTTATAAATAGTGTAACTAACACGACTTTCTTTTATATATATAGATGAACCAATTGACATCCAGAATGCAGGGGCCCATTCAGGATTGAAGGGAATTGAATTTCCGAATTCCGAATAAGCATTGTCAACTATAACACAACAGAGTTTATATAGTTCTAAATGCGATGAAAGACCGTTTTAAGATGGTCGAGATTATAAGAGAATAGAATCCTACCGGATTAAATGTCATAAATCAGATAAAAAGACAAACTTCCAAGGTCTAGTTTCGGGTAATTGCTTTAAAATTCAGTGTTGACTTTCGGGGCTCTTGCATAGCAAGAGCTGCTAATTGTTGGGTTCTTTATGGTGTTCATATATTTTTATGACTACGTATTTTACCGCTTAACACGTTCAAGCCACGTATGATGCTATCACTCAGTGCGGGAACTAAAAATGTGCTTTGTCTCGTTTTTACGAAGCAAAATTTTAACATATTTTGACGTATTAGAGTGAGATAATTATTTTTTTCTCGCATAATACCTTCTATATTACTTAGATTTGATGTAAAATTGTACGAGGTTCCTTTCGCCTCGTAACGACAGAGAAGTAAAATTTTACTTTAAGTGCGGTACGAGGTGTATCAAGCCTCGCAAAGATCTCGTACGAGGTGGGTCGATTGTTTTAATTAGTGTTGTTATTGTTTCGATAAGGGAAGGAAGCAATTTGCTAAAAATATGGATAACAGTGATACCGTAACTAGGAAAAGGTCAAGAAGAATTTTGGAGTTATCTTTTAAGAATGATACATCAAAACCTGAGCCGCAGTCTACAAAATCACATTTATTGTACAGGAAGGTATTCAAACGTCTTTCTCACACCAGTAGTATTAACAAGATTTTTACTAGTCCCCGTTCCGGTCAAACATTTCACGAATTGAACCCCGTGGCTTTGTCACTACCGCGCTCAAATGACACAGAAATTTTAAACCCTGATGAAGATCACAATTCTGTAATAGGTTTCTTATCAAACTTCCTAGAGCACATTCCACCTAGCAATATTTCTGCAGTACCTTATAACAATAATAAGACAGACTTGGGTTTTAGTAATGAAACAATTAAAGACCTAAAAGATGATACTAATCGAAAGATACAGATTTTGGAAGACATGAATATTATCACACCGATTCATGCAAATAGCAACACCAATAGTATCAGGAATCTCATCATCTCTCCAAGAAAATTTTGCCTTAAAACCACTTAGTCACTGTTGTAACTAACGATCACTCAGTAATATTTAAGTATCTAACATGATTCATCTCGATTCGTCATTCGATAAACAACAAATTTCTGAACTGTTAACTACACCTCCATCTAAAAAGAGACCTTGTCAAAACTCTCCCGTAATTAATTCAATCTAATCAAGGGCCAAGTGATTCAAAAAATACATGTATGACTTCGATTACTGGTATTGAAACTATAATCTCTGAAAATCAACCAGATGAAAATTACATTACTACTAATAATATCGGTAAACAAAGCCAATATCAACCTAAGTGTAGACATGACACTGAAGATGAAGAATATGTGCCTAGTAGCTTATCAGATAGTGATTCATCGTCTGCAAGTGACACAGATGAGGTGGAATTTGGTAATGATGTCAACTTGGATCAAAATGATTTACCTGACGACTTAGTAAACAAAACAGGTGAAAATGGTGAAGAGGATGATGAATGGGTAGACATTGAAGATACAAAACCAGATTTTGAAGAATTCGTGGACCAATGTAAAATTAACATTCCTGAAAATATAACATCCCCGAAACAGTTTTATAGGCTCTTTATCACAGACTATTTATGCCGAAAAATTCAAGAAAAGAAGAAAGATCTTCGAAGGCATTAGGTTCAGTTCTAGAATGCTGTAAATTATATTTATACAGGGTGTGGAGTAAATAGTGATCCACCATTAAGGATTCGATAAATCAGATAATTTACTATAACATATTACAATTTTATCCATTTTTACTCAAAGGTTCCGGAAATATATATTATTTTTTATTTTTTTACGATATGTGTACCTCTTGTTACAAATTTGGTTGTAGTTTTAACAAATACCATTATTTTTCCATTTTGATTACTGGTTATTACTGCTAAATACTAGAGCTATCGTTAAATAACATGTTTTTAATGTAAATTTAAAGCTTTTGAAGAAAAAAATTGGTTTCACTCTACTTTCAACCCTAATTTTTAACATATCATGCTAATTCAAGACCGATTTTGGTAAAAATCTCTGGTCCCCCGAAAATCTCCCGGGCTCTGCTTAATTTGCCTACTGATTGGATTAGTTGGACTTTGGCTTACTCAAAGATTTGGACAAACGTGCAGTGCAGTGACAAAAATGTCTCGGTACACAACGCGCGAATATGCTGACATGCATTTTATTTACGGTGAATGCAGAGGTGTCGGTAGAGAAGCAGCTCGACTTTATCGGGAGAGATATCCCGATCGAAGACATCCAGATCATCGAGTTTTTGGGAGAGTGCATAACGCATACAGCGAGGGGAGGATACCTGGCACAGGAGTAGGCGGTGCAAGTGAAGGACGACCGCAAGTACACACTGGTGAAGAGGTAATGAATTTAGTTACTGAAGATCCTTCAGCATCGGTCCGTGTCTTAAGTCGCAGAACTGGCATATTCAGTAGATCTGTACATCGCATACACAAAAGACATGAACTGTACCCATACCACTATCAAAGGGTACAGTCATTACTACCAAGAGATTATCCCTTAAGGCGTGGTCCTAATTGGCCACGATCGTACGATGACACGATGCGTTCTCGTCGTGCGATGAGTTCAATCATACAGATTTCATCAGAGTGTCCTATTTGAACCTCGCAAGTAATCGCGCGATCACGTAAAATGCTTAATAACGATCGTACGATGCGCTTGATCGTGCGATCTTGTAACCAAAGAAAAAGTGAGTTGCACTACACACTGTTACTAGCAGCCATTCCAAAAGTGCATTCTATCCCGACCCTTGTAGTAGACAATTTGAAATTAAATCTTGATTTATCTGCATTTCCTGTTGCTTGTGTTCTTGGATAAGGTCTCATCAAGAATGTTTTCACAGGAAAAGCCTCGTCCCCTAAAAATATATATGGTGCCACAATATCACTATTCGGTAAACGTTCCTCGTTCACAGCAATGTGGAAATTTATTTTTATTTGAAAATGAATTTGCTATTTCCTGAAAATCTTCGATACTTGGAAATTTCATGTGTATTTTGTTAAAATTATTCCAAATTGCACTGCAAACCTCCATCACGATACCTGCTATTGCGGTTTTTGAAAGCGAAATGGCACTGCTAATTTCCGAAAAGGTGTTCCTGTGGTTAAGTACCCGTAAATAATACGTTAAATTAAAATTTATTGTTATTTATTACAGAAAAAGACGTTAAAACTAGGTGGCGACACTTAAGGGACGTCTTTCTAAAAGAATTGAAAAAAGTTCGTAAGCCTCGCTCTGGAGATCCAGGAAGCCCAAACGAACAATATTACTGGGGAAAGTGGACCTATTACCAACATATGTTGTTTTTAAAGGATGTTTTCCATGCCTCGACTAACCGAAGGTAATAGTGTTCATCAAGAAACTGGAAATAATGATAATGATGCCAGCCTACCATCCACTTCAAGATCAGAGCAGAATTTTCAGTTGCCTGATGAAGAGAATTCTACTACAATGTCTAATAGATCCAAGGCTGTTGTATCTTCTGATGATGAACCACTGTCTACCAGTGCGCGCAGTACAAATACACAGAGCACGAGTGCTTTGTCAACTGAAGCTTTGGATAGTGGATTACAAACTGGATCCCAAAAAAGAAAACGCAAATAAAATCAATCTTTAACCGAATATCAACGTCGAATGATTCAAATCGAAGAAGAAAAAATTAAAGCGTTTAAGGAGAAAGAAAAAGAAGTTGAGGATGAAGATGTCCTATTTTTGAAATCGCTAGCTCCATATTTTAAATATATGAATCCAGTACAAAAATTAAGATTAAAAAGTAAGATACAGAATACAATAGCAGACGAAATTGCTCTAGCTATGCCATCACCCCTTTCCAACTCTTCATCTTCTAGGTCAATGTCAATCATACCTTCACCAGCGCACGCATCCTCAATCGTGGCACCACCGACAAACACTCAGCAATTCTACGAATCATTTAATGTTGAAGATGATTCTTGAATATAAGATTTTTTACACCTCAATTTCTTTTTCAAATAAAAAAATGTGTGATTATTCCTATTTTTATACATGAAAGAAATATAAAAAAGTTACAAATAAATATAATAAATACATAAAATGTTTGTCTTTAATTTAAAGGGTCTTTCAATAGGGACTTCCGAACTTACAGCTGATAACGGCCATCTTGTTAAAATTACATCTCGTCGTTGCGCTTGCCAAAACCTCTATGTGTTTTTTATCAAGTTTTCAGAGGAGCCAATAAACTGTTTTTTATAATGATTAATTTAGAATTTATTTAAATTTGATGCACATATTCATTTTGGCAAATGGAGTTCGAAAGGGAAATAAAATATAATTGTTGTTTTAATCGATGCGCGAATTGATTTTAAGGCCATCTAGCGAAAAAAAAATTGAAAAAATGCACATAGAAGTTTTGGCAAGCGCACCGACGATCTGTCAAATTAGTTGTAATTTATTCAGTTTTGCCAAATCACCATGGACGGATATAGCATTAAGCAACACGTGACTACGATAAATAATAAAAAAATAAAATAATAAAATTGGAGGGAAATGGATAGGTTGAGCTGCGGCTGAATGTACGTAACGCACATATAATAAAAATAAAAAACTTACCTGAGTGTTAATACCAATCTTTCTTCCACACTAATGGGTTTTTTAAAGTTGGTCACTCTATGTTCACAATCGCTACGTATTCCATTGCAAATGTAGTCAAATGTTTCTTTTGACATGGACAAATAATCGTAAAAGTCTTCTTCGTTATTTCGTACATCAAAATAATGGTTGAAAAATTCACCGCGCATATTCCTAGATCTATAAAGTATATTATATGGTCTACGTTTCCTTTTTTCAATGTCATTTGCAATTTTCAAATCAATATTGCCCGACAGTAAAAACTGTGCATCTCTGTAAAGAGCCATCGTTAAAGTGGCGTTCTGAGCGCGACGATATCGCACGATCACTTTGATCGGAGACGAAAAAACGCATCGCGCCATCGTACGATTGTGGCCAATTAGGACGACGCCTAAGAGTAAGATTTTGTAGAGAAATGCCACGCAGAATAAGAGAAGACCCGCAATTTTTTAACAAAATATTGTGGAGCGACGAATCGTCCTGCAAAAAGGATGGATATTTAAATCTACACAATCTGCATAGCTGGCAGCTAGAAAACCCGCATCTCATAAGACAAGACAGATCACAGTATCAATTTAAAATAAACCTTTGGACTGGAATCATTAACGGACAGATAATCGGTCCACACGAGCTGCCAGAAACTTTAAACGCAGATAGATATTTAAGTTTTTTGCGAATTGACTTGCCTTTGCTCCTGCGAAATGTCGCTCCTGAAGTCCAAGAAGACATGTGGCTACAGAACGATGGCTGTCCCGCTCACTATGCTGTTAGAGTACGAGAGCACCTTAACACAGCGTATTCAAATCGGTGGATAGGGCGCTTAGGTCCCATATTGTGGCCACCGCGCTCGCCGGACCTAAATCCCCTGGACTTTTTTTATTGGGGTTACCTGAAAGAAAATGTCTACAAGGAACAAATCACCTCTATTGACCACTTGAGGACTAGAATCCAGACAGCGGCTAGGAAAATCAGCGAGAGCGAGTTTGCTCGACGACTTAAACGGTCGTTTATTCGACGTTGCAGAGCATGTATAGCTGCGAATGGGGGCCATTTCGAGCATTTGGTCTAATTTTTACAGTGTTTGTAATCATGTCAAAGAATAATAATAAACGATGACTAGTATGACTTGTTTTTTTTTAATGCCTTGTTCTAATTTACAAGTTAGGTCAAGATCACTCTGTAACAGTAGTAAAAAATTGTTATTTTAAGTCTTTTTTAATTAAAATTGCATTTTTGTTTTATTTATGGGATGGCAAATCGTTTTAAAATCTGTGTTTAGTAGGAATATTTTAAAATGGATTGGCACTGACAGTGTAGTTACTTTTTTTACAAAAATCATAAGTATTAACGCAACTAAATTTTAAAATGTATTTTGATGAAAATCTTCTTTTCTTCAATTAAAATTGGATATCTTTTTGTTAAACAAAAGGATCTGCTATTGTGATACCATTTTGAAATTGGTATTTAGTAGGCATATTTTTAAATGAATGGGCACTGACAGCTTAGTACGATTTTTTTACAAAAATCGGTCTTGAATTAGCATGATATGTTAAAAATTTGGGTTAAAAGTAGAGTGAAACCAATTTTTTTCTTCAAAAGCTTTAAATTTACATTAAAAATATGTTATTTAACGACAGCTCTAGTATTCAGCAGCAATTACCAGTTATCAAAATGAAAAAATAATGGTATTTGTTAAAACTACAACCAAATTTGTAACAAGAGGTAAACATATCGTAAAAAAAAAAAAAATATATATATATTTCCGGAACCTTTGAGTAAAAATGGATAACATTGTAATATGTTATAATAAATTATCTGGTTTATCGAATCCATAATGGTGGACCACTTTTTACGCCACACCCTGTATGTAAGCAGTTAAGAAAATCTACAAAATTACAGTATGTATTATTTCAGTTTTTAGGGGTACTGATTGCAGCCCCGTCGAAACCGCATTCTCTGCGAAATGATTAACTCTACCGCGATGTCTACACACCTCCAGTTTGTGCGACCTCCCCTTGATCGTGATAAGTTTGATATTTATAACACTACCTATGCAGCTGATGTTTATGAGCACTGCACGACGGAAGATAGAAAATTTATTGGGGATTCCTATAAAGAGCGCTATAATTCTGAATTTTCATTCTACTACCAATGCTACACAGGAAAGTCCCTCCCATCTGATGATGATGGCGAAGTCTTCGTCCTACTCAAACAAGATCCTCCACCAGAAGCAAAGACGTATTATTGGGATCTTAGTTATGCATGTCCATTTGATTGTGACTTTGATGTCATGGTGGGCGTGGTCTACATTAATGGTGATGACGATGTAGAATATGGCTCTGTACCAAAAGATGATAGTGATATATACAGTATGTCTGTACTGTACTGTCATTAACAAAATATGTAAGCTGCATTAGTGCAGAAAAACATGGCAAAGAGTCTTCAATGGAGGAAATAAAATTATTCAGGCCAAATTAAAAACAAAAAAAAACCAGCTACTGGTATTGATGATTTTACATTAAGCATATCTACAAATGAATTTAAAATAATGCAGAAGTTAGGAATTGTTAGACCGAGTAGCGCTTGGGCAAGTCATTTACTTATACGAGTAGTACCCAAGAAACAAGGTAATTTTAGGCCTTGTGATGATTGTAGACCATTAAATGCGCTTACTAAACCCGATAGTTATCCTATTCCACGATGTTGTAAAATCACTAGATTAGTTTAGCAGTAATATGTCACGTCACTAAGATGCGTTGCACTATAAACATACTTCAATGTGTGTCGGTTAGAAAGAAAACTGCTCAAATCCAACAATATAGGTTTTGTAATAGAGTACGCCATTTTTTTAAATTAAAAGTTGGTGTTTAATTTCAATGAAATGGATAATTTTATAAAGGAAACTACTACCCAGTTATCACGAAAAAGGACACAACAAAAAGCGGATTGGAAATGCAACAAATAGTAGGAGGAAAGGTGTGCTGCATCGGAGCTCAGCATTAGCAAACTTTATCGAAACAGCGGATGAACATAAAAATATTACTTCAGAGAAAATTTCAAAACCGAATTTAACATAGGTTTTGGATTCCAGGTGTGTGCTCCACTTGCATAGTTTTATAAGAACGACTAAAACATGAAAAAAAAACAATGAGGTAAAAAATCAATTAATGATTGAGAGTATGTCATGACGGGTAAGACGCACTCATTGAAGACTTTCGTCTTAAGGCACTGTGGGATTAACAGTGACATACGGAGCCGAAACGTGGACACTTACGGTACGGCTGGTCCACAAGTTCAAAGTCGGTCAACGTGCTATGGAAAGGGCTATGCTCGGCGTTTCTCTAAGGGATCGTATCAGGATTGAGGTGATTCGGCAGAGAACCAAGGTGACCGACATAGCCGAACTAGCCGTGAATTAGAACCGACAACCGATGGGGAGAAAACGAGTTCTTGAGTGGAGACTGCGTCTCGGCAAACGTAGTGTAGGACGCCCACACGCCAGGTTGAGTGATGATTTGCGCAAGATGGCTGGCAGGAGCTGGATGCGAGAAGCCCAAAATCTATCTAAGTTTCGGCCAGTGGTAGAGGCCTATATCCAGCAGTGGACTGCCATAGGCTGATGATGATGATGATTGAGAGTAGAATTCACAAATTGAGAGCAAAGCGTTTTATGGTTTATTGAAAGATAGCAGCGAAAATATTTTAATTCTAAGTTTCGACTGCCAAAAGAACCAACCCTGTCCAAAATCGCCCAATCAAAGTGCCTATTACTCGAGGCAGTTACATGTGTACATTTTTACGGTGGTAATGGGAAATACAAAACTAAAATTAACTATTAATAGCACATTATCTACTCCTGGACTGAAGATATTTTGCTGAGAGCATCGAATGAAATTGCTAGCGCTGTTTTTTATTGTTTGAATACCATTATTCTGAGTCCCGGAATAGAGCATATCGTATCGAGCACAAGTTCGTTTAGTAGCAGATGGGTGCAGCGGCCAAAATAACAATCAATCTGTTCTTGGTATGGTAGCTAAATGGTTACAAGACTATGCACCTGTGCACATTATGGATATAGAAATTCTGTTTCCAGTTGTTGGCCATTCATTTTTGCCACACCATAGGTAACGCAAAAATTGAAAAAGAGATTTAAGCCTTGAATGTTGGGAATTGATGTTAAAGTTTACAACAGGAAAGGGCCAGTTTCTTTAGTCTTAGAAACTACAACCAATATACACTTTTCAATAAAAAAAACGAAAAGATTTTTTCTCAAAAGGACTTGTGACAAACAAAATGTGTATATCCGAGCGGAAGTCTTACCATTCGTCTTTAAATAAGTATCAAAATATCTGCAAAGGAATAAAGAAGGTGTCTGCTATAAATCCAGATGTGATTAAATTATATATTGACTTTAAATAAGAAAAAAATAATGATGTGAAAAAATTATAAATTACACATTTTGGGGAGAAGTAGAATGAAATCTCAAATTTACATTTTTATAAACTGTACTGTCAAGACCTGTACTGTCAAGACCTAAATCTTCTACTAGTCATTAACAGGTTGTTGAAGACTATGATTTCTTTGATGAATTACCAGCTATAGTTGTATAAAATGGAACAACTAAGGTCTCGTTTCGGGTAATTGCTTTAAAACTCAGTGTTGACTTTCAGGACATGCAAGAGGCATGGCAAGGGCTGCTGATTGTTGGTTCCTTTATGGTGTTCTTATATTTTTAAGCCTATGTATTCTACCGCTTAAAAGCTGCTGCATATGGTGTGGTTCGGGATTACCAGATCACTAATTGCAAATAAGAGTAGTAAAACCGTAATTTTTACAGTTAAACTACCTTAAAGTGGAGTTTGGAATTAACTATTAGGACCTAATTATACTTTCTTAAATATTGTAATTTTTCGACAATTAGTCTAATTACACCCAAGACCTCTTTAAATGAATATATAGGCATGCTTAGCATGCTTATTGGGACATTAATTCATCAATCGTTGTTCGAGCATCGCCAAACAATCGTGTCTTACAATATGGAACTTCAAGTGCATTTCGCTGTTGCATTCCGTGTTCGGGGTCATAAATGAGGCAAACCAAATCAGTACAATTGGACACTCTTGAAGACGTGCGACTGCACACTAAAAATGATTGACAGGCCTACAACGATAGAATCTTCAGAAAAATACCTGAAGTCTAAGAGGAGATCAAATTCTTTTTCGATTAACCAAGAACGGAAACGAAGAAAATAAAATATGAAGCGAATTGATTCCTTCTCTTTGGAGACTTCGTCGAAAAGAATATAGTCCTTGAATAAAATTGAAACGCTCCCTAACTCTCTAAGGATGTTCTTGTAAAGACACAAAAGATTTGCCTAATGACCCGGGACTTTCTACTATTAGGCAAATCTTTAAAGGCAGGCATACGTGAAGGCTTATGAAAATAAAGCTAGAAGATCTTTGGAGTCATTAGGTTAAGTTCTAGAAGGCTGTAAATATAGAAGTGTTTGTACGCAGTTAAAAAAACTACAAAATTACTGTATGTCTTACATTTACAAAATATGTAATATGTAAGAGTTTAATATTTGAATCATTTAAATTAATTTTGAAATATTTGATATTTACTGTATTATTTATTATACACCTGATACATTTTTTTATGACTCTGACCTACGTATCCCATTTAATACTAATAAATTGTCTGCTAATATATGTACTTTGTTTCATTTTTTATTACATTTGTCCTGATAATAAAAGAGACTTAGTTACTTAGTTTGTTGGTACACTTATACATATTGCTGGTTTGACTAAAAGACAAGCCACTGTGTCAAGAGCTGTGAGACAAGTGACCAAGGTTTTAAATGATTATGCCATTTGTTACAAATATGTGAGATTTCCATTGGAACAGCAAGACAAGAATGACAAAAAAGCCAAGTAAGTATATACTTAGGTGCCTTCATTATTCTGCTATCAATAACCTTTGTAAATATGAGAAAGTAAAGCCTTGACCCTTACCAATATAATCTGTGTGCACCTAACTAAGGGTCTCCTACTTTGTAGGGATTTCAAAAACCGTATATTTTGTTTTCCGATTGTGTTGTTTTTTGCAATATAAAATTATTAAAAAGATTTTTATTACTTAATAAAAAAAAATGCTGTGAAAATAAATAGTCGTTGAGGTCATAAAGTAAATATTTAGTATTTGTATTTAGTTAATATTTTTTAATACAATGGCCGAGAAAAGAAAACGTAGTTAAAACTTTACATCGGAAGAGAAAGACAAAGTCGTGAAGTTATTAATGGACCATAAAAATACCATTCTAAACAAGAAAACTGATGGATGTACGAACAAAGCCACGATCTTAGCTTGGAATCAGCTTACGGGACCTTTTAATGCTACTGGCACCGTTTACAGGTATGCTAAACGATGTTTTTTATTTACTGGCACGTTTACAGGTATGCTAAAGCATTTTGTGTTGTGATAATTCAATGTAAAACCTTTTTTTTTTAAATATTATTAGTTGAACTGTGTACTGGTTCACTGTTTACCTTGATAGTAAAATATTTAAAATCAATAATATTTTTGTGTATTTTAGGATGCCAAGACCAATAAATAAGTAACGGAAAATAGGCAAACATACAAAAGACGACACGAGATCAGCTTTATAAATGGTTGAAAATGGGAGCTCTATTAGGACAGCAGCAAAAACTTTAAAAATACCCTACATTACGTCGTTACGTGAAAAATAAATTTGAACATGGTAAATCACTTGTACCTAGATATGATATTAATAAAGTGTTTACACAAGATCAGGAACAAATATTAGTAACAAGGACTGTACACAACTTGCCGAGTATCAAATACGAGATTAACACTCAAATAATTCTGCAGTGGAACATAATGATGACGTATTTATTCCAAGTACTTCAAATGAGATAAATAGAGACCCTAGCTATAGCCCTGAAATGGTTCCCAGAAAACCGAAAACCTCATTGAATGCAGCTACTGTATCTAAGGTTTCAAAACCAAGCACTCCAAAAGAAGATACATCCGGTAACATTGCTATGCAAATACTTCATCGCGGATTTTGCAGGAAATATCTCCTATTCCGCAAAAGCTTATTAAAGTTCGTAAAAGAGCAAAGCAAGTAGGTACACTATTGACTTCAGAAGAACACATCAATGCTAGAAAATGCGTTGCAGAAAAAATATTAAAAAAAGAAAATAAAAAAGAGAAAGAACCTAGAAAGGTTATTCAAGAGCTGTCTGATAACAGTGACAATGTTTCTTTAAAAATTTTAGCTGAGAAAACTAAAAAACGAAAAACTAACGAAGAGGATAACTGTCGCGGATGTGAAGAAAACTATTATGAAACCCAGCTAATCAAAGACTGGCTTCCGTGTAAAGTTTGTCAGTTTTGGGTGCACGAACATTGCACCGAGTTCGATGACTCGTGTTCAAAATGCGGGCAAAAGGAAAAGAAAACTAAAAATTACCAAAATAACTAGGAATAAGGTATGGCCATCTTATCTTACCTTTAATATTATGGCCATCTCACCAGGATACTCCGGGAGAGATGGCCGATTGTGATTAAAAAAAAAAGTAATCTTTTAAGTGTAATCTCGTTATAATTGTTCCTATTTAGTCTCATATCCTCAAAGTTAATTACGAATAAATATTTATGGTTTCTCTGGTTACTGGTAACCAGGTATTTTGAACCGCTGTAGCTTCGGAGCCCGTGGGGCTGACCGGGGCGTGTTTGGGGTCTTTGGAACGGGGCCGGCGAGGGCTATCCGTTGGTCCTATCAAATCGTCTCTACATAGAGCCGAAATTTAATTAGGCTCTAAAACTTTCAGTTTTGACCGCTGGGGCGCGCTTTTTGCTCCCACGAGCTGGTGTAAGGTAGACCAACTGAGGAGGTCAACCAGGCCAACTGTTGGGGGAGACTCCACATAGAGCCCTCACCAAAAGCAAGTCGCAAAAACGACATGGACACTGCTCCGGTGCCCGAGGGCTCCGGGCCGGGGGGGGTTTCGGAGGGGGACCGACTCCACGACGGTGGTGCTGTAAAAAAGTCAGCGAGGAGCGAACAGGGGGCCCGGACGAAGCCGGCTAGGCCACCTAAATCGGTTAAGTCGGCGTCGGGAAGCCTACGCAAGGCCACCACTATCAAAAACGCCCAAACCACCGCGAGGCGCAACCAGGCAGACCTTGCCCGAGGGTTTCTTGAGGTGGATCAGCCGGCCTCCCTTGACCCGGCCGGATCTTCGGGGGACTGACCGGGGAAGTGAAGGTTTTCATTCTCAGCGACTCGAGGTCAGCGCTGGAGACATTGGCCGACCCTGCCTCCCTCCACCCGATCATTAAAATCATCAAAACCAGGCTGTCCGACCTGGAAAAAAGGGGTCGCGAGGTACAGTGGTTTTGGGTGAAGGCACACGCGGGACTGCCCGGAAACGAGAGGGCTGATGAACTGGCCAAGGATCGTTCCTTGTCCAGTTCATCAGCCCTCCTCCCCCTCAAGGACAAGAGGGCCCCGCTATACACAGACTTTCCGGTGTCAATGGCGAGGCGTCTCATCAGGTCGTCCACACTAGAGGAATGGCAGAAAAGGTATGATGCGGCCACTACAGGAGGAACCACGAAGTTGTTCTTCAGGAGCGCACTGGAGGCCTACAAAGCCTTCAGAGACTACAACCACAATAATGTACTCACGCAACTACTTACAGATCACGGCGGCATTAGGGCCTACCTATATAGGTTTAAACTCGCGGAGACGCCGGGATGCGTATGCGACGGTGTTACAGATGAGACAGTGGAACACATCATGAGGCACTGCCCCAGGTTTGCGTCCCGGCGCCAGGACTGTGAGCAGGAACTGGGGGCCAGCCTCAGCGAGTGCGACCTGGCGGCAGCCATGGAACGTAAAGAGACAAGAGAGATACTCCTGAAATACGGCACAAAAGTAATAAGTATCACAGGACGAGCAAACGGCTCGAGAGCTTAGAATGGACACTATCGAAATCTAATTATTTTATCGTTGTTTGTTTCTCAAATGAATAATTAATTATTGGATTTGATTGAATTAATTAATTGGGGATTCTATTTCACTTATCTTATCTAATTCTATCTGATTTAATCTAGTTTAGTTTATTGATTTATTAGTAATTCATTATCTTGTTAACTATTAATTTATTGATTTATCAATTTTATCAAATTTTCTAACTTAATTTGTTATTTATTTATTGATTTAATGAGCTATTAATTTACTGATTTGTTGACTATTGAATTTATTAACTTTAGCGAACTTACTATTCAACTGAATTTGGTTGATTTTGTTAATTCTATCGGGCCTAAGTTATAAATTGGTAGACATGTTCCTCAGATTAAAGTGACCTATCTGAGTTGAATTGAGACTTATTGGAAATTGTTTTATGATTTATTGAATCCTAATTTATTGATACTGATTATTTACTGATTTATTGATTATGTTAATTTTATTAGGCCTAGTTGTGTGATTTGTATAGCATATTGATCTCATTAATCTTAAGCATATTGATCTTGCAAATTTCACTGATTGTACTGATTATAATAACTATATTGGGCTTGGTGGTGGGAATTATATGTGCCTTATGGATTTTAATGATATTGGATATATTGATTTTCATTATTTACTAGTTGAGAGTTCATGGGCCAATAAGTTATTAATCTTATTAGCTTTACCGACCTCATCGATCCTGCCAATCTTGGAAGGTTTAGCTGCACAAATTGATTAGGTGATCTATATTATTAATATCTATTGTATTGATGTTATTAGGCCTAAGCTTATGAAGTATTGTAATCTGTTTAATGTATGAAATGTCTAACTCGATGCGACCCGGGTGATTGGTTCAGTTGAGGATTATTTAACTGAGTTCAATGTATGGACTGGGTCGTGTGAGTGAGTAAAATGTAATTTAGTATATATTCAGATGCTTCATTGGAAGGTACTGCAGGGAAAAGTCTCTCCATACAGTAAAACAAGTTTAGTGTTACAGGTTACGCCCTGCCCCCTGCCGTAATTTTTCCTAGGTATTTTTTTTTAAACTTGATGATGCAAGGTGCACCTCCAGGAAGTTTAGGCCTCGCGAATCCCTCAGGTTGGATGACTAGTGATTTATTCGTAGAGGTAATAAAACATTTTATTAAGTGTTCAAGCACGACACCTGAAAATGGATAATCACGAGCCACATTTCACAAGTCCATTGAGACTCTACATTTAGCTTAACAATCTGGGGTTGCGCTTTTTACATTTCATTCCACTCACACACATTTCACTCACACACATTTCACTCACAGACTACAACCCTGAGAAGTGGGTTTGATGGGCTCTTTTAAGACCTATTATTATTCCGCGCTAGAGTCGTGGAGGATGCTACAGAACCCAGGAAAACCAGTTACAATCTATGAGATTGCAAGATTCATTGGTCATGCTTATCCAAGATCTATGACTTCACTGAATATATCGGCAGCTTTGACAAAATGTGGTATTTACCCTATAATAAAGATATATTCTCCGATGAAGACTCTATGCCAAGTAGCGTGACCGACCGCCCTGTTCCGGTGTTGTCAGAAAAATACTGATACTCCTAATGCTAAAGCTTTTGGGATTCTAGAGATGAATAGAAGCAATAATCTACAGATAGGCGCTACTCGACTTCTCTAGAGACACGTCGTTCAAGTTATGATACTGATGTTAACCTACATCGAAAAAGTCCGTCTATACTATCAGAAGAATATCATAGTTCCCAACAAACAAAAATTGCTCTTGAAGTGACTTTCATGCCCAAAAATAATATTCTTATAGGAGCCGCATTATCGCTAATAAGGGTGCGTTTGGTTTTTCGGGTAGGTGCTAAAAAAGTTAATACACACATTTAAGAGCTCTTAAATATTTTAATTAATTTAATGAATTAATTTGTACAATAACAACAAGAAAAGCCTAATTAAGCTTAGCTTAGATGTACTTACAGTTTTCTCAGTGATTACATGATCTAAGAAAGGTTTTTTAACCACCTGCCAGCACAACAAAATATCATCTCACAAGTGTTTTAATAATCGCTTTGAATACTACAATTATCACTATGTCTCAATTGTCTGATATACAAGAAGCACAGAACAACTTAGAAGACAGCTTTTCGAGGAGGATGGCTCAGTTGGAGGCTCAACTGCAATCTGGTGGCAATAGCAAGGAGACAGTGGCCAGGGTGTCGGAGGAGTTCAGAACTTTTCGCGAGCTGATGTTTTCCATGTTGGGTCTTCTTCGGAAGCAAATAAATGAATGCACTAAGATGGTTGATGCTATGGAGACTCGCCATCGTCACAAATCACTTATCTTCTTGGGAGTGCCCGAGGCTATCAAAGAGGACTGCAGTACAACCCTGCTTGAGATCATGAATAAGAGGATGGGTCTTCATGACATCTCACGGCTCAACATCAGACACTGCCATCGCATTGGCGCCCCCTCCAAGGAACATCGTCGCCCCATACTGGTAAGATTTACTACCGCAGAGGCTAGATTCGCAGTCTGGAAGTCCAAAACATCGTTAAAGGGCTCTGGCTTCTCGGTAAGAGAATTTTTAACTAAAATACGTCAGACAGCTTTCACCATGGCTCGGCAACATTTCGGCATGTCAGCTTGTTGGACGCAGGACGGCGTTATAGTTATCAAAGCCAGCGATAACAATCGGTACAAGGTGACATCCACTGATGAGCTGAAGCCCTTGCTAGTCAAATTTCCAAAGTCATCATCCACAAGCCCGCCGGGTAAGCAAGCCGGTAATACAAGCTCGGGCATCAATAACAAAAGTTCGCGAAAACACTAGTTCTGTGTGACACCGCTGTTTGTCGCTTCCCGGATACAACATTACTTTTGTTGTGTTTATATAACTGTAATCATCCTTACTCGCTTCATGTGTTGTATCATGTTTTGTTTCTTTATATTTAAAAATTGTTGATTGTGTTGTGACTCGTGACAGGTATCGCATCTGTCAAATCGACGTTTTGCTCATTCGTCATTCATTACTGGTGCGTTCCGTTTCTTGTAACTCAAACGTAAGAACACGAAGCTCTGAGCTATTTTTAAATTAACCTCTTACATTGTCTAAAATTATTTCATTTTTTTTTTCTGTTTTTGTCAAACTGTTTTTATTATGGCTTTTTGTATTATGTCAGTCTTGTATGTGTAAGCTGGCGGGTGGTGTAGAAATACGCACCAACTTCGATCAAGGTAATTACTTCTAAACTATATATTATTACATATTTATGTAAAATATTATTTATACGTTTTTTTTTTTTTTTTGTATTATATTAGAGTTAAATGTATTGTATTTAATATGTGTACTCGATTCTAATGACTGTTGATGATAATGAAGTATACTTTTCTGCTGATGACTCCTCCGGGGATGAAAGCTTCAGTTCCCTACCTGACACTTTGGGTGACCGATTACGGCAATCATTCAACAACCAATCACATTCTTTATTAAATGTGTGTCATATTAATGCTCAGAGTGTTCCCAGTCACTTCAGTGATTTGACTGAAACTTTCACTGACAATAATGTGCATGCCATCCTGATTTCGGAAACTTGGCTTAAGCCGCACCTAGCTTCCACCTCTTATTCTCTCTCTGGCTTTGTACTAATTCGAAACGACCGATTGGAATCAAGAAGAGGGGGTGGGGTTGCCATTTACCTCCGTAGTTGTTTCCCCTACAACATCCTTGCCACTTCCTCTTCCGATCCTTCTACTACCGCTGAATACCTCTTCCTCGAAGTTTGTGTCAGAGGTTCTAATGTTTTACTAGGGGTAGTTTATTGCCCCCCTGCTGTCAACTACTTCTCCAGTCTGGAAACAGTTCTGGAATCTTTAGGGTCAGAATACTCACACCACGTCATCATGGGCGATTTTAACACCGATCTCCTAGCACTTAATTCGCCCCGTACTCGTAATCTCCTCCATATCATCCAATCCACTAGTCTCCATGTCCTCCCCCTTCAAGCAACTCATCACAACATTGAGCACCAAGATACTTGGCTTGACCTAATTATCACCTCTGCTCCAAGACTTGTCTATTCCCATGGTCAATGTCCTGCTCCTGGATTTTCCCATCATGACCTGATCTTCCTTTCTTATATCCTGAAACCCCCTAAATCCGTTCCCAAATTTCTGCATATTCGTAGTTTCAGACGAATGGACGTCAAAAACCTGCGTGCAGGCGCTTCTGCATTAGACTGGACAGACTTGGCTGCAGCTACAGACATGAACGAAAAAGTTACTCTTTTTAATGACGCAGTTCTTAACCTGTATGATATCCACGCACCTGTGAGGAAAGTCAAATTGAAGCGCCCTCCGGCGCCATGGATGACGGACGAAATTCGAATGGCTATGAGACGGAGAGACCGTTGTTTTAATGGGTACAGGAAGGATCGCTGTGAGGAGAAATGGAACCTTTTTAAAGCTGCTAGGAATCGGTGTAACCAGGTGATACGTAACGCAAAACGCCGCCATATCATTCAAAATATAGAAACCTCTTCAACTTCCAGTGTGTGGAAGTTCCTTGGAACACTAGGCATTGGCAAGCAACAACGCCCTGAGTTTAAGATGACAATTGGTTTAGATGATATTAACCGTCATTTCTCAACTACACCTCAGTTGGATCATCAAACCAAGTGTCAAACCTTGAGCTATATAGCTAGTCTAACCCACCCTGATATTAAATCCTTTGACTTTTCTCCGGTATCTTCTGAGGACATCAAAAAGATTATCCTATCCATTCGTTCCAATGCTGTGGGATGTGACGGTATCAGCCGTCGCATGATTGTTACCATCCTGGATCACGTTCTTCCAGCAATATCTCATATCATAAACTTTTCACTTGACTCTGCAACCTTTCCCTCACTCTGGCGTAAGGCCTTCATCATTCCTTTACCCAAAAAAACTAACCCCTCTCTTCCCGAACACTTTCGACCAATTTCTATACTTCCCTTTCTTTCTAAAGTGCTAGAGGCCTGTGTACATAAGCAGCTCGCACAGTTTGTAAATCAGCAGAATCTTCTTAGTCCTTTACAATCTGGGTTCAGACCTGGTCACAGCACAACCACCGCTCTCCTCAAAGTGACTAGCGATATTAGGGAGGGTATGGAGGAGACTAAAGTCACAGTGCTGGCTTTGATTGACTTCTCGAATGCCTTTAATACCGTTAGTCATGACGTTCTACTGGCCATCCTTTCCTATCTTATGATCTCCTCAGAAGCTCTGGAATGGTTCTCCTCCTATCTTCAGGGACGACAACAGAGTGTTCATATTGATGACTTGTCGTCGAGTTGGTGTAATCTTCTCACTGGCGTCCCTCAAGGCGGTATATTATCTCCCTTATTATTCTCAATATTCATTAATCTCATAACCCAGCACCTTCAGTGTACGTATCACCTGTACGCTGATGACTTACAAGTGTACACAAAGACAAGGGTTGAGGACATAACATACGCTATCGACAAAGTCAACAAGGACTTAGACTTTATAAAGAGCTGGTCAACGAGGTTTGGTTTGTCGGTAAATCCAACCAAATGTCAAGTGATCGTCGTGGGGAGCAAACAAATGATAAGTAGGTTGGATTTGGCGGTCATCCCACCAGTTGTCTACAACAATGTGACTATACCTTATAGTGCAGTGGTAAAGAACCTGGGGTTATATATAGACTCGACACTTGACTGGCGGGCACAGGTTACACACGTCGGCCAGAAAGTCACCACATGTCTCCGTGCCTTATATCGATTGAAGAACTTCCTTCCCGCTAAAACTAAAGCTACGCTTATGCAGTCCTTAATTATTCCCATAATCGACTATGGTGATGTGTGTTATTTCGACCTGAATGCAGACCTTCTCAATAAACTAGATCGCCTTCTCAATAACTGCATTCGATTCGTTTTCAATCTTCGCAAGTATGACCACGTGTCTGCTTTACGTTCCCAGCTGCAATGGCTCCCAATTCGTCAGCGCCGCAGTTTACGAGCACTGACTTCTCTCTTTTCTTTCCTCAACTCTCCATCGTTACCTGAATACCTCGTACCCCACTTCCGTTTCCTATGCTCCAATCACGATCGAAATCTTCGATCAACCAACAATATGCTTCTTCTATGCCCCCCCCACACCTCTAACTTCATCAACTCCTCCTTCTACGTCCAGTCAGTCCTCCTCTGGAATGCCCTCCCTGCCGAAATCAGGATGTCAACAAATCGCCTCGCATTCAAGAGAAAAGTGCGCGATCTTCTTCGGGGTGAATTGGCGAAATAGTTACAGCTCTAGTTCCCGACTGAGTATTTATATATTTTATTAAATTTATGTAGGTTTATGTATGCATGTGTGTTTTTATATTGTGTATGTTTCTGGACCTAAATTATGTTAATATCATATTTTATTTCGCACCTACCGCATCATATTTCTACATCACCTAAAGGTTGACTGGGAGAGAATGCCTAATGGCATTAAGTCCGCCTTTGTACAATATGTGCATTAAGTTTAAAATAAAATAAAAATAAATTAATAAAATAAGGACAATAACTTACACCCCCCTTGAAGTTGCTTTATTGTCCGCTTTTTTTCCTTATACGTGTTATATTATGACAAGGAACAAGGAAGTTGAACTTATAATGGCAAGAAAAGCTCCTAAAAAGCCACCTCATACACTTGTAAGAAACATATAGAAAGCGTTAATACGGGCCATTATAAGGTAGTTAAACTCATTGCGGAAATCAAAGGCTCTTAAAAAGCCGTAGGCCCTTAAAGCCGTCTGTTTATGATTCTGCAATAAGTCTTTTTCTTAGTGATTTGGCATTTTCGCAACAGTTTGGCGAATAAAGAGAAAAGTCAACCATTTTATAAGTGAAAAGTGAACGGTAAGTAATTATTTTACGTATTTACCTAATTTATGTGCTCATTTATAGAGAAAAGTGGATGGGAATTCAAATGCATGATAAAATGTGGTACGCTGTGTGTTGTAGAATCAACGCGCCCTTGAATTTTAGCTGTTTTTGTGCTACAAACGTTATAAATTATTTTGTCATGTTATAAACAGTGCTATTATGAGAGCAAAACGATTCTCACATCGTCTACAAGGAGTCTATGAGAGTGAAGACTTTATAATGGAAATATTTGTTGCATAGGCTATCGCCATTTTAAATATCGTTAGGGTTCCTTTCTCACGAACAAAATCCTGTACCTAGTTATTCTTGTTCCCATAATTATAATTGTATAAAATTTATGTTCCACACTATGGTTGGGTTGGCTGGAAGAGATCTCTTTATAGGGACAAGCTTGCGTTTGTGCACTAATTTTAAGTTTGAAGTATAATTATAATTCTAAGTACTTACACAATAAAGAATATAATTATTTACACAAGGTGTAGTTTTGCATCCTTGTCAAAATTCAGGAGATTGTCAAAAAATACATAAATAATCAATTTAAATTACGGTACGTGTTCAATAATTAATAAAGCTGCTATTTTAAATTGTTTATATTTGACAGTATTTCAGATCGAACTAAAGTTATTTTAACAAAACAAACAAACAATGTATGTGAGTGTCGTCTCGACGGTTGACGCGACTGTCGGCGCGGGCGGCCGCGGCCGCCCGCCGCACGCCGTTTTCTAGATACCTACAATACAGGCTACAGTGAACGATGGCCATATTTTATCTAGTTCGAATTCTAAAATCACCTACCTAATGATAATTAACTCATTTTTAAGCATCACTAAAACGCGGAAATCTTACTCATGAAAGTAGTAGGTACCTACTAGACTAGTGCCTAAAGAAAGGTCACGTACGTTACAGACTGAGTACGGTAACTTTATCAGCTGATTAATAAAATGTTACGAGTAGTTTTACTTTATTACGTTTTTTTGCAATCCTGCTGAACGGACAATCCCAAAATTGGTAATCGGTCCTATTCCTATATCTGAATAACAAAAGCATGTAGGTAGGTAGGATTTAGTATAACCTGAGGCCCACATCTGTTAGCGCGCGGGTTTGAATTTAGGTATTAAGAACTCGGCACACTGTAGGTAAATTCAGTTCAAGGTACCTAGTAATAATTTTAAATATCGTTAGGTTCGTTTTAAATATGGTACCTAGTAATAATGATCGTAATGTTTTATTGAGATATATTAATATCTCAATAAAACATTACGATCATTATTACTAGGTAGGTAGGTACTGTGTTAGTTGGTAAATATTTATATAAGTTTAGTAGCTTGCACTTTGTGCAAAACCAGTATAGACCAGAAATATATCCATCTCCTTCCCCCACAACTACGGTACGAATTCAGTCATTGGTCGGCGTGTGTTAAATTTGTTTATGTAGTGAGTAGTGTCGCTCACGAGCTCGCGCCAGACGGGCGTATGCGAAAGCGTAAGCAATCTTGTCTTGACCGTGTGCTATGCTAAATATGTATTTCTTTCGATTCTTATGTTATATGTATATATCCTATTAGAAAGTACAACAAATATTGTTTAGTAATAACTATATGGTGTCAGTATTGTACAGTACAGTATGAGAGGCGAGTTGGATTCTTAACTATCTACCAATAGTTATTACCTACTACAGTCAGCAGAAGGTCATTGCATGAAGCCACGTGTGTACCTACGAGACATTATTATGCAGGTAGTAAGTTGTTTTAAGTTATTTTATGTTTTATTTTCTTTTCAGATTCTTTAACAATGCCATACAAAATTGTAAAGACGTTTGAAAAGGGGAACTCAAAACTATCAGCAGTACCAAGTAATTGGGAAAAAGATGGCGTTCTGCACTGGCCCAGATATAACGAAAACAAATTAAGAAGAGTTGAAAGTTCGTATCCTGAATATAACTGGCGAAAAATTAATTGCAAAGTGAAGAGATCTAATTTCAGTACTATTCTTGAAGCGGAACAGGAATTAGACAAAATGTGTAAGAAGTCTGACACAGAAACAGACACTGATGAGCAATATTATGTGACAAACCAAAAAGAAATGATGTTTAGTCAACTTGTTCAAGATTGCATTATGGTAAGTAAATTTTTACAGAAATACAGATATTTGAATGGTGGATTTAAATTGCTGATGCTCCTAAATAGAATTTTCACATACATACATAAAGATCCCTCACGCCTCTATAACGGAGGGGTAGGCAGAGACTACATCCTTCCACTTGCTACGATCTTAACAAACTTCCCTCGCTTCTTCTACTCTCATCAATCCTTTCATACATGCTCGTCGGGTTAGGGTACTCTCGACCTGGCCTTTATTTAGAACGTCTTGGATTTGGTCCAGGAACGTTCGCCTAGACTTTCTTCTTCCAACGTTCCCGCTCACTCTCTCTTTGTAGATTTTTTTCGTCAGTCTCCTTTCATTCATCCTCTCTACATGACCAAACCATCCCGCCATTCCTTTCTCAATTTAGTCACTACATACCAATAGGTATCTTATTCCACAACGTTCTCCTATCACACTATTTCTAATCCTCTCACTCACTTTTACACCAATCATACTCCTCAACGCTCGAATTTCTACTGCATGTATTTTAATCTCATGCATCTTCTACCATACATACCCAACTTTCACTGCTGTACATTATAGTGTTGGCACTAACCTGCCTCTATGCTACTACGATAAATTTTCATAACCATGTAGGTATGTGATTGCTTTCTACTGCGATTTTTAACTCGTTGGTTTGTATTTTTCTTGCAGTATGAAAATATTTCGTCAGTCGGAGCAGTTGAAATGAAGGAAAATGATGTATTGTGTCAACCTTTTCAAGCAATAAATTCAGAAAACTCACTGATAGCAATTCAATCTCCAGTCATCAATACAGATTCCAACGCTCAACAAAATGTGACTCAACCTGATGAAGCAACAAATATAGAACACACACTATTAGTAATTCAACCTTCAGCAACTAGTACTGATTTCAACGCTCAACAAAATGTGACTTCCGAAACACATATTGATAACGCCGCCTCCTTAAATGTATTCATCAACAGCCTTCAACTGTCCACTGCTGGACATAGGCCTCTCCTTAGAAAGGAGGTTTTGGCCTACTATACCACGCTGGCCAGACGGGTTGGTCGCCCAACCCGCTACCAAAACATCAAACGAAGAAAAGAAGAAGAAGCCCCGTGGAAGAGGTGCCAAAGCTAGGAGCTCTGAAGAGTTCCAACATCAGGTAAACCGAAAATTCATGGACCGAAATTTCAAAGCGTCTTGGCGTCTTCAATCAAGATTACGCTGAGCTGGAACGTTCTCTACGTAGGATGATGGTCACCGTGCAGCCGCGAGCAATACCAATGCCAGTACGCTACTCGAGGCGTAGGCTTCACTGCCGTCGCTGAGTTTAGCCGATTGACTAGTGCATGGAATCTAGAAACAGTCCAAGTAATATGCACAATTTATCAATACTACGGAGTAAATGTATTGGTTTTGGCAAAATTAGAAACTGCAAGAAAATTACAAAAGTCTTAACGAAAAAATTACTGAAAATATCAAAGCCTAACAAGATGAAAGGAAATTTATTAATGAAAGCGTACAGTCCATTTTGCTCGGCTTATCCAATATTAGTGTTCAGTTTGAACATGTAATGAATCAGTTTAGCCGTGCGGAAAATAATAAACAAAAAGCAAACAACACTACAAACAAACTACAAACTATTACAAGTGAACACGAGCTACACAATTTTGAAAAACTATTAGAAAATCCAGAGATGGAAGAAGAATGGAAAAATAATTTTTCAATTATTTGTGGGAAAGGAAAAGGTCGAGGGGTAAATAACGCGTATGCATTGGTCGATTCAATGTTTAGCAGATGCTTTTTACTCCAGTGTAGCTGGGCTGGAGGATCTCGTACTTCTGACCAAAAGATTTTATTTAAAAGCCACACCAAAATTATAAATTTCTTTTTTGATCTTATTCATGAGTCGGATAGGTCATTGTCCTTATTAGACTGCCATAAATTCTTCAAAAATATCCTGAAAAACTCACGTCAGCGCAACGAAAGCAAACAAGAACGAACATCTAGAACCAAAAATCGACCAATAATAAAAGCAAATCGTAAGCACTTGTGTAACGGAACACAGCCATCTTTACCCATCACCGGAACTTCTTCACCAGGAAACAGCTCAGAGGTATCATTACCAGCTGTTGGGACGTCTGGCTCTGGTTCAGAAAACCGATCAGGCTGCTCAGAGCGAGTTGTTGAAAAGTCTGGTCCAGACAATGATGATGATGACCCGATGTCATCTGCATCCGTTGCAGGAACACACTAAGCCACTTGAAACATCTGTTTAAATAACTTTTTTTTTATCTACTTATTATTTTGAAACGTTTTATACTTACTAAGACTATTACCATTATTGGCTAGTCTTTAATAATACCTAAAACTAAAATGATCAAAGACTTAGGCTGAAATTTATAAAGCGTACTTAGACTTTGCTCAGACTTTGCTTACGCTAAACTTACTTAAGTTCCTGCTCAGTGTAATCTTAGCATTCGAATTTATAGTCCTCTTGGGCTAAGAATTTACTGAGTGTATGCTAAGCAAGAGCTCAGGAAATTTTTTTAAACGTTTCGATTTGCATAGCATATTAATTTAAATTCTTGGTATTTCAAAAATATATTATTTTTAAAATAGCTGCAATAACCTAAAATATTATTAATCTTATAAATTTTATCATATAATTGTATTTCAATCAATTAACACCTTTAGTTTTCATTGATTTTAAGTGATAAAAGGCAAAAATAACACATGTACAAGTAAAACAAAACGTACGTATATTTGACTTGTCAAATGTCATAACAATATTTGAGGTTGTCTCGTCTCGAGTTCATTCGCAAATATATCAATTTCTTGTATTAACTTTTTATCTTGACCCTGGCACACCCTTACGGACTTCTGTTACAACGCTTTCGAACTAGATTACGGATTTTCTTCCTGGACAATCGAACCATCTTTTCACATTGACTCTGGCATATTTCACGGACTTTATATACTTTTCTTGCGGATTTGGTTTTGGTTAACGATGGAGAACATCGATAGAATTGAAAATGTTCTGTCTAGAATAGATAGAATCGGCACATCGGCACTGGATAATGTTCGTATGCCTAAAGCTTATATTCGCCATGAATATAATCAAGATCCATATAATTTGTGCGACGATCAATTTAAAAAAAGATATCGATTTACAAAAAATACGGTGAAAAATGTTATTTTGCCACTAATTGCTGACAAACTGAACCACTATGATAATAGAGGATTGCCAATAACACCAGAAATACAAATACTCATTGCATTAAGGTTCTATGCTACTGGAACTTATCAGGTACGATTTTATAGTTGTCTCATTTTATACTAGATTCGTAAGACTGTACACTTACTCCATAGATCTTTACCTCAATCAGATCATGTCATACCACCTGGCATGACCGTTAACTTTTTTCTTGTGTCTTTAGTAGGTTAGAGCCCCGTGGTGTTACCCACGGTACAACAACAACCACAGATATATAACCTATTTTACTCGGGGATGATTTAGCTTTCTAATGGTGAAAAAATATTCTAATCAGTTCAGTAGTTCCGGAGCCTATTCAAAGCAAACAAACAATCAAATCTTTCCTCTTTGTAATATTCATTTCTATATATTCATTAATATATAGATAAAAATAAATCAGCTTTCTTTTTAGATTCTTTTAGAATGTTTCCTATTTTTCACCATAGTTTTGCATCAGATCAGTATAGGAGCAATAAGTCCTAGCTATATGAAATTTATTTCTTGGTCTATTGTCTGTCCCAGTAGTATTTTTAAATAAATTTTCTGTTTCAGACTGTTTGTGGAGATTTATTAGGCTTGAGCCAATCTACAGTGTGCATCATCATAAATAAAGTTTCCAGAGCATTAAGTCAACTTTTACCACAATTTATTCAATTCCCAAACCAGCTACAAGATGTCAAACAAAAATTTGAAGAGTTGGGTAGGACCAACCAACTACATGGACTTAATAATATAATTGGAGCAATAGATTGCACCCACATTAAAATAAATAGACCAAGAGGTATAGCTCACTCTGAAGCATACAGAAATAGAAAATCTTATTTTTCCGTTAATGTCCAAGCCGTTGTATGTCCCGATATGGAAATTTATGACCTTGTTGCACGATGGCCTGGAAGCGCTCATGATAGTCGGATATTTAGAAATAGCCGTGTTCATGCACGTTTGGCTAGTGGACAATTGCAGGGAGTCTTGGTGGGTGATAGTGGATACCCATCCATGCCATTTATTTTAACACCCTTGATACAACCAACAACACGTGCGGAAAATAATTACAATTATGTACAAATAAGGACAAGGAACATAATTTTTGTTTTTTTGGTGATGAAACAGAATGATGATTGAAACAGATTTTTTGGTGTTTGGAAGAAAAGGTTCTCATGTCTGTAATTGGGCCTCAGAAACAAATTAACAAAGGTGTGCAATATAATTGTTGCTTGTGCAGTGCTTCATAATATTGCAATAAGAAGCAGAGACAATTACTCAATTGTAGAAGAAGATGCACAGCAAATTGATGAAGTGCAGTTAAATTCAAGAATGTCATCAGCTGCAGGATTAGCTTTTCGACAATCCATCGTAGAAACTTATAATTGATAAAGAAATAAAAATCATAATATTAAGTTCTTAGTTTTTATTTAATTCTTTCTTCAACAAATCTCTTTTTAATTTTAATATTTCCAGTTCTACTGCATGTTTTTCCTGATCTTGCTCTATCTGTTTAGTAACTTTTTCAATTTCTTTTTTCACAAGTTCCTTTTTTAAATCCTCCAGAGATTGTTCCGGTTTTATTTTCTTTGCTGGAGCTGGTGCTAGTTCCGGGGTTGTGGGCATTGTAAGCCCCTGGAGAGAACAACCCGGTAGAGTATTAATATCTTGTACCTCTTCTCCGAGGACATGAACTTCCATGTCCATCATTCAATTTTTTTTTGTTTTGCCAGTAAACACCGTCATCATCATTTGTTTCACCTGAAACCAAATAAGATATCATTACTTACAAATAACTAGATGCTGTATGTGTATGTATATGTAATTAAAACAAAGTTGTTAGTACTACATATTTATAACTGATGCATGGCTAGACAAATCTTACTGAAATTTGGCACAGCTAGATTATAGTCTGGAACATCACATAGGGTATGTTTCACCCCACATGAACAAGAAATTCCCACACCAACGGGAATATCTAAATATGCCTGGACATTTAATTTATAGTAACAAAATGAACAACTAATAAATATAAATTATTAGTGAGTACTTACTAAATTGCGAGGTGCTTGATTGGATTATATCACTATTTATCTCAACTTCAATTGTTGGCATTATAGTTGGTAATATAGAAAGGACCTGGGTCTCTTCGGATCCTATAGCCGGAGGTGCAGGTCCACCACCAGTCCATTTTTTTTGGGCTTCTAAAGTTTTAGCATCTCTGGCCTTCGTTTTTAGATTTTGCCACATTTTTTTAAGTTGAGCAGCATTCACCTAAAAATAAAACAGATAATGTAAAGAGATAATGAGGTTATTAAAATCCCAAGTAGGTGGATATGTTATTTACTACTTTATTCTCTAGAATTTTAACTTACTCGCTGGGATACGTTAGGCGAGTTATTGTAGTGGCATGCAATATCCTCCCAGGCTTCTGTCTTCTTTTTTTGGGATGTACCATCGGTCTTGCGATTCTCCACTTTGTCCATTTTCGTCGTCACCAACTGCATAAGCAGTTGTTTTTCTAATTCACTGTAGGGCTTCTGTTTTTTTTTCTTATCGTCGGTGTTCATGACAATAGTAATCGGTGTCCGTAGATAAGCAAAAAAGGGTCGTCGTGAAAGCAGGTACAAAATCCGAGTTAATGCAAAAGGTCCAAAAGTATAAAAGAGTTCCAGCGCAGAAAACACCACGAAGCGAAAACAAAGATTCAACAGACAATAAGAGTTTATGAGACCACATACAATGACAAAACAAAAAATCCATAGATTACCATTGATAGATTGTTGTTTACAATAGAATTCCATTGTCTTTGGTGCTAATATTAAAATAATTTAATTTTAAGGCTTTTCAGAGCATCTCCAACTACTAATGAGCACGTAAGTAATCGCTAAGTCATGGATTTTGGTGACTTAGACTATGCTAAGCATTTGCTCAGCTTGAGCTAAGCATTATGACTATAAATTTCAACGCACACTTAACTCGTTAGGTAAGTCTGAGCAAAGTCTAAGCACGCTTTATAAATTTCAGCCTTATTGTAGTTGTTAGTCTGTTCTACTTACAGACATTTTTTTATTTATTTTTTAGTTGATTTTTATACATCGATGGTTGCGGGGAATAAAGCCACAATAGCAAAATAATAAATAAATAAATAACATACACATACTGATATCTTTATTCCCTGCAACCATCGATATTTGAATGTACGAAAAGTGTTTCTTATTGTAGTAATTTTATGACTGATTAATGATTAGGGTTCTACTTCTTAGAAGTAAGAAGGTTAGTGTTTAATAGCTTGTACTAGTTTTATTTTAAAGAGACTGATTTTGTACTGTTTTCTTAATTGTGTTCAAAACACATCACACTGAATCAATCTATCTATTGATGATGGTTGATCATTTTCCTACTAGTATATAAGTAAAACTATATTCTAATTACAATGTAACAATAATATGCTAAGTTACTCTACGGTTTTATTATTATACTAGCTGTTTCCGGCGACCTTGTGCGCTTACGTTAATTATTTTTTTATTTTTAAATTCGTGTTAGAAAGACTGATGATTGAAGTCCTGTCTTAAGTAAGGCTTAAAAACGAGTTTTGATAGTAAAAGACAAGAGATAGCTCCCAAATCAGGCATCATTCACAGGTTATGTTCAAACAGTGATTTCTATTGTGAACCCACCAACTGTTTCGCGGGCTAACTGAGAGAGCATGGAGGTCAGTCCTTAAACCAACAAATACAAAATTAGCCTTCCTTTAGACAATGCCCGATTTGAGAGCCCCTCTTCTTTTTTCTTCTGGATTTTGAAATACGGCGGCATGATTGCCTATAAAAAATGATGACTTTAATAAAAATACGTGATTTTAAAATTAGTTGTTTTATTTTACAAAGTATGGATTAATGGTGTAAAGTACAATACCGAATTATATTCTACATTTAATATTTTACATTTCAAAATTCATATATATTTTTTGATTTACTAGAGATGTAATCTTCACATTTATAAAAATTAATTAATGAAAACTTTAAGGGGTAGTCAAAGGCGTCAACTAAATTATCCATGCGATATCCTTCTAGTCGTATGTCTTCAGTTTCATTAATGTGTATTCCCGGGAAAAAATGATCAGGCCTGATCAGACCAGTTCATGCAAGATCAGACCTGAAATTTGACCTGATCAGACCTGTTCATGCCTGATCAGACCTGACGTTAGACATGATCAGACATGATCAGGCCTGATCAGTCATGATCAGGTCTGGGCCGTAAAATACGTTAAGATCTGATCAGGCCTGTTCATGCATGATCATGTCTGATCAGGCCTGAATGTATTTTACGGCCCAGGTCTGATCATGCCTGATCATGCATGAATAGACATGAGCAGGTCTGATCAGGCCAGTCTGGACGTATTTAACACTGCAGGTCTGATCATGCATGAACAGGCCTGACGTGTTAAATACGTTCAGGTCTGATCATGCATGAATAGACATGATCAGGTCTGATTAATAGTTAAATACTTATTCATTATTATTCCTATATCTTTATATGCAAGAATGAAACTATGATTATGAATTTAGAAGAAATAGAATATATAATAAAATATTTTTTGGATTGTAAATAAATGAATTGATATATACTCGTATATACCTTTTGTTCCATTTCCTAACCAATGCATTTTTTTACTTTCGATTTATTTATATTTTATTAATTATTCTTTCAACTACAACGATAATTTAATATCTTCTAAATTCATGATATAGTCTTGAAATTTACAAAATTACTATTTTATTTTAATAAACATATATATTACATAATTAAAAATTAATAATAAATAACTGGTCATTGTAAATTTCTGTTATAGAAAAGACCTTTGTGTTCTTACCTTCAAGGTTAATATTTTGATTTTCTCTGCTCAAATAATTTTTAAATTTTATAATTTAATTAAAACTTGTGTTTGAAATAATTAAATTTATTAGTGTGTTATTTGCAATGTTTACATAATATACATTTGTGGGTATACTGATCATATGTATATATCACACTCCACAAGTCATCAAGTAAATATATATGGGCACAGCTATGTGTGAGTGTCCTCATGTATAGCACACAACTTTATATGTCACGTTACGTGACACACCGGTGTAATTCACTTTCAACATGGATGCCGTCGCATAATAAGAGTATAAACTGTGTGCGTCTTCTACTAGCGTCTGTTTATGTGCAGTTGTATGTGATTTATTAATTAATTAAACTTTAAATATTTCACTCTACAAATTTATCTGTGTTGTTTGTGGAGGCATCAAACATGTTTTTAATTCAATGCTATGATGACAATTGCGCCTATATCATCGATAATGATGACATACAGCATGACAACAAAAAACCTCACGAGCTGGTTAAAGATGATATTACTAAATTCAATATGAAGAAACGACAATATGAAGGAAAAGTGATCGACTTTTCAAGTAAGATATTTAATTATTTTTGTTTATCGACATAAAGGTTATATTAACATTTTATTGAAAATATATTTAGTATACATAACCTAAAACTTGTTTTAATAATAACCTAATAACCACATATATATATAGTCAATCATTATTTTTAACATTTATAAAAACTTAAATTTGCTAACATTTGAAAACAATATTTTTTTAAGTAAATACATTACTCCTGGTGAAATATTCTTTAAATAAATTTCATATTTTTTTAATTACTTTAATAACCTCCATGTTAAATGTATATCTATAAAGTACTCAAATTAGATGCTTTTAAATTAATTCAAATTGTTTTAAATCGATTCAAATTAGATTTCTTAATCAGGGTATTTAAGTGATAGTAAAAAAATAATGCTATTTTTAATAAATACTACCATTTATTTTTAAATAAATTATGATTCAGATTCAGATAATTTATGATTCAGCGCTAGGAGCTTCTCATAAATCAACGCATTTGGCAAGAAGGTTGTTAGGACTAAAGATAAAAAATCAGCTGTTGTAAATCCATTAGATCAACAGGCGAAAGACGCGATCGTTGGTGAGTTTTTTTTCTTAATTACTAATCCTAATAGGTAACATTGTGTCAAATTGACTCTAACGTTTTTTTTTAATCTCTGGTTTAAGAACTTAATTTGAAAGCCTCATTTAAAGCCGTAATCTATCAATAATTTGACTGCCATGCTCAATTTTACTTGTATGCCAGAGAATAATTTTACAATAATTAGCATTTAATTGTTTAATTTGGAGCGTAATTCTTTGGGTTTGGAATCAAATTGACCCCATGTGACCGTAAATATGGATTATTATCGAGGTGTGATGTGACTCATTATGAACGAACTTTGCAGAGTTTGCGATGCATACAGCCGTTGAGAGGAAGTGGCCGATTCAAAGTCGACAAATCATTTTAAAGGAAATGAGCCAAAAGATCACTGAATATAAACGCGACAACATGAAGAAGGTTTCAGCCGCTGAAACGAGTCCAAAAAGCTAAAAAATTCAATTCAGTTTCACATTATACTTTTAATAATTTTAAGTTAAATTAACGTTAAGAAAGTCAACCAAAGAGTTACTTCCATATCTAATAAAAAAATAAAAGGTGATAATTACCAATTAATCATATCCATAAATACTATAATATTTTGTTTCGGATTTAATAAATATTTTTCAGAAAATATTTAATATTCTACGGTTTGTTAAAACTTATAATATAATTATCGGATAATAAAATTTCATTACTTGAACCATATATTATGATTTTATTTCAAACCTGGAAAGGATAATTAGATTAATTAGTTCTGCATGATCTAATCATACAGATCTAATAATTTTTACAGGCACTTTGATCAGCAGAGATTTTTTCAGGAATGAGTCTCAGGCTTAAAATTAACAAAGCTACTCGACGGTAAATCAGATCTGATCAGGCATGAGTCATCAGCCCTGATCATTTTTTCCCGGGTTGCTCTTATTTCTATAACTTGTTCGTTCGTTGTTAAAAACCATTTATCGTGTTTTTGGTAAGATAAAATAAAAGATTTAAAATGCAGTACCAATATAGATCCATTTTTGCTGTTGCACTGTTACTGTTACTGGATATTTCATTTTATTTTTACTGTAAGTCTCAATCTCGACTTCACTTCTTTCGTGCTACTTCTTCCTTCGAGCTACTTGTGCTAGAGGCTTATTTCCCTGTCTTAACATATGTTTGATAATTTGGAGTTTATTCTCAAAAGGGTAAGCATTAAAACTTTGTAAAGTGCCAAATTTTCGGACCTCATCAACGAGGTGTGATAAATTATGCACATTACTTGTAATATGATCCTTTCCATAATATTTTGCATAATTTTTTACAAATGAATTTAATAACGCTTGTGCTAGACGTAAAAACTTAAAATGATTTTCGTTAGAACAAACTGTGATGGCACAGAATAAACAAAGGAAGTGTTTGTATGCGTCAGTATCTAAAGCAGCGTCCACACTATGCCGGGCGAGGCCAAGCGGGCTGACCCGGGCGGCCTAAGCCGGGTTGGTGTGGACGCCCCGGGCGGCTTAAAAAGCCGGCCCGAGCCGAGCCGATCCCAACCCGCAGAAAGTAGGTACAGATCAAAGGATGCCGGCCCGAGCCGAACGAAAATATGTAGTGGGCACGTGCCGAGCGGCACCGGGCGGCTTTAGTTACAATTGAGCCTCCGAACGAACTAGACGTTCTCTGGGTTCTCTAAAAATTAATATTATTTAAATATTAATTTATTAATATTATTTAATTATTAATATTATTTAAATAATAAATATTATTTATTAATGGAGTGGAACGACGAACAAGTGTTGGTGTTAATTGACTTATTCAGAGAACGACGTCATCTATGGGACAGTTCGGATCCAAATTATAAATTAAAAAACAAAAGACACGACAGTCTCATGGAGATCGCTGTGTCTTTTGGAATAGAAAGATTAGAAATTGAGCGAAAGTGGAAAAATTTAACAAGCCATTTTTGGAGAGAGAAAAAGAAGGAAAATGAAACGAAAACAACAGGGAGTGGCGCTGATGAGCCGTACACTAGTAAATGGTTCGCCTACCAGCCAATGATGTTTTTGGGAGATAAAAATAAACCAAGGAATACTCAGGATAGCGGACAAAGAAAAGAAGAGGTAAGTTTGTAATTCTATTTATTAAATTTTTTAACAACTTTGCTAAAAACTAAGTTCATTTTCCTACGTAATATGTTTTACTTGTTGTGTTGGAATGTCACTTCACCCTGTGGAGAAATAAAAAAATCGGCAAATTCATCCCTTACTGATTGAGCCAAAGTAGTACTTCTTCTGGGGACTCCAGAAAGGGAACGTAAGGATGAAGAAGCATCACGCCTCCATAATCCTAACGTAAGCTCCCCTTCTTCCGTAGATTCGCTATCGAATATTCCTCTAGGGTTATAAACTGATTTTGAGGAGGTTTTGCGTAAAAAATTATGTAGGTAAACAGCAGCCATAGTAACTTTCGTTGCAACTTCAGGTTGTAATGCCATTGGAGATCGGAATACGCGAAAGCAAGCAGACAGCACTCCAAAGGCATTCTCAGAAACTCTTCGAGCCCTGCTAAGTCTATAACCAAATATCCTTTTCTTAGATCCTTTGTCATGTATTCCAGAGTACGGTTTCATAATATTTGGTGAAAGAGGGAACGCGTCGTCTGCAACTAACACAAACGGGGTTAGTGTTGTCCTTCCTGGCAATGCCCGTGGGGGAGGTAAATGTAGAGAGTTTTCTTCTAGAGCTTTCTTGAAAAATGTATTGTTGAAAACGCCTCCATCGGAGATTCTCCCTTGACAACCCACATTAACATATATAAAATTGTAATTGGCGTCCACCACAGCCATTAAAACTATGCTAAAAAATCCCTTGTAGTTAAAAAATTCCGAGCCTGAATGAAAAGGTGCTATTAAAGCGATATGTTTGCCGTCGATAGCACCGATGCAGTTTGGAAAGTTCCACTTTTCCTCAAATACCTGGGCGATTTCATTCCACTCTGCTTCACTCTGAGGCATCTGAAAAATGAAAGTAAAAGAAAAATTAGTCATACTTTTTAGAGAATTTTTTCTTTGTATATTTACTTATATTTATCTATTTTAGTATTTATTTTGGTATTTATATTTTCAGGAAGATGAATCACAAAACAGTCAAGAAGAAGGCATCAACGATGACAGCCAAGTTGTTCATCCCCAAAACTCTGAAGATAACCAACCATCAACGCTTTCCCCTTCAGAGGTCCAAGGAACCAAAAAAACATTCAAATCTCCGAAGGCACTGAAAAGCAAATCTGCAAAACGTCGATTAGTGGCTAGTCCCGGTCCACTGGATGAGGCTCTGAATGTTATGAGATCTCTTCATACAAAAAGAGCGAACATGGAAGATGAATATTCCTTGTACGGAGAACAAATAGCGATTAAACTAAGGAATCTTTCTTCACCCCGAACCAGGTTGGTCGTGCAAAACAAAATCAACCAATTATTATTTGAAGCTGAAATGGGATACCTTGATCATCAGCATGGGTACAATGTGCCACAAGTCAATATGCAACAAAATCCTGGACCGGCCAATCCAATGGTGCCTCCATTCCCCCAGGCTTCCAACATGCCCAATCAATTCCAACCACCAATCTTCACTGAATTGACCAATGCATCATCTAACTGGTTTTCGACATCTGGATACTCCTCAATGCCGTCATCAATCTCCTCGTACTCGCCATCGCCATCGCCATCCCCTGCATCCACTGGTTCAGAACTTTCAAATATGGACCCCTTCCCTCAATAGTTTTGTAACTTTTGTAATTAATTGTTTTCAACTTTTTACCCAATTATTTTTAACTTTTGTAATAAATTATTTTCAAATTTTGTACTCAATTATTTTTAATTATTATGTTGTCAATAAAAGTACTATTCTAAATTAATGTTGTTTAATTTTCCTTACCTTAATGTAATCTTGAAGGGCCTCTACAATGGCGTCACAAACTTCAGGTACGAATTTAGAGATACATTGTTTGGAGATCTTCAAAACATACATTAGTGAGTGGTACGAATCACCAGTCGCAATGAAGCGTAGAGTGGCAGCTAATCGTTCGCTTGCTGGAATAGCATCTCTATAACAGGTATTGGGTCCAACCTTGTCGAGTAGCGTTTGAAAGTCCGATCGCTGCATTCGAAAAAAGTTGGTGAAACCAACGTCATTTCGGTATTCCAAATTCAGCGGGTCTGCTTCATCCAAAATTAAATCTTTTATCAATTCGCTCGTCCTGTACAGCTGCCGTCCTCTCCTAAGGCTCGGGCGAATCCAAAATCTTCTTGGACGTCTTTTTGGGGGCTGACTTAAAGCTATTATAATCACAGACATGGCTGACATAGCGACGTCATAGTCGGTAATCATTTTAACACCAACACTATTTAAAAAAACACACTTTAAAAAAACTTCTTGAAAGTAGTCAACGAAGTCACCAGTCTTGGTGTCGAATTGAAACTAATAGGTAGATATAACCCGGGCGGCCTCGTTTTCGGTGTGGACGTCGTGCCGGCCCGAACGAACCCGCCCGGCTTAGGCCGCCGGGTCAGCCCGCCCGGCCTCGCCCGGCACACTCCGGCATAGTGTGGACGCTGCTTTAAACATGCTTCAGAATTACCCAACTCAGGTATAAGAAAAAAGTGCGGTATTCAGAGCCTTTCCAATGTGATAGAACATCAACAGTCCGAACAGATCTATGTATTTCTTTGGGCAACTTAATAGTTATTAAAAACGCGTTAACTTTTACAATATCACGATTACACCACTTAGTACGTTTATTAATAAAATGTCCATCTCGCCATCCCATTAATAAACGTTTAATAACTCCGAGGTCTATAAGATGCAGTGAATCACCAACCGGAAAATTTTCGATCATATCAATTTTCAATTGAAGTAGAGGTGAATCAACTTTATGATGTAGTCCATATTTCTTATTGCGAAAGTCATCATCGTTTCTTTTAGGACAATCTATTTGCGAGAATATTACTGTATGTGACAAATGTGAATAATCACCAACCACAGTGCATTTTAAACATCCGTGCTTACTGTTGAAATTAGAAACACCTGCAAAAAAAAAAGAAAAGTATAATTATGAATGTCATCCACCTAATGAACTGTATGTTTGTTTATATTTGAGATATACATGAAATTTAGGTATACATCACCTTTTATAAGAGCCCTCGCGGGTGAATCGCATATAAATGCTCGTATGCTAACTTCAATCGTCTCTTGCTGTCCAGTTAAAGTGGTAATTGTGAAACCATTCTCAATTTGCTTCATTTCATTGACAAAAGGATTTAAATATAAGTTCAAATTGGCAGGTTTTGATTTCCCTTCATATATTCCCACCACGATAGGTGATATATTTTTAATTTCAGTAATGTTGCACAGTACTGGCCAGAGTTGATGATTCGAGCTTTTATGTATCGGTAAACCGTCGATATTTATATTCAAGGTTGTTTTCTTGGGCACTTCATAGTTTTGGAAGGTTTTTTGTAATTGTGTAAGTAATTCATTATGCCAATAATGTCCAGTACCAATTTCAGTAATGCATATTTCTACTTAATTTGTTTTGAGCAATGTACGCGCATCTAATGGCATTTTGTTTGGCATTACATGATATAATATTTTTAATAAGTCACTTAAAGCTATATGTGAAATGTTGAATTTCACTGCCCATTCTCTAATATCACTACGAATATCAATATTCTTCAGCTCTTCATTTAAAAATATGTCTATATCACTATCACTATAGCCACAATTATATTCTTCCTCACTGGTTTCTTTTTCATTATCATTTTCTATAAAATAATCCTCTGCGGAACCACTGGCTGATTCGTTGGTATCGGCTTGTTCATTTGGTAGCATCATAGGAGTAGATGTGGTGGGTGTAATGCTCACAGCCATATTTTGGTAGACTTTTTTTACCTTTCTTCTGTAACCACCGCTCCTTTTAAACTTCTTCCAGTCTTTTGAATCCATTTTTTAAATGTAAATTCCGCTCCGTAATAAATTCACAGAATCTGCTGTAGGGTGGGATGGTAGCCAATGAATCAAGTGTACCGTATGAACCAGTACAGGTTGCGACAATACGCGACGTTGCCAGTCCGTGCAATAAACGTGTCTGGACCTCCTCCCCGCGCCGTGTAGAATACGCTAGTCACCGGCCTTTTGCCACCATAAACGGACGCGCGTGTCGCATTTTTGTGTTTCGTTTAGTAAAAACGACGAAAAAAACGTAAGTTTGTTTTGGTAATTACTTTGTTATTATAACTTTTACTAAACTATGAGTGTGTTCTATGCACTACATGGGTTATTGTGCTTATTTGAGTATATTTTTTTAATCGCTTCTATGCGCTTATTGGCAACAGCATTAAGTAACGTTTTCTAAAGGGGGAGGGGTACGCAGATAACCAATAACTCTGGGCACGCAATGAACCATTACTGGCATAACATTACTTTAATAATATAATTATATTTTATTTAATAGGTACAATTTATTATTGCGGGATAATAGGTATTTAGATATTACTAATATTAATATTTTTTTAGCATGGGTCGAAACACACTTGGAAGGGAACGTCGTAAAAAAGGAGCAATCCCTCCTGAAGCCATGCAAAAAGGCATCGAACTGCACTTAAATACAGGGCTGAGTATCCGGAAATCAGCTGAAGCTTCTAACATTCCCTATCCAACACTACGAAGATATATATTAAAATACGTGAAGGATCCGTCAACTAGATTGGAACCTCATTATAACGCAAGTAAAGTTTTTACTGATCAACAAGAAGACAGTATTAAGGAATACATATTGGATTGTGCAAATAAATTCTACGGATTAACGTCTAAAGACAGCCGCAGAATTGCTTACCAAATGGCAGCAATTAACAAAATTGATATGCCACCTTCATGGCAAACTCATGAAATGGCAGGTAGGGATTGGATGAGGGGTTTTAGGGCAAGACATCCGGAACTATCAATAAAAAAACCCGAAGCTTGTAGTATGGCAAGAGCTACAGCTTTTAACAAACATAATGTGCAAAAATTTTTTGACAACCTTAAAGAGGTTTATAATCGCACTCTATCTTTTGCCAATGGATCTCGAGTATACAATCTTGATGAAACTTCTACCACTACTGTGCAACGTCCTCAAAAAGTGCTAGCAGTTAAAGGCAGCAATGTCTGTAAAGTTACAAGTGGAGAACGAGGGATCTTGGTTACCACTTGCTGTATAGTGAATGCGATTGGTCAGGCCCTACCTCCACCTATGATATTTCCAAGAAAAAATTTTAAGACTCATATGCTGCACGGGGCACCTCCCGGGACCCTCGGTCTAGCCTCACCTAGTGGTTGGATGAATGTGCAATTATTTGTTGAAGTAATGAAACATTTTATCCAGGTATTTTGACGATTGTTTGATATAGGTAGATTTTTGTGTCTAAATTTGATTCTACGTGTGCAATAGATAACATTATTGTATTTCTATTTGTTTTAGTATACTTCAGCATCAAAAGACAATCCGGCTTTGCTCATTCTTGATAACCATGAAAGCCACTTGTCTATAGAAGCACTAGATGTAGCAAAAGCCTCAGGTGTGACTGTGCTTACACTTCATCCTCATACCACGGCCAGGATGCAACCTCTGGATGTTGGACTAAATGGCCCATTCAAGTCGTATTATAATGCCGCGATAGACTCATGGTTACTATGTAATCCAGGTAAAACTTTAAGCATTTACAATGTTGCCGAATGCGTAGGTATAGCGTATATGAGGGCCATGACTCCGGTAAATATTACTCAAGCATTTAAAAAATGCGGTATATTCCCCTTTGATGATAAAATATTTACAGACATAGATTTTTTACCCAGTGAAGTTACTAATAGACCAGCACCAAAAAATGAAACAGATGCTGAGGTAGATTTTCAAGAACCCGACATATATGAACGTTGTGGTTCACCATCTATATTGACGCCTGCTTTTTACGGTGACAATGATGAAACTGACGCAGATATTGAGAATATTATTGAAGAATATCACTATAGCATACCGGTACCATCTACTTCATATGTCCGCCAGCCATCGCCTTCAGTGGTTGATAATGAAGACGTATCCCCTACTAAAAAAACAAACTCTCCTGAAGTGTTTGGCATTCCAAGTAATTTTATTTCACCGAAGATTTTCAGGCCACCTTTGAAGGCAGAACCTCGCAAGAAGAGGTTCAAGAGAAAAGCAGGTAAGAGCATGATAGCTACTGATACACCCGAAAAGAACGCTTTAGCTGAAAATAAAAACCCAAAACAAAATAAAACCCGGAAAAGAGCTAACGTAGTTAAAGTGACTTTATTTGAAAGTAGCCGTAAGAGAGTAAAATCAGACACTTCATCAGACGAAGAGGATGAATTTATTTCCAGCGACTCATCTTCTGGCGGAGAAAATTTTCTCGATCAATCAGAAGAGGAAGAAGTCCTTTTATGCGACAACTTCCCTCCATTGTTAAGGAAGCCTCGCGTTGAAGACTACGTAATTATTGCATTTACTACAAAAAAATCTAAAGTTTATTACATAGCACAAATTTTGGAGGAATTAGAGGGAGAAGAATGCGATTATTATGTATCGTATTTCAAGTTAAAAAATAAGGTTACACAGACATTTTCGCTACCTCTAGAACCTGACACAGCAGGTGTGAATAGAAAAGATATTACATATATTTTACCACCTCCCATGACACAGGGTACGGCACGTCGACAAGCCACCTACAAATTTCCTGTCGATATGTCGTTACTGAATTTAAGATATTAGTTACCTAGGTAGATACATCCTAACTGAAGGATTGTTGATTAGAAGATTGTTTTGTTTCTATTAAGTTTTTTGTTTTTGGAAAATGTCATGACGGATGACGATCGAGGTGATAATAATTATTGTTCCTATTTAGTATAGGCCTGCGTACCTATAATTGTGATTTAACATTTAAAAATTAAGGCTGATTAGGTAGGTTATTTTTCTAACGTTTAAAACATAATAAATATTAAAACTTAAAACTGTTTTATTTATTAAACTTCAAAGAAACAATCAATGTAGTTATTCCTGTGAGTCATTGTGTACCACATGGTTCATGAAGTCCCACCCCCCCGATTTATTGTGTACCCTACGGTGTACACTATGAACCAATTACCTTTTTTTTTTAAATCGGTATTACTAAGACATTATCAAATAATGCCGAAAATTTGGTATCCAATATGTTAGATCATTAAATAACCCAAGTGTAGTGATTTTTTTTTATTCTAAAACTGCAATAGTAACTGTGCTAGAACTTTTCAAACTTTTGGTGGTTCAATGGCTACCATCCCACCCTACTTTCAAAATGGCGAATCTAGTTATGTAAAACATTTTAATGTAACCCTAAAGAGAATAATATCTTTATAATCACTGTTTATGGGAATACGGATTGCTTTCATCCTTGTAAAGATCATATAAAATGTTAGAATTCGTTTGTTGGTTAGACGTCTTATCAAATGCTCCTATAAGTTAGAGAGCATCATAGTTACCTTATGCATTACTTTTCTAAGAATAATTGACCATATTAAAAGTCTTTATATGACTTAGAATGTAACTAGCCTAAAAAGCAATGTAACTAGCCTCTATAAGAAGAACACATTTCGAACCCTTATTGTAGCCATATTAATTGGATTTATTAACGTTTACCCAGCCAAATTATAAGGATAAAAGTAATATTAGCCAAATCTTCTAATAATGTGCCACTATAAGGAACATTTAGCCAAATCTTCTAATAATGTGCCACTATAAGGAACATTCGACATAATAAATGCTCTTTTATAACAAGTATAAGAGTTAAGACCTTATAGACTTAATGTTATAAGCTTAGTTTGTTTGTTGGGTTACTACTAAACTAAAATCAACTACCAAAGTCGGAGCATATCATCACTCCACTAAAGGCTGACCCTCGTACCGATAAACGGAAAGTTAGAAAATTGGGTAAAAGCATGATAGCAACGGACATGCCAGAAAAGGAAAGAATCGCTGAGGAACGTACTGCTACGTTCAATAGAAAAGGTCTGCATAACAGAAAAGTTCTACAAGATGGTGGTAATGAAATTTATCCATCGACAAGTAAGATTAAAAAATCAATTAATAAGAGAAATAATAAAAAAAGAGATAATAAACAAAATTACTAGACGAAGATAGTGAAATCAGTGAAACAGAAAATGTGATTCTAGAAAGTGAAACAGACCTAGAACCGGATGAGAAAAATGACCAAAGGTATGAAATTGTAGATGAAAATTTTCCTGATTTACCGCGTAAGCCAATAATTGATGAAGTTGTCCTTGTATTACTGCGATAAAAAAAGGGTTGTTTATTATATTGCCAAAATTCTTTAAATCGAAAGTGATAATGAATATTGCGTTTCATATCTAAAATTAAAAGATCATGTTAATAAAACGTTTGTTTCCACTGGAACCTGACATGTCACTTGTAAAACTGAGTGACATTAAAATGATTCTCCCTCCTCCTTGCGTGTCAGGTACAAAATGTCTTATTAAATATTCATTCAATGTGAACTTATCTTTACTAAATATGGCGTGAATATTGAATCTGACGCAATTGATTTGATTATTTTGTCGTCGATCGTTAACTAGGTAATTAAATAATAACGACTGTTTATTGTACCACCGTAAAGGCTGATTGTTATTCAATTAAATTATCAATAACCTAATTATTTTATTAAAACATTAATAAACAATGCTCAAATGTTTTTTTTTGTTATAAAACTTTTATTTTTTGTTAATTTTTGTATGTCAAAAATAAAAGATGATTATTAAAAACAACGTGTTTATTTTCACAAATGAGTATTTTTCTGGTAATAGAATTGTGGTTCAGTGTAAACTATCCATAGTAAAGTAAGCCAAATTTCATTTTTTTTAATACCTTAATTATGGTTTAAATTTTATCATTTGGGTCATATAAAAGCAAAGTCAGCAACATCAATTTTTTTTCTGAACGGCATCTTTGAATGCAGTCGGTCAGTGTAACGCCATCTATAAATATTTGAATTAACAGGTCCCTGTAAAACCAGCAACATCCCCTTTAAAATCGTCATTTTAAGTATAGGTTCGTATCAAACACAGCAACATCCTAGGTTGTTTATTGCAAAAGGTTGTTTAGTGCAATAAGAAGTAGTGATTTAGTACTGTTTTCTCCGAAAAGATTGTAATAATAGCAAGATGGACTGTTACCCTATCCCCGTGGATAATAATTTAAGTAGAAAAAGGCAAGCTGAACCTGCTAAATGGAAAAGAAATTTGGCCAAAAGACAGAGGTAAGTTATAAAGTTTATAGTGTGACCACGAAAGTTTGATCGTTTTTTTTTACGGGGTCATGTTTCATAGGTAGGTATCGTATCTAGGTAGGTATTAGGTAATGTATGTTGTATTACAGTAGGATTTTTTGTTCTAATGTTATTTCATTTTATTTATCTGCTTATCTAAATTAATATTTTTTGTTCTAGGTATTCGGCTAAAACACTACCAAAAAGATTACTGTGTACGCAGAAGAAAACGTTTAATTGTATGATGCGCAGTCAGATAAACAGAAGCAAGATGCTATTTTACTAAAACATTGCATGCCTGTTACCGTAAAGCGTTGCCGTCGTAGTAATAACTCAAACTATGCGAAGCAAACATTTCAAACCAAGTTTTACATTTATAGTAAATCAGAAAAAAAGAAGGTACAAGTGTGTCAACGCTATTTTTTGGCAAATTTGCAAATAACGAAGTACAGAGTCCAAATAATAATGAAGGAATATTACCACACTGGGAGACTTTTAGCCGAAAACCGAGGAAGCGATCATGTTTTCTTGAAATATACAGCGAAACGAGAAGCAGTCATGAGCTTCATCACTAAGATACCGTGTGAAGAACCCCATTATTGTCGAGGAAATACAAAAAGGTACTATCTTTCTTCGGAGTTATCAATCAACAGGCTATGGAAGATATATAATTCAGAAGCTGCCGATGACTTTCAGGTAAAAAAATCCTATTTTCGACGTATTTTTAACACAAAATATAACCTTTCATTTGGCACTCCAAGAACGGACATATGTGCCACTTGCTTAAGATTTTCTGAAGAAATGAAAGTCGAAAAAGATGACAATGCACGCCTCAGGTTAATGACTGCCCAAAGATTAGATAAATTAAAGTTCCAGACCAGGTGGTATATTATCTGAGAAATGTTTACTTATACACACATTCACAATCGTAGCCGGCTCTTCAAAAAGTAAATTACTTCCTGAGAATATTTCCGCATACTGCTGGACTGAGGAGAGTTATCCCAAAGCTGCGAATGAAATTGCGTCAGCCGTATATCACAAGCTGAAAAATACAGACTTATCTACCATCACAAAAGTACGCCTTATGGCGGATGGATGTGCGGGTCAAAATAAGAATACCATTATGCTGGCCATGTTATCAAAATGGTTAACCGAAGCACCACAAAATGTCAAAGAAATTGAATTTATATTCCCGGTAGTGGGTCATTCGTATATACCTCCCGACAGAGTTTTTGCTCAAATAAAAAAGAAGCACGAAAACATGAAGTCATAAACAGCCCTCAAAAGCACCTGGATATTATATCGCGGTTCAGCACAGTGACGAAATTAGGAGTTGATTGTGAAGTTTTAGATTGGAAGACTGCTTCACAAGAAGTATTTAAGCCGGTGGGTAACTGGCACTTCCAGTTTAAATTATGTAAACGTTTTATTCTAAGACGTTCTAAAAGGGCTGGAAATGTTTTGATTGGTGGACATCTCTACTATAAAACCGATGACGAAGCCTGTAAAAATGTCTGCGAAAGAGGAAAATCAAGCTCCATGCTAAATCAGTCAAAGATAAATCCATCATGTACCTTATCTGATGTAAAGAAAAAGGACATTTTAACACTAAAAAGTCATTGGGGCAATGATTGGCAACAAAACGAAGAATTATTATTTTTTAAGACCCTATTAAATGACGCTGAAATTCAAGTTGAATGCGCTGAAGACAGTTAAGAGTTATGTGAACCGCAGGAAGAAATAGGTGACATGCATGTGTGATTTTTTTTAAATAAGATTAATTTACCTAATTACTTAAATGTAAAACATTTTAAAGATTTAAGTGTTATCTAATTACATTCAATTACGATTTATTCACTTTATTTTAGTTTTACTTATCATTCCTAAACATTTCGTAAGTATCAAGATTATTTACATTTCTTTCACCCAAAAAACAGCCACTGCAAAAACAGCAACATCCTAACCGAATTAAAGCAAAAGTACCATGTATTGGTCGCAAAAACAGCATCATCCAAAATTAATTGGTATTTTCTGGAAGCCTGCTGGTTTATAATGAAGATTTGATGGTAGATAAATATTGCTGCAAGCGCCCATACAGATTCATAGCCGATGATAGAAAAGAAATTGAAAATCAAATATCAAAACTATTGAAGAACAACTTAATTGAGGAATCATATAGCCCTTTTGCTGCTCCGGTTACCATGGCGTATAAGAAAGAAGATGGAAAAAGATCAAGACTGTGTATAGATTTCCGGGGATTGAACAAAATTGTTATACCTCAATCACAGCCATTCCCCTTGATTGAAGACTTGATGGTAAAGACTGTAAACTGTGAGTATTATTCCACTTTTGATATAAATTTTGGGCCATTCCTTTGAAAATTCAAGATAGAAATAACACGGCATTTGTCACGCAAGAAGGTCATTTCCAGTGGACATGCCTCCCATTTGGTTTAAGACAGCGCCGGCTATTTTCCAAAGAATACTGAGAAATATAATAAGAAAATATAAACTCTCAGATTTTGCAGTGAATTTCATCGATGATATCTTAGTGTTCTCTAAAAGTTTCGAGGAACACATTATACATATATCAAAACTACTTGAGGCAATACAAACAGAAGTATTTAGACTGAAATTCTCGAAATGCACTTTTCCAAACAATCATGCCAAATATTTGGAACACATAATAGAAAATAATTAATAAAATAACCCCTTTCTATACAGCAAAGAATATCATCACAAATATTGAGAAAATTTGTGATGAATGTGACATTTGTATAAAAACAAATCAAGAAGGAATCCAAGATTTGGTTTGATGTCACATTTAGGCCCAGCAACACGCCCATTTAAAATTATTGCAATTGATACAATTGGAGGGTTTAGAGGATCACGGTCTACAAAGAAATACTTACATCTCCTGGTCGATCATTTCACACGATATGCTTATATATTGACGTCAAACAATCAAAACTCCAATGATTTTATCAAGTTGATAAAAAATGTGAGGCAAAGCAACAACATTGATATGGTATTAACAGACCAATACCCTGGCATAACTTCCAAAGAATTTAAAGACTTCCTGAAAAAGAAAAATATAACACTGGTTATCACTGCTGTTGACGCACCAATGTCAAATGGACTTAATGAAAGGCTAAACCAAACTTTAGTAAATAGGATAAGGTGCAAAATAAACGAAGGGGACAAGAAAACAGCATGGACAACTATAGCACAAAAATGTGTAGAAAAATATAACGAAACAGAACATACAGTCACTAAGTTTACTCCAAAATATCTGTTGGAAGGAGAAAAAATGGATATTTTGCCACAGAAATTGAAATCAAGATGCACAATAGAAGATCTCAAAAGAGATAGAGAACTAGCATTTGAAAATTCAATAAAATCTTACAACTATAATAAAAAAATAAATGATCTTCATAGAGAAGAAAATAAAATCGAAGTAGGTGATAGAGTATATGTAGAAAACGGAAACCGACTAAATAGGAAGAAAATGGATGAACTGGGGATTGGACCATACAAAATCCTAAGAAAGATTTCAAATTCAATTTATGAAGTTGATGCTGGGATGCTGGGACATAAGAAGGCGGAGTCAGACTTCTACCATGTTACATAGTTATCTCCAGTGAGGGTTGGCTCTAATCGAACAATCAATTTGATTTATTCTCTCCGTAATTTTCAAGAATTGAAAGTGACGTTATGTTATTTTAGAAACACATGAAACAGTAAATAGTTTCCTGTATAAATAAAAGGGAATAGATTAACTAAACTAGAAGTAAAGGCTTTAAATGTTGTTTTTTGTTATTTCAGGTAAGTTACTCTGTTTAGAATGTGAAAATTATGTTAATACTTATTTAATTATTTACTTGTATTGTGAATAAAAGTAAATTTGTTACTTTTATTCACAACATATTTGTTATTTCAGAAAACGCAAAGGGGAATGCCCATTTTCCGCCATGAAATGCACAGCAATTTGCTTTTTTTAGAAAAAAAACATCTTATTTTCTGTTTATTAATTGGGGTATTCATTTATCCTGACAGGTCTGCAACATATAAACAGAAAATAAAAGTACCGAAAAGATAAAAGTGAAATTACGTTAATCCGTATTTCATTGGTTTCTGGCAAAATATTAAGTGTTCCCAATTACTAATTTCGTTCAAAAAATCGATTATTTATGAAGCGATTATTATTATTTATGATGTCGGCTGTGTTTGGCAGAAAATAGCGCTAGGAAGCGCTTGTAAGCAAAATGGCGATCGCTAAGCGGAAAGCGCTGTCAAATGACACATTTATTTTACTATTTTTTGGACTGACATTATTATTTATTTTAATATTACTTGCACAAAACATCTTATAAATTCTACTTTTAAAACAAACTGTGTTTGTGTGATTGTGTCAGCGCTACTGAAGTTAGAAAACGTGTCCTGGCCGAAAACTGTGTCAGCGCTAGTAAGCGCTTCCTAGCGCTATTTTCTGCCAAACACAGCCATTATTTTATAGCTATATTATTCGATTTTCGGTAATTATTATGATTTCATTGTGTTAGTGCTAATATTATTTATTTATTTATTGTTTATTTTATTTATTTATTTATTTATTTTTACACTTCCTGCATTACAGTTTGCACGAGGCGGACTTAATGCCACATGGCATGGCATATTATTTTAGGCATAATCGCCCATAAGGATGTAACAAAAGTTAAATTAAATTACATTAATTTAAACTAATACACAAAAACTTCATACGCAAAACCCTTAAATTAATTTTTCAGCAGATAAACACGGCGGAATACAACAGACACTAACTGATTACCATAATCAAGTCAGGAAAGATGCCTTGAGTCTTCTCAAGAGCCCGTAAAATAAATTAATAATATATTAATATTCCTTATTTCGTTAATGATTATGATGTTACGATAATAATATAAGCGAATTGTTAGTTGAATTACCATAAACTCTTTAAATCATAGCAAAGACGCTACTGTACAATTTAATTGTCATTCTTATCCGTTCTTAAAAATACTTTTAAGATATAATAAAATACATTAATATAGATAGATAGATATAATTTAAAAAAACACTAAAAGGCGTACAGAATTTAAAGGCACCTCGTAGATTATTATTTCATATGAAATTATATTTTACAAATAATCGATAACCATTTCCGATTTTATGGCTGTTAAGTGGCAACATCGAATGCATTAAAACAGCAAGGACACAATCTGTCACCATTACGTGAAATCACAACTTCATTTGCATTTCTATTATTTATTTGTTTTCTTCCAATACAACTAATAAGCTTTCTAAATGGACTCCGAAAAATTTTCTTACCCTTCTGACCACGGCCTGAACATGGATCCTGCTCCCGCTTCTCACGATAACTCCCGCACGAACTTGGACTCAATATCCATTGAAAATGATGACCCCAGCTCTCACACCGGCCAGAGTTCTTCACAGCCCACAGTAACTCTTTCAAGAGGACATTCACGCTGTGTCAATTGTGGTATAAACGTCACACAGATGCGAAGACATTTGTTGGAAATAGAAGAAGTTCGAAATCTAATACAACAATGGGTTCGACCACAGCAGGTAAATAGTTAATCCATGACATTTCTTCCTATTAGAAATGCTTTTTAGCTGAGATGACTTAAAATAATATCAATATCTAATAATAATGGCATCTTTATTATTAGGTACAAGTTTCGAGTGAAAATGTAGTGTGCCACTCGTGTTGGATTGCAGCCTGGAATGAAATGCGAAATCCAACTAGTGAACAGCAGAATGCACCGATGGTTGGCCATGGACTTGTGTGCATCAGCTGTGGCAGGTCACTTTTGAGAATAAGATCACACTCACTCTGTTCTGATTCTCCACGTGAGGAACTCATAAGGAATGTGATTGTGCAACAGATTGCACCACGTGAGGTAAGTGTATAACAGTTTTTAATTTATGTGTATAAAATGTTATTCGCTGATAATATAACTTCCATTGGTGAAAGAATTGTGTGATAGCGTAACAAACAAACAATCTCACTTTCACATTTAATATAAAGTATTGGTTATGGATTAGCCGCAAACTAGCTGGTGTGTTCACATCATTGCACTGGAATAAAAGTATATGATATAAAAGTTTTTTCATGTTAACATAGTTGTTTAGCCCAGTGGGCTGTATTGTTCTAACCATTTATCTAGTTTAATTTGATTTTGTTTACTTCATTTATGGTTTAATTATTGTTTCAGTTGCCATCATCGTCTCGTGTGTGTCATAATTGCTGGCGAAGGACTGATAGAGCAGCATCACATTTAACTGTAGACCGTGAAACCTCCGAACCGTCTGTCCTCGTTGCAATCTGAAGTAGCTAGCGATGTATTGCATCCGGAACAACAAAGCTTAGATACATCAGACAGTATACTGCTGCCTAATTATGTAAGAGCACCAATTACACAAAATCAATGTTTTTTTCCTGGTTGTAATGATTCCCATCGACTCACTGTTCCATCGATATTGCGAGTACGTCTTTTTTGTGAGTACAATTATTATGTTCCTCCAGAATGTAGAATCTGTGACTACCATTTATGTAGTAACTCTTGGGATTTACTTTTAGGATCAATTAATAATCCTATTAAAACATTTAGTGCAGCACAAATTGAAGATTTTGCTACATTATTGAAAGATAATATGCATAGTCATTTAGACTTTGATAATATTCAGAGTATGCCTGACCATACTCTACATTATTATGTAGGCTTAACAAAAGGCCAATACCAACAAATTCTGTCTCAAGTTCCAAGACTTTCAAATAAACATAGGGGTTCTTTTGCTCTTGCTGCTTATTTGATGAAGTTAAGAACAGGAGATAGTGACGAACGCATGTCTGCATTGTTGCAAGTGCCAAGAAGCACGTTAGAGCGGCTTATGAATATGGCCCGCGAAATATTAAATAAGGATTTTGTTCCTAGAAATGTGGGTATAAATCATATATCCCGAGCAGAAATAGCTCAGAGAAACCTCCTTATTCCAAATGGGCTTTATGGGGGTGAAGATAGGAGGCCCATCATAATTGCCGATGGTACATATATATACATCGAAAAAAGTTCCAATTATTTACATCAAAAGAAAACTTACTCATTACACAAATATCGCAATCTTGTAAAGATTTCCTTTTTGTGTGTACTGATGGTTACATTATAGATGTTCTTGGCCCTTATCCTGCAACAACCTCAGATGCAGATATCATAAAAAATGAATTTGTTGATGAATCCAGTTCATTAAGGCAATACTTTGAATCTGGAGATGTATTCATCCTAGATAGAGGTTTTAGGGACTCATTGCCTCTTTTAGAGCATTGTGGTTATCAGGTTCATGTGCCTTTGTCTCCAGAAAATGGTGAATCACAGCTAGCAACAAGAGACGCTAATAAGTAAAGAGCCGTGACTATGTGTCGATGGGTAGTAGAGGTGGTGAATGGCATTTTTAAAACAAGATTTAAAATATTTCGACAAAACTATTTTAACAGGGCTTCTACACATTTGATGATAAATTTTACTGTGGCTGCTGCCCTAATTAATAAATTCCACACAAAAATAAGGGACAGGGATGATGCAGCTCAAATACTAGAAATAGTTCATCAGAATATGGAAACAAATAATGATTTATCTGAATATGTTAGGGAACGCAATCTTAATAGAGCTAGGGCAGACTTTAGAAATATAAACGTAGGCTCCGAAAATGTTAGGGAATTTCCTATTTTAACTTACAGCGACTTAGTACTAATTGCTTGTGGTACATACCAATTAAAGCAAGCTCGCTCCTATAGAAATATGCAATGACCATAGGAGCAGCATTATGGAAGGAATACACCTTAGTCCTAACTGCTCTTTACTTATGGCTAGAATCGCAAGTCGACACATCAGTCGAAAAATATATTTTATATATATTTTAATTAGTGGCAATGATTCTGGCAGAAGTGCAATCAAAAAGTATTGTTGTAACTGTATTGTTGGCCGACGAACGGTAGGATGTTGTGCCCATATAATGACAGTAATATGGTATTTGGGTTGGGCACGACATCAAACAAATATTTTTCCTCCGGCTCAATTCCTGGATGATGTACTAATTGTGTATGACACAAATGATGTATGATCATAAAATACCTAAGAACTACATATAACTTGATATTGTATGTGAGAATAACAATAAAATGATGAATAAGAAAAAAAAACTGTAGTTATTTCTGAAAATTAAAATCATTTTATATCTTAAAAATCCCGACTTTTTTTAATACCAATTCCTTAAACATTTCATTCTTTAAATTGTATATTATCATTTCCATATGCTTTTATATGTGTGCACCTAGGGCCAAGTGTCTATGGGTAGTGGGCATTCCCCTTTCGTCTTTATTTCATTTTAAGGCATATTACTATCATATATATATAACAATACTAATACCACGGTCATTCAATTTATTTCTTAGTGTTTTATACTTATTGGCACATTAATTTACCAATCTTTGTTCGAGCATCACCAAACAATCGTGTCGTACATTTGTCCGTTGCATTCCGAGTTCTGGGTCACAAACGGGGCCAACCAAATTTTTATGACACGCTATTCCTCTTAAAGAGATGAGCAAATATAATAATCGTGGAAATACACGAGGCAGAAGCCATAATTCCGGTGGTAACCGCCGAGATATGCGCGACGCGCAACGTGCCTATGACCATTACAATGACGTCCGATTTCAGCAAGACTGGAACTACCAACCTGAAGAGTTTGACCCAAATAGGGTTCAAAATAAGCAACGGAAGCCTACTGCCCGTTCACAAAATTTTAAAAATAGTAACAACAACAATAGAGGTAAAAATCAGCCTCCTAAGAGTAAGGAACCTGAACAGACTGTCGTTCCCAGTACTACTGCTACCCCAAATAGGGATGAACCTTTATACGACATCGGTCCTCACTCATCACTCTTAGCAGCACAGGATGTCTATTGTCAAAATTTTGAGTATTCGGGGTTTATTCCTCTTGTCAACGAGACATGAGAAGATGCGCGGTGTTGACCCCCGTTTACATGAAAGGCTACCACTTAGTATGTTCACCCACGCTATGGGGGTTCATCTAAATTTAGAAATTTTAGAAACTGCTCGGCAAGCTGGCCAGAATGTTCTCAATTTACGTACCGATGCTAGAGAAGTCCTACCTGATTATCAGGCTCTACCCCAATCTATAGTTGATTACATATCTCACATTGCGTCAGTTATTACACAGGATGGGAAAGAGATAAGGATGAATTTGCCAGCCACAGCTATACCACAGGGTCCAATTGAAGTTGATGGAGTTCTTCAACCTAGTGGTTCTTTCGGTCCAATTGCAGCAAATAATCATAATACATACGAATGCTATCTAACGCCACTCATAACTTCAAGAAGAGTGCAAGCATCTCAAGAGAACAATGCCGGCTATCTTCCTTTGCCTGATGCCATGATTCCAGGAAATTTAGTACCTAACAGAAATATGTTGGGATTTGAACAAATTGATATTTTAGGAGCGGGAGCAAACTCGCGCTTACAGGGGATTCAATTCCCTAATGATGATACCCTAGAAGGACGATATCGCATATCAACTTTGCTCCAAGATAGAGTTTATACGGTTCTCGCTGAAATGAAAGACCGTTTTAAAATTGTGGAATACCGTCGTAATCAAAATGATAAAGGATTAAATATAATGGACAAAATTCAACATAAGATTACTGCAGTTAATTTACTATTCGTAGAAACTTCTGGACCATTGAATGACGCTCAAGTTCCACTGTACTCGAGAAACGTCGCCATCCATGGATTTGGAGCCCAAGGATCAGCCTCCGCTAACCAGGCTAATATAGAATGTTTTCATCGACGAAGAATTCATCAGGGTAACCAGATGGCACGGGGATTTTGTTGTACTACTCAGCAAGGCCAGCCACCCGGGGGTTGGAACGCCACCCTTAATGATAATTTTAATATGCATGGTTTGTATGCCCCAGTACTCCATGCTGATTACCCCCACCTCCGTGAGAGCCACTTCAGCTCACACGCTTCAGCAGGTGTGCGGACGACCGCTCTTGGTAATTTTATTGAGCGGAACTACTACACTAAGAAGTAGTTAACTACCTAACCGGTGCGCAGAAATCCGGTATATAAATTTAATAACACCATAATAACAAATCAGCAGAATTGGACACTCCCGAGGACATGCAGGCTATAGCCTGGCTTGGGATTACCCGACCACTAACTGTTAATCACCTGAGCATCACCAAACAATACGGAACTACTACAACATTTCTCCGTTGCATTCCGTGTTCTGGGTCACAAATTGGGCAAACCAAATCAGTACAATTGGACACTCTTAAAGACGTGCGGTTATGCCTCCCTGCACACTTAACAATGATTGACATGCCTACGACGATAGACTCTTCAGAAAAATACCAGAGGACTGAGAGATCCAAGTATTTTCCAAAAAACGAAGAAAAGAAAATAGTGGTTAAAGTATGAAATTGCCGTTGTATAGTAATAGATACTTTGGATTGACATAAAACCTTCATAGTGCGAGATTTTCGTGTGAATTTTTTTTCACATAATACCAATGAGGTTCTTCTTTTAAAACAATTGCAACGTTCGTTTTCGTCTCAATTGTTTTTATTTCTTTATTTAGCTTAAACGTAAACGATGGATACTCCAAAATCCAAGTCATTTTTTTATACGAGTTCCGGCGAGGAACGGCAGAAACGGCTCGCAATATCAACGCTGTTTTGAGAGAGGTGCCTGTTAATGAATGCACTATGCGTTTTTGGTTTAAACGCTTTCGTAATGGAAACTTCGACTTAAAGAGCGGACCACGTGGAAGACCCACACAGGTGAATAACGCTGAATTGAAGGAGATGGTGGAAGCCAATCCGAGTCAAAATACCCAGGAATTAGCGGCATGGTTTAACTTACCCTACCTACAATATTCACTCATCTGCATCAAATCAATAAGATAAAAAAAATACGAAAAATGAGTTCCTAATGATTTGACTGATCTGCAGATAGAAATGCGTGTTGAAACTTCTTTTGCTTGTTGAATCGTTACAAAAATATAGAAATATTGGATCGAATTGTGACATGTGACGAAAAGTGGATTGTTTGAAGAATGCAATGGCTGACCCCATGTAAAACGCCTTAACAGTGCCCCAAAGCAAAGCTTACCAATAAAAAGGGTAACTGTTTGGTGGTCTCTTAATCATGTACTATCTTTACACGCAATACGACAATAATATAATAATAATACATAATACGACATCTTCATTTTTCAGGAGGGGTAAAACAACAGTTTTTAAAATGTTTGATCAACAAGATTTATGTGCTGAAATTTTTAAAAAGAGTAATTCAACTAAACAAAAAGTTATCACCAACGGAATTTGCTTTCTTCTCTCTATGTAGAGCTCCAAAAGAAAACTACGTGCTTAGAAAGTTTCGATATGCATATTTAGTTAAAAATACTCGAAATAAAAAACAAGTGCAATTAGCTTGTCTTCCTCTAACCTCAGCGCCTGCTCATCAACATCTATTTCGGGTATATTACCAAGTACAAGTGTTGCTTAGTTATCAGCTAGACCCAAAAGACTGGGGTTGGAAGTTGGTAGACAATACATTAGAACCAGTTCAAACTTTACTCCTACCTGTGCGCGAATAACTGCTAAACACAATTTATTGCAAACAGGGATATTGCAAAAAAATTGGACTGTTTTGTTCTCTATCATGTACAAATTGTCAAAGTCGGTCGTGCTCAAATGTTGAATATCACCAACAGTTGACGATTCGTTTGATACCAACGAGGAGACATGCGATGTATCACTATTAATGCCATTTACTTGCACCCAAGATGAAGAAGAAGAACAAGGAGAAGAGGAAGCAGAAATATTGGAGAATTATGAATCAGACGAATAAATTTCCCTATTTATTTTTTTAATTTACATCGCTTTTATCATTTTAAACTCTTGCCAATATCTTCTATTATTAAATAGTTTCAAATTAAACAGAATCACAACAGATCCGTGGAATAGGTCTACCGGGGAAAGTAGGTATAGGAAGTACACTACCTCAAAGATGGCGTGGAAATGTGTGCATATTATGACGCAACTCTTACAACTTTTTGAATCTGTATATCTCAGAAACAGAGGCTCTTAGGAAAAAAGTTATTCGACATTTTTTAAAGATAATTATCTGATATACAATTTTTGTCTGAACTATGTTAATTTTATGATAAAACTTACCGTTTGCCTGAAAATCGCGAAAAACCCGTTTTGGTGACCTTTGACCCCGAGTAAATTTTCTTCCAGGTATCGGATCGATAAGGACTTTTTAGATTTCATTTATGATGGTGTTTTGAACAATCCTACCAACTTTGAGCTCGAATTATTGTACCGTCACTCCTATTTTTTTATCTAATTTGACCGTACTATAAATAAATATGTTACATCTTAGAAAGAAACGAGTTTCAATTTTGCAGTACAAATCGGCAATTGCATAACCATTAACCCCTAATATGAAGCGAACCTTCTCTTTGAAAACTTCGTCAAAAGAAATATTTTCCTTGAATAAAATTGACACGTTCAATAATTCTAGAGGCTGTTCCTGTAAAGACACAAAAGATACACCTAAAGACCTGGAAGGGACCATCACGGCATATGTAAAGACTTATGAAAGTAAAGCTAAAAGATCTTCGGGGTCATTAGGTTAAGTTCTATAAGGCTGTAATAAATGTATTTGTGAGTATAACTTCTGAGATGAAATACATTTATTCCCGAATTTTAGCAGAAGCGAATCCAGTTGATTATTTCAATTTATTTCTAAAAAACTAAATTTTGAAGTTACAGAATTCAAGGACTATTGAAGAATACATCCTCTTATACGGAATCCCACCGGCATGAAATATTGTGCCTAGAAACCGATTTCAGATGATACTGAAACACAACACAACATTTTTCTGATGATTGAAATTACATAATTTTTAAAACTACTCTAGTGCTGTCGAATAATGTCGTATTTTGTTAGCATTCACGTCGACAATGATAATGTGAATGATTTTGCCCAGTTGACTGAGTGAACTTGTGTATTTAGGAATATACCAAATTTTACAGGCAAGTTCCTATTATAAGCACGGAAGAGCAAACTGTAGGTATTCGATTGAAGTGTATCGAGAAACTTACAGCAGCCTATTGAGGGAACTGTCTAACAATATTATTAAGTTATGAGTTACGAGTAACCTTGCAAATGCATTTACAAGTTGCAAGTGGATTATACAAAGGCAACTTAAAATCATCGAGAACAATCACATCAGAAATTCGCTTCAGATCGCAAAAGATGTCCATCAATAACTTGTTGAGAAGCAACACGACATTATAATGCTGTGAGTACATTCCCGCAAGAATTAAAAAATAAAGTAGTCACACTGTGCCGCAGACGACGTAGATTTTGAAGTTTCATGATCCAAGGTGCCAGTGGGAGAAAGTGGGCACCTTCTAATATGTAATACAGTGGTAAATATGCAATGTACATATTTACCACTTATTTATAAGAAGATGTAAATTGCAGACGGCATTGTTCTTATAGACAGATTCGATTATTTTGCTTTAAATATCATAGTAAATACATATGTAGATGTATATACATATATATATACAGCTTTCACAAGGGGCTCGTGGGTAAGTTGTAACCGAGTAGGTTAACTAATTGAAAAGTTAAGCAATCCTAGCCAAGTCAGTGTATGGATGGGTGACCATTCTTAACACATTGAGATCTCTCCGCGCCTCGGGGAGCACCTTAAGCCGTCGATCCCCAAATGTTACTTACAAAAGTTAAAAACATATATACGTTTGTCATAAAAGCGTGACAGGCAATAAATTAAAAAAATTGGCCCACATAAGAAGCACTAAATCGTCTCCCTTGTGCTTCGTTGAGTAAGTTCGGCAAGTAACAAGCTAGTAGAGTGCGGCAAATAGAGCCTAGTGAGGTTGCGAAATACTTCATTACTGAAGCATCGACGGTCAGTTCTACGAAACGAAACTTATCTCCCGGTAAAGATACAAATTTAACAAAGGAAATCTGTCACCACACAGTTTGTTGTAGTTAACGTTAGTATTCCTGTAGATATTTACAGTTAAAACATGCACGCGAATAATTATGAATTGGGCTGAAGGTGGATACGGCGTTGGCGTGTGTCTTATGACATTATAGTTTTTAAACACAGTTAACACGATCGGCTTACATATTTGGACACATGCTGTCAGTATTTGATGGGTAAAAACAAAGAAAAAAGAACGAGAGAATGAATGTGGTTGTGGTCATATTCCATAAAGTAGTCACCAAATCTGCGATAGGAAAAGGATAATAAATAATACTTATTTAGATATCAACCATGTTGTCAAGTGTAGTCAAGTTGTGATAATGGTCTTAAGGTTTGCTTTGATAATCCAGAGCCAGCATTGTCACTACTACGCAACAAGGGAAAATTACCGGCAAATGTTAGGTTCTATTCGGACCAAACACCCTCTCAACAAAAGTATTTCCAGATTATCAAAAATGAACTATCACGCCGAACAGAAAATGGAGAATCTGATCTCACAATTAAATATATCAACGGCAAACCTACCATTATAAATTCGAATACAAAAAACTCCAACGCCTAATAAATAAAAATAGTACGAAATCTATAACCTATTAAATAGTGGACGATTTTCAACAATTGAGAACTCAGAAATCACGCCTATCATTTCTTTACTTAAACGCACGCAGCATTCGTAAAAAAGGAAAGCTTGACGAACTGAAATGTATCATTAAGGCAATACCTACAACAATACATATTATACTACTTACGGAAACCGGGGTACAGAACGAAAACCAAGCTTCACAACTACAAATACCTCACTATACACACTACTATAACTACAGGACGGACATATACACATATATACATAATGATTTGAAACATAACCTAATTGAATCTACATATCAAGATGGCAACAACTACCTATGGGTACATTAAGAGAAATTCGCAATAGATCTTGGCGTAATTTATAATCCTGGGGACACCGATTTGGAGAAGTTTTTGAATACATATGATTCACAGTTACAAGAACGCAAAAGAGCAATAGTGTTTGGTAATTTCAACATTGACTTACTAACAAAAGGCAAAATATTAAAAAAGTACAAAAAGAGTACATTGAATCGGGACACAAAATACTAAAGTAAACCAAATCTATTATACAAGAGACTCTTCTACGAAGAAATCAATCCTGAACCACGTGAGCACAAACTTGAATAGCGAACAGTATAATTTTGCAAACATCAACTCGTCTTTCTCATATCACAAACAAATCTATTTGCAACTAAATAAATGGAAACCTCAGAAACTACGTCTAAAGTATAAAACTATAGATTACAATAAACTATTCTGTACTGTTGAGTCACATGGGTTAAAAGATGTTTCGGGCAATTATGAAGATTTAGAGACTAAGTTAAAACAGTAGGGGAAGGTAAGGTAATACGATCCCTGTAGGTCAAATGATCCCCCGCCCTAAATCAGAGACAACTTGTGCCATCTATCCAAATGCGCACGAAACATGTTCCCCGCACCCCTGGCAGTTGCCTTTCCAAGTGTCATGGCAGTGTGAGCGCTTGGCGTGATTTTATTAAAAAATAATCTAAAAGCTTGGCTCTGATCTAAGGTAAGCATGTTTTTGGACTTTCATTACTTTTTACATGTTCGTGTTTATTGAAATGTTGTTTTATTTGCGGGTATTAATAGCAGTTAGCTAATATTTAGGCAATGTTCGATCACCACACGCGGTATTTGAAGGTTATGTTTTGATCGATATCTTGGAATTTGGTTTTGGGGGCGAAATGATCCCTTTCTGTGTGTTTAAAATGATCCCTGGAATCATTTTACCCCATTAGTATTTGTTGTTTTTACAGATCATGCCGAGAATTTATATACGCAAAACTAATCGCCAAAATTGGCCTGAAGAACAAATGCAAAAGGCATTAGATGCCGTCAGAGATGGTATGCCTTACAAAACCGCAATATTTTTCTGGGAAGGCTGGGTTTAAGGTGTAAACCATTGCCCTAGATTATAAGACAACAGATCTCATAGTGCAACAAAGGATCATTGTGTATCATTAACTTTCATGAAGTTGGTTAATTTGTTTTAAAAATTTATACTCCTCAGTATGTTTAAAGTATTGTGTATAAAGAGATATACTAGTAATATTACATACTGTGATATTGTACAGAAGCGAATCTTAACGTTTTTTAATTATTACAGACTTAACATTAGAAAGAATCAGTTCTGAGGCCACAGTTTTGAAAACCATGGAAACATCTGAAGCGTCAACGTCGAAAGGTACTTTGCATTTTTTTTTATTTTCATTTATTTTCAATTATAAAGCTAAAAATTACTTATATTTACACAAATAATTTAATTTAAATTTCATTACAGTGGGCCAGCACATGCAAAACTTTGCTCTTCCAAATAAGTAACCAAACTAAGCAAATGTCGCAGTAAGGTTCAAATCCAAGCAAGCAAAATAAAGGCACTGCAAAATATTACCACCAATCCAAAAATTTTGGAAATTTAGATGCTCTTCCCAGCACATCCAAAATATTGACATTGTCGCAGTTTAGAGAATTCAAAAAGGGTAACAGAGGACGTCGCTTTACATTGCAAGAAAAGCTTGTGAGTTTGTCTATTACGAAACAAAGTTCAAAAGGGTATAGATTTCTTCGGAAAATATTTAAATTGCCCTCACGGCAGATTCTACTGCAACTATTGCATCAGGCAAATTTCAAGCCCGGAATAAATTCAAACACCATTGAACAACTCAAGAAAGCAACTGAGGCTATGAAGTTGGAAGACAAATTGTGTATTCTGCTATTTGATGAAATGTCCCTAAAACCTAGTGTTGCTTATAATGAAAGAAAGGACAGAGTATGTGGTTTTGTCACAAATGGTGACGAAGTATATTCAGAATACGCGGATCATGCACAAGTGTTCATGATAAGAGGCTTATTAAAAAATTATAAACAACCAGTAGCCTACACAATTTCTCAAGCAGCAACTAAGGGACCTGAACTTCCAAAGCAATTAAAAGCTGTTGTCACTGCACTGCAAGGAGCTGGTCTTACAGTTGTCGTTACTGTGTGTGACAAATAATGTAAGCTGCATTAAATATTTATTGCAAGAAACAAGAGGTATTTTGTTGGGGTGAAGAGTCTAAACATAATCTCATTTTAGTGAATAATCAAGAGATTATACCATTGTATGATCCACCCCATTTAATTAAATGTGTAAGAAATAATTTAATATCCAAACGTTTCAAATATGTCAAAGATGGTGAAACCAAGGTGGCAAAATGGGCACATATAATATTGTTACACAAAGAAAACCCAGGCTAAAAGGGCATAAGATTAGTACCTAAATTAACAGATGCCCACTGTTACCCTAACAAAATCCCCAAAATGAAAGTGAAATTTGCCACCCAGCTTTTTAGTCAAACTGCGGCATCGAATATGGGTTATCTTGCAGGTAAACATCATTTTAATCTGTTTATACTAGTTGTTATATTATTTGTATTCAATGATATTATTTAGTTGTGATGTACTAAGAGTCATTTCAAGTTCAGTCTGCCTCAAAAAGAAGTATACGTTAACAAAGTTCCATTATAATGTTTACATCCATTTTGCCAACATGTAGTAATCAATATAGCGACGAAATTCGAAATTGCTCGTGTAAATCGGTTTAGTAACTTTGTAAACGTTTATGTAATTAGTTTGTATACACCTTTGTAATCACACAAGTAACTACATATTATGTGATTAGGCTTGTCCATTTTACTTGGCTGTGATGTTTGCTCTCTATAAGAGTGCATTTCAACAACAAGAATGCTTGTCACGGAGATAAATATGCTTCAGCGTGATCGGTAAATTTCAAGAAATACAATTTTCTACTTTTCAAACTATTATAATATCTCGACCATATGACGTAGCTAGCTAAGTATTCTATTAGTCACAACTATTTTTCGAAAGCTGTTGAGAGATTACATCACACACTCATCTAAATATTTCTCATTTTCCAGATAAGGGTATTTTGCCAGCAGATGCCAAAGACACCGCTGATATATTGTTGTTTTTTGACCAGCCATTTGATACAATGAATGGCAGTCATGGTAAAAAAAGAAATACGGCAAGCCATATTAGGACCTGCAACGCCTACTTCAATTCACGTGAAAGTTTGGAGAGAATCTAAAAATATGTTGCAGAAGATGAAATTCCTAAATCGTTCAACACTGAGGGATGAATATGTTCCCACATTAAACAATTGGGTATGGACACTAGATGGGACTGAATTATTATTTTTAATAACTCACACTGCACTCAAAATATGGTGTAACATCTGTTTGGTTACGGCATCTAAACCAGGATCCAATAGAAAACTTTTTGGGTGTATAAGGAGCCATGGTTGGCGTAACGTAAACCCTACACCAGAAAAGTTTGAGACAGCTTTCACAACCTTATTGGTAAACAGCCTATCTAGTGTTCATGCCCCTGGAGCAAATTGTCAAGGCGATGATTGTTATGCTCTTCATGAGGTACTCATTACAGGCAGGGTTAGTAAAGAGCAAATTAATTGCGAGCTTAATACTATTCCCGATATAAGGATTACGCCTCTTGAAGACAAAAAACACCCTCGTGAAATCGGAGGGTTACAATATGTAAGCGGGTATTTTTTTTTAAATGCAAAGACGAAAGTTTTGAAGGGGTGTGATCAATGTAAAAATGATATGATAGCAAGAAACGAATACGATTCCATAAATTATCGGGAATATGCAAATAAAAAATGGCTTTGCAACCCCAGCAACTCTCTCTTGAATTGCATATCAAATCTGCTGGATATTAATTATACTGTTTTAAGGTCAAATTTACAAAAAAAAACATATAAAAGAATTTATAAAAACAATCGTTGTAATGCACTTAGATTTTAATTTTATTCAATGTGCAATACATAAAGAAAAATTAGTTGATTTTTTTATTCAAATAGCCTGCAGATTTTTTAATCATAATTACTGTAAAGAAATCAATAAAATATTGGTTAACAAGAGAGTGTGATGATGACACTGACGAGTTCAAAATCAAAGCTAAACGGCTATATAAAAATGTTTTAAAAGAAAAATAAATAGTACAACATAAAAAACTGTTTTAATAAAACTACATTTAAATATGTTACATACCTATATATTTATGTTTGACGACCGAATGGCGTAGTGGTTTGTGTAACGGACTGCTATTCCAAAGGTCACGGGTTCGATTCCCGCTCAAGTCAAATATTTGTGTGCATGAACATTTAATGTTTGATTTGGTCTGGGTGTTTCTATGTATAATAAGTATGTATTTATAAAAAAAAAAAGTATATATGTATTTATATCAGTTATCTAGTACCCATAGTACAAGCTCTGCTTAGTTTGGGACTAGATGGCGTTGTGTGAATGTGGTACAATATTATTATTATTATTTATTTACCTCTACTACTGACTTATACATTTTAACATTTAAAACACTAGCTCTTTTGCATGCAAATTTCATCTATTTAGATGAAATTTGAAATTGCTGCCGGTTTAACGGTTTAAATATTTTAAATGTCAAATATAGGTAAATATGAGCAGTTCCTGTACTAGTGCTATGCTATATATATATATTTATATATATATAGCTACATATAAATGTAGCTATTTATGTAAAATGTAGCTGTATATATATATATATATTTATATAAATGTATATATGTATAGATTTTTAGGTTGTAGGCGACACTTGTGTGTTTCTCATTTAGTATCGAAGTGGTACCTCTATTTCATATTGAACAATAGTACTCTGTGATGTTTGGCATTGGCTTAGGCGCGCACGGTATTACTATTTGTTATTTGTTTATTTTTGGATATTCTATTATTATCTATCCGGCTTAATTTTGGACCCTGTACCCTCTTCAAACGTTGACCCTGGCAATTCTTTGGATGTTGAACCTGATTTGCATGACGACTTAGGCATAAGTCGTCATGGATTTTCTGATTATGCCTAATAATGATGAATCCATACGTTGTATCAATTGTGCTTCTGTTGTGACTCACAGAAGGAGACATACTCTTAACTTAGTTGAAGTGCGACATGTAATTCTTCAATGGATTGCACCGCAAGTAGTAAGTATTTTATGTTTCAACTTAAATGGGTAGTGAATGCAAATGCACTAAATACTATTTCGAATGCATAATATATCTAATGAACAAAAAGTAATAAATGCTTACTTTTATTTTTGATTTGTCAACAGATTGAAAGTCACAGTCAAATATGTCATTCATGTTGGACTGTGGCTTTGAACACTCCTAATGTCTCAATCCCAAATGCAGAAGCCTCATCAAGTTCTGACTCAGGGCGTCAGAGAAAACTATGTGTAAGCTGCAAATCGTCGCTTATGAGACATAGGTCTCATAACCTTAACATTGACTCAGAGCGGGAGAGACGCATAAGAAATGTTATTGTACATTGGATTGATCCACTCGAGGTAAGTTTTCTTATTTCTCATAACAGATAATCATGTTTAAAATGGTAGTTTAGTAATAAATGAAGTGTAAGTGTAACATAATTATACTACTTCTTGCAATACAGTAGCCTGCAGTGGTTTTCTTTAAAAGTAAAGTTCTGTGAATTTATGAACTCCCCATAATACTGTGGGATATGCAAATAGCTAGTGTTATTTATGTAGTTCTATTAAAATGAGTACCTTTACAAAAATAAGACAAGTTGACATGCAGTAAGGATTATATTGCATTCTATAAGTTAAGAAAAAAATCCAATACCATTTTATTTTTGTTTTAGTTGAGAGCATCTGACAGAATTTGTCATCCATGTTGGCAAAGAGCTAATAGGCAAGTTACTCGAAATGTGGAGAGAGTTAGTGAAGGTGAAGGTGAAATACAGAATCCAGAAGGAACCATCCATTTACCGGATTTGAGAAGAGCGCCTGATACCCAATCACAATGTTTTTCCCTCGCTGTAACTCTGAAGAGAGATTGAGGATTCCCAAGTGGCTGAGAGTACATATATTTACAGAGTATAATTCTTATATACCACAGCAATGTCGAATATGCCAATTCCATCTACAAAATGACAATTTGCATATAATTGAAAATGATAGTCAGTCCCTTCATTATTTTACCGCTAGTCACATACAAGACTTTGCCTCCTTTGTCAAAGAAAGGAAATTACATTTAGATTTAGTAAAATGGAGTAGGATTATAGTAAACAGTTTAACTACCTAACTGAGGTGTTGTTTAGAGATGGAATGAATACTCGGTTTAGGCAGTTAATTACAGTTTATTGTATCACACGACACATACATAAAATACACAAAAGGGTTAACCAGGCGGGCGGAGTCGGGTGCGCGTATAAATGCGTGATCGCTATCGTGGCTAGTAACCGACTGCCTGTCGCGTCTCTGCGTCCGCCTGGCTTCGTACAGAAAATGCTAACATAACATAATAACTTAGGGCTGTCGTTAACTCGAACAGCGGTATATTCATTGCCGTTATATGGGTAACAATCTTATAGAAAGAAATAGCACTTTAATACACCGGAGCTTGTGCTCTCGGTGCCGCTGTATTTGGAGCGGGCGGTAACTTATTGACTGCATTCTGCAACCACTTATTAGCACGGTTTTTACACTTCACCATGATGAAATAACACAATAACAATACTAATATGCCTCCGCATATCATTAGCCCGACTCCAACATAATTGAGTTTGCTCTCAACTTGATTCGATATGGTTTTAACTGTTGCTATTGCTATAGCATCGTGGGAGTCCTTGTTCTCTTCTTTGCTTTGGCCCCAGCCCATTTTATCTGTTAAAATGTAGTGAAAATTTTTCCTTCAAGTAGTGAAATTGATAACTGTTGCGGGCTGTTGTTGATTGCTTAATAACTTGAATATTTAAGTTTAATACAACAGAGAACGATGACTCTCATGAATTTGCAGATTTGCGCTCTACTTTAATGTTACATAGTTCGCAGTTTATTTGTTCAATCAGTAATGCAATAAAATATTTTACGTGCCGTCTTGTTTTAATTTACAATGTATTAATTTACTGTTATGCTTATGTTTAATGTGCCCTGTTTATTGCTATAGGGCGTTGAATTACATTCGTTGATTAATGCTTGAGAACAGGCCTCCTCTCACCACGAGAGGGTTTGAGGAACTAAATACTTAACTAGAGTTGCGGGACCCGTGTTTCAGGGCCCGACTTTACGTTCTTAACCTAAAAAAAGGATATATATTTGGGGGAATGCATAGAATAACTAAAGCGATGGTAGCCGCCGTGCAGGACCTACTCTGCAATATTTAATTAGACTCCTGACAGTATCCCTGCACGGGGCGCCGACATTGAAATGAAATACAAAGCGTGCCTATGGATTAACATTACTGTAAGGGACTTAATTATCGAATAAATATCTAACTGGTCTATTTATGACTCGACCTCTACGTGTAGTACGTGTCACTGGGGGTGCCGGGTAAAGTGCGTTTTGAGGTGACGGGGGCCTGCTTGGGGTGGGACGTGGTGTAGTTTGTCGCTCCTCGTCCTGGGTACTGGAATTGATTAAGAAAGCTGGCTTCAATCTATCTATTGAGACTTCCACTTGCCTGTTTGGAAGCTGCACTTTGAAAAATTTCTTATTTCTAGTGATGATTCTAAATGGGCCATCATAGTTTGGAGTTAGTGGTCGCTTTACTGCGTCGTTACGGATGAAAACATGTGAGCAAGTGTCGAGGTCTTTATGGACGAAAATTTTTCTGTACTCTCTGTTCCTAGCTGGGATTGGTTTAATGTTTTTAATTGTTCCCCCAATTTATTCTACGCCGAACGCTAACGAGAATATATTGAAAATGCAAACCCAAGATAAGAAAATCTACACTCCAGAGGAGATTAAAAAGATAGCCCCAGGTTATCGAGGGAAACCTGAAAAATTCGATCCAGCTAAGGTTGGAAAGAAAAGAGAAGGTCAACCCAACAAAAAGCAGGGCCCGACATCGTCGAAAGTGCCTGCACCAACAGCAACGGACAAAGCTGCGAACCCGACTCCACCTAAGAACGCTCCCATGTGGGCGGAATCAGTGTTTGGAATCGACGTGGCCGTACGTGAGCTGGACGTCAACCAGGAAATCACCCCAACATTCGGGAGATTACCAGAGGTTGTCGAGGAAGTCTACTCCGCAATCGGAGGAGACGACCAATCGTTAAGTAAACAAATGACCAAAGGCATGCTGATGTATTACAGCACAGCGATGCTATGGGCACGTTTACTTGACATAAAAGCCAAGCGCGGCAACGCAAACTTGAGCTATGAGGAAATAGAATTCTGCAAAGCGATCATGCAGCACGAATTTAACATTCCCCAACCCATCTACCTGTTCCTAAAAGGTATAGGTGAGGTCAAAGATCCGACGGGTAAAACCGTCTTTCTTGCAGACCACACCCTGCCAGTGACAGTAGTGCAAGGTCAGGGAGGTCACCACTTTAACTACCTAACTGAGGTGTTGTTTAGAGATGGAATGAATACTCGGTTTAGGCAGTTAATTACAGTTTATTGTATCACACGACACATACATAAAATACACAAAAGGGTTAACCAGGCGGGCGGAGTCGGGTGCGCGTATAAATGCGTGATCGCTATCGTGGCTAGTAACCGACTGCCTGTCGCGTCTCTGCGTCCGCCTGGCTTCGTACAGAAAATGCTAACATAACATAATAACTTAGGGCTGTCGACACAATAGCATAGGGCTGTCGCCACAACAGTAATATAGAGAATTTAAATGCAATTAAAGAGTATTACTGTAACTGCATTGTTGGTCGAAGAACTGTGGGTTGTTGCTCTCACATTATGTCCGTAATCTGGTATCTAAGTTGGGCAAGGTATGAGAATGTTACTCCTCCGGCTCAGTTTCTGGATCATATTTTGATTGTGTATGAAAGTGATGGTGACGACAATTGAAATTAAATGTTTGCAAAAAGCTTTTTTTTTATAGGCCTGGATACTAAATTAATTATATTATTGGTTTCTACATAGCTTCAGCTACTACCTAGTAACGTTTTTATTTCAATATAAAAATGTCCACCTCTTGGCTTAAGTCCCATAAAAAGCTGTCGGTGTCCTTATTGCTTTTTATTTAGAATTTCACACTGATTTTGTTTAATCATCTCATTCAATATTCAATAAGTGTTTCTTATATTCCATTTATATTGTTGATTATGGCTATAATTTATGTAAATTGTATTTAAATATAATAAAAATGATTAAACTCATAATTATAAAATAAATTTCTTTCAAAAAAAACCTTGGTTTGTTATTCTTCAGAGGTATTTTTGCTTTGATGGGTAATATGAAATTTTTTTTGTTAAATTTTCTATTTAGTACTGTATTTTATTTATAAGGTAGGTATTTCTTGCTTATAGAAAATTACTAGACATTTGAACAATTGTTATAGTTTGCTAGTAGAAGGTACGAGGTTAGTAAAAATGGAGCGCTACACGAATGAACAACGCATTCTCATTGTGAAATTGTTTTACCAAAATAGTGAAAGTTTTGCGGCTACAGTTCGCAAATTACGATCAATTTGGGGTCGCAATAATGCTCCAAAAGAGTCAACTGTAAAGAGATTAATGGATAAATTTGCCGAAACTGGGTCTGTTAGTGATGTAAAGACAACAACGCGCCATCGACCAGGTCGTTCGACCGAAAATGTCGCTGCTGTACGTGATGATGTCGCTCAAACTCCATCCACCTCAATTCGACACCGAGCTCAGCAAATTGGTGTCATCCACTTTGCAGCGAATTTTGACGAAAGATTTGCATCTTCATGCATACAAAGTTCAATTGACTGAGGAACTGAAGCCAGCTGACCATGGACAGCGAAGGGAGGAGGAGTAACCTCCAGCTCAGTTTCTGGATAATATTTTGATTGTGTATGAAAGTGATGGTGACGACAATTGAAATTAAATGTTTGCAAAAAGCTTTTTTTTTATAGGCCTGGATACTAAATTAATTATATTATTGGTTTCTACATAGCTTCAGCTACTACCTAGTAACGTTTTTATTTCAATATAAAAATGTCCACCTCTTGGCTTAAGTCCCATAAAAAGCTGTCGGTGTCCTTATTGCTTTTTATTTAGAATTTCACACTGATTTTGTTTAATCATCTCATTCAATATTCAATAAGTGTTTCTTATATTCCATTTATATTGTTGATTATGGCTATAATTTATGTAAATTGTATTTAAATATAATAAAAATGATTAAACTCATAATTATAAAATAAATTTCTTTCAAAAAAAACCTTGGTTTGTTATTCTTCAGAGGTATTTTTGCTTTGATGGGTAATATGAAATTTTTTTTTGTTAAATTTTCTATTTAGTACTGTATTTTATTTATAAGGTAGGTATTTCTTGCTTATAGAAAATTACTAGACATTTGAACAATTGTTATAGTTTGCTAGTAGAAGGTACGAGGTTAGTAAAAATGGAGCGCTACACGAATGAACAACGCATTCTCATTGTGAAATTGTTTTACCAAAATAGTGAAAGTTTTGCGGCTACAGTTCGCAAATTACGATCAATTTGGGGTCGCAATAATGCTCCAAAAGAGTCAACTGTAAAGAGATTAATGGATAAATTTGCCGAAACTGGGTCTGTTAGTGATGTAAAGACAACAACGCGCCATCGACCAGGTCGTTCGACCGAAAATGTCGCTGCTGTACGTGATGATGTCGCTCAAACTCCATCCACCTCAATTCGACACCGAGCTCAGCAAATTGGTGTCATCCACTTTGCAGCGAATTTTGACGAAAGATTTGCATCTTCATGCATACAAAGTTCAATTGACTGAGGAACTGAAGCCAGCTGACCATGGACAGCGAAGGGAGCTCGTTAATTGGGTATTGGAGAGACAACATGAAAATGCTGATTTTGCCGATAAAATCATCTTCAGTGACAAGGCCCATTTTCATCTTGATGGCTTCGTCAATAGGCAGAATTGTAGCATTTGGGGTGAGGAAAATCCTCGAGTGATTCACGAGAAGCAAATGCATCCTCAACGTGTCACTGCGTGGTGTGGTTTTTGGGCTGGAGGAATCATTGGACCTTTTTTTTATGAAAATGAGGCAGGTCAAGCGCAAACAGTCAATGGTGTTTCGGTATCGTGAAAAGATAACCAGTTTTTTCTTGCCTAGAATTTAAGAAATGAATGTGGAGGGCATGTGGTTCCAACAAGACGGCGCCACATGTCATACAGCCAGAGAAACAATTCAATTGCTGCATCAGTCATTTCCCGGTCGTGTTATTTCGCGTTTTGGAGATCAGAATTAGCCGCCTATATCGTGCGATTTAACACCATTAGATTTTTTTCTTTGGGGTTTTTTGAAGTCGATGGTTTACGCGAATAAGCCGACGACGACTCAAGCCTTAAAAGAGGATTGAAATTGGAAGCTGCATTAATGAAATACCGCAGCATTCATGCAAAACGGTCATTGAAAATTTCATTAAAAGATCGCGTGCATGCCAGCAAAGCCGCGGCGGCCATCTGCACGACATATTGTTCCATACATAACCTCATTCTGTCTACTTTACGATATAATAAAGTTTCACGATTTTTCTTTACATCTGTGTTTTATTTAAAATTTAAAAATTGCGTTCTTCTTGGGATACCCTTTATCAATGACCGTAATACTCACAGAGGTTAGAAAGTTATTCAAGAAAAACAGTAAATTATTTTTCCTGTAAAATTTGCTTTTTTCGATTACCGACTTATTGCACGGGGGCGTCGATTTGTTTAAGTGAAAACTCGGGTAAAACCTTAGTTTATGTTTTATTCAACAGGCAAGGTCTCGGTCTTTGCAATAAAAACAGTTTAATGCTTTGAAAAGTATGTTCGGTCTTATTGGCAAGTCATTTCAGTAAATGGTCAGGTGTCGGTAGGTTACACCAAATATACAAAACGTATGCCATGGGCAGAAAAAGTTGCAAATGATGGAAAAGAATATTTTTCTTTTTTATTGAAGTTGCAATAGCCAATACACATATATTAAAACAAATGCTCGAGTACAAGTACAAGTGCAATGCTGAGTCAAAAATAATAGAGAATTTTTGCTAACTTTTGCACCAATTTTAAGAACGCCAATATAAAGTTTATGTATTATTTATGGAATTGGTATTGGTTGTGGGCTTCGGTTTCCGCATTTAGACTCAAGAGTAGTCCTTTATGCGTCGAGGATTGGTTAGCTAGGTGAGCCAACCCAACTCCTTCCAGAAGCGCAGAAGCCTCCTGGGGCGTTCACAGGCTTCTAGAAGCGATTCATTTATGGAAATACATCATTATTATTATTACTAGAATCGCTTTTTCAAGTGAGTTGGTGGATAGTCAAACCTTTAGAAAAAGATCATTCATATCAATACCGAAATATATATTAAAAAAGAAAAAAGTTACAGAAAGTAATAAAAGGCAGAAAACCCTTATAGAAGTGCCAGAAGAAATCAGATTTCAAAGAGGAGGGCACTGGCCTGAAGAAGTAGACTCTTATAAAAGGTGTCGCTACTGCAGCACCAAAGTGAAAAATAAGAGGTCTAAAATAGAATGCCATAGTTGTAAAGTGGCACTATGTATTCATTCATATTTCAAATTATTTCACCAACTACAAAAACAAAACCAGAGCCAAGAAAAAGAATATTGCCGCCATGTTTATTTTCTTATAATTCCATCCACATTTTGTTTTTCTTGAATAACAGTTATTCTAAAAGTGTTTTTATTGAATTGTCAAAGAAAATTGCTTTTACCAGTAAAAGGGTTACAAAGTGATTTGCATTTTGAAACATATAGAAGTATAGATAGTTCAACTCAGTTGTGCTCGCGGCCCTATGTGTGCGTGGGCTTGTAAATATACAACTTTCATTCGTGTGGCAGTGACGCGGCAGTCGTCGTCCGAGCAAGACGTGTTCTTATCGCTTTTTCTTAAGGGTACAGTCGTTTACGAAAATGTCTAGTTCTTCACGGAGAAAATGTTTAAGGAGTCAGGTAAATATTTTTTAAATTTAGATGTAATTAATATTTATTATGATTCTATATACGAAAAAATATATCCTTGTTGACGTTTACGTATTATTGTTTTAGACTCGAGAAACCATTGCTAAGGTATACGAATTTCTGAAAATAGATGCGAGAGATATATTGGAACTAGTAAGTGATCCAGTTTGCAGTGCAAGTCCAATTTTAATATCGAAATTAAGTAAACATTTAAATAGCGTACGGAAAATAACAGCAATGGCAGTGGGGGTATCAGAGAGAACAATTACTAATATATTGGCTGAAGGAAAAGAATCTGACTCTAAATTTAAATCTCCGCATAAAGACCGTAAAAAACGTTTAAAAAGTTAGAATTAGACAACTTTAACGTTGATGTTATACGTTCCACTATTCAAAATTACCATTTAGAACATCGCGAGTTACCTACCTTGCTAAAGTTGAAAAGAATATTTCAAGATAAACTTAACTATGATGGAAGTATTTCGACTCTGCGTATACAAATACAAATGGCGAAAAACTGTGGATAACAGACGTGTTATTATAGAGCGGCATGACATCCAAAAACTACGATTTTCCTACCTAAAAAATTTACTCAGATACCGTCAAGAAAATCGGTGTATCGTATATACAAATGAGAGCTACATCTTAACTAATCATGTGCAAAACAAATGATGGGGTAATAAAGATGGACCACCTTTAAAGAGAAACCTGTCGAAAGGACAAAGAATTATCATTGTGCATGCTGGTTCAGAACAAGGTTTCGTACCTAACGCACTATTGACATACAAAGCAAATAGTGTTTCTGGTGATTACCACTCTAACATGAACGCAGAAAACTATGAAAAGTGGCTAAAAGAACGTCTAGTACCGAATCTTCCACCTAACTCTGTGGTTGTGCTTGATAATGCCTCATACCATAACGTTCAAAATGACGGAGCCCCAAATTCTAATTCCAAAAAAATAGAAATGCAGAGATGGCTGACAGAAAAAAATATAGCTTTTAATCAAGATATGAAAAAAATTGAACTGTATGTTTTGATTTAAAAAAATAAAGAAAAATATATCTGTTACAAGATTGACGACATACTTCAACCATATGGCATAAAAATTCTTCGACTGCCACCATATCATCCTGAACTAAACCCCATAGAAAATGTGTATGGAATTTTAAAGAATTATATCATCATCAGCCTATCGCAGTCCACTGCTGGACATAGGCCTCTCCCATTGCACGCCACTTAGAAGAAAAGAAAAAAATAATTATATTGCTTCGCATAATGTCGACCAAAATGTGACGAAAATAATGAAACTCATAAATGAACGTTTAAGTCAAATTGATGAAGGGATGTGGGGTAATACTTGTCGACATTTACAAAAGAAAGAAGAAGAATACTATAGACATTTTGACATGGAGTCAGAATTCATAATTAACCTTGGTGAGAGCAGCGAATCCGAAAATTCATCATTTGATTTTTCAAGTAGCGATTCAGAATAATGTTCAATAAATAAACATTACATTACGAAATAAATCTTTTTTTTTTAAAACCCGTATATAACCCGTAAATAACTATATTTGTATTTGTACGACTGTACCTCTTGTCACGCACACAAAGTCACTGTATATGTACAAGGTTTACCCACACATAGCGCGCACATCTGAGTTGAACTATCTATAATAAAAAATCTTTGTAGTTTGAAACTTAACTAAATCATGAAGTATCAAAACAATATTCAAATTTTAATAAACCTTTAAAAGTAAGCATCAAGTATCGTGCGTCTCTGATGCGTATCTATGGTTTTCTTCAGTGCTATTCCCAAGAAGATATATAACTCTAGGGTTAAAAGTTAAAGTAAAACCATGCATCGGTTAGGATGAAAAAGTTAAATATTTAATGTTGTGAAAATATATATATATATTTTCACAAATAGCTTGTCACGCTTTACACATGCCTAAGTACCAACCGTAATTACAATCAAACATTATTATTATTATGACTTATCCACTTCTACAAGGCCGCTGTTTACTGGATTGCATAGTTTTATACATTTAATAATATTAAATATATTTGCTTAGTGACGATAAAGTAATTTGATAATTTATATCAGTATTGTTTTACCATGAAATTTTAATTTGTAATGAAAAAGTCATTCAGTCAAAAAGTCTTTTCCCAGGTACGAGTATAATGAGTATATATAATGTTTTCTTGCTCTTAATTTGTTACAATGAAGTATATAAGTACGTATGACATATTTAGCAAACACAGATTTACTACCTAATTAATAAAAAAAAAAGAACTAACGCTTATTACTGCCACTGGACTAGACGCCATTTCTGATCAACCAGAAATTTGCAGTCCGCGATTCGCGGAACCGAGCAGCAATGTGACCACTTATTTAGTGGAAATTCTACCTACAGATACTTTGTTTCTTTACAGGTGGAAAACCGTCACCAATGACAGATTTTGAAGTGCGAGTGAGATAGATAATTATACTTTAGGTAAATTAGAGTGAGACAAGCAGTGACGCTATCATAGATTTCAGATTGGTTAAATTGGGAGAACCGCCGGCGGCTAACTGAACATTGTAATTTTGTTTGGGTCAGTACGTTTCCATAATTCGTTTACTGCGCATCCATTCGTATACAAATTTATGTAGATTTCGTACTAACGACGTGATTGAAGTGATATTAAAAGGAAAATTTTAGTGACCGGACATTTGTTAATCCCTTTGTTTGATTAATTGATATTATACCATGCCACACACTTATACAGCGTTGGAATACGCTTTTTTATTTTTTTTAATAATTAATTTAATTTAATTTACGGAGAGTGCAGATGCAATGCAAACGCTGCAAGCAGAGTATATCGTGAAATATATCGAAATCTTCAACGATATCCAGATTATCGAGTGTTTCTTTATGTGCATCAAGCATTTTGTGAAGGTCATTAACCAAGCAACCGAAGAAATGCAGGCAGACCTAGGTCAAATCGCGATTAGATTTAGCGCGTGCAAACGCTGCTGTTTTACTAATCTCATAAGATTTGTTAAAATTTTCGTACCTATCATGGAACAACCACTACTGATCGTGCTTGACGTTAACTACTTCAAGACGCTGAGCCCTGAGAAATTTGGACACCTGATGAAGGTGCTTCAAATCCTATCTTGCCAGTTTCTGGCACAAGACTTCTGCGGGTCCGCTGAGCAATTTCGACTGTTGGAACGTTGCGTTTCTGTTGTTGATTTTGCGCTGGCGAGCCTCGCGGTCTTGTCACCGACGTATGACTTGCAGACTTTTGTTATAAACGATTTGTCACGCTTGCCATCGTCGGCTGATGGGCTGGATTCAGCTCTTGTTGGTGTTGGAAAAGTTGAGAAATCGACTGATTCGATGCTGGTTGATGGTCAGGTACTGGACTGGCTCGATTCGGACAGTCTGGATGCTTCTGATGCTAAACGCGAGCGTGCTCTTCGGGTAGTGGTGCCTCCACTAAACCTTCCGATAAGAAGGTTAAGGATGGAGTTGTTTCCTCCACTGTTAAAAAGGTCAAATCGCGAAGAAGAAGTACTAGAAGAGATTGAAAATGACCCTAATACTTCAGTCCGTGCCATAGAGGAATCTACGGGAATCCCAAAAAGTACCACCCAGCGTTTTCTGAAACGTGAAAGATTTCATGCGTACCACGTAAGACGTGTGCAAAATTTGTTACCCTGGGATTATCCTGCTCGAAAAGAGTTTTGCCGTTTGATGATTAGGAAGAATGCCGAGGATCAAGAATTCTTAGATAGGATTTTATGGTCAGACGAAACAACCTGTAAAAAAGATGGTTTTTAAAATCTTCACAATTTACACAGTTGGAGCGTGGTGAACCCTCACTTAATGCGAGAAGACAAGTCGCAGTATCAGTTCAAGATCAATTTGTGGACAGGATCAGTGTGTGGGTCATTCTCAGACGCCTCAAATAAGCGTGTCCGGGTCGAAATTCAGTACTAAATGGATAACTAACAACTTGATGTTTTTTTCTACAACAGGTACGATCAAAATATTGGGAGGGGCCTGTGTTATTTTTTTAATAAATTATATTAAAGTTCGTTTAAAAAAATAAAAACCTTAAAAATATTGACCTCGGTGCCGCGTCCGGCCCTTATATTGCGCCGGATTTTTTTTTTCTTTTTTTCCCTAATTCATGACGCTGTTTTGCATGTGTTCACAAACAACTAGATAGTTATTAACTCAATTCATAATATTTCCACACCATAATAGGCTTTAGTAGACAAGTTACAACTGGTTGTCTTCACGTCCGACGTTTGGAATTGATATCAGTGGCACGCACCGATCGGTTCATATATCCTACAATCTAGTGACTTCGAGAATAGTTGTTCGGGTAATACAAACTGTCAGTTGCGCTGCATCGGCGGTAAGGATAACACGTCTATACGTCTTCGCGTCACTCTTTTATTAAGGTACGTAATTATTTTCGGTGGCTTGGTATACCCTTAAAATTGATTTCGGTGAATCCATTTTGTCCACATCTATTTGAATAAATATTTTTAATTTATAATCAAAGTATCTCTTATGTGTATTCGATTTCAATAAAAGAGATTAATATTAAGAATCGGGTTACTTTTGAAAATATCTGCTAACTGAAGCAAGGTCTCATGTTGATTTGCTATCATCAAGTTCATCGGTCGTTTCATCGCTTTTACCTCAGCGTGTTAAGGCTTATCGAGACTTGGCAGCACCATTGAGTCCGTGTAGTGACGTCAGTACAATTTCAAGGCCATGTACCAGATCATCAGTTCGTGTAATTGAAAAGGAGTTTCCTCCAACTCCAAAGGCTAACAAGAAACTAAATACCAAAGTTATTATACGTAGACTTAAATACCGCATGAACAAAATGTATCAGTTACAGAAAAAGAAGATTGATGAATTGAAGACTATCAACGAACGACAACGAAAACAGTTATATAGATTAAAACACCAAAGTGCTGCATTAAGAAAATATGAACCGACAAGCAAAACCAATACAGAAGATATGAAACAACAAAGTGAATCAGACGCTATAAAAACAATTAAAAATAATATAGAAGAGGACATTAAAACTTTTCTTGAAGAAGATGAAAACAGTCGTATGTGTTCTGGAAAAAAGGAGTTCATTACTAAGAAAAAGGATAAAAAACAAAGACGCTACTTAAATGATTCTTTAAACGACTTATATACTAAGTTTAAGCAAACAAATCCCCAAAACAAAATTAGTTACTCCAGTTTTTGCAAAAAACGACCGTTTTGGATACTGAAACCTGCTGTAAATAAACGAGAAACCTGTATTTGTATTGAACACGAAAATATGGACTTAATGGTGAGTGCGTTAAAAAAAAAACTTAATTCAAGAAAAATCTACCAAAGATATTTTATCATCTCTGTGCTGTGACTCTTTGAATGTGTCATGTTTAACAAGGAAATGCAATGACTGCAAAGATAAAAGCTTAATCTATAAAGAATTCAATAAGGCTGAAGTATTATTTCACTGGATTTGGCAAAAAAGTAAAAAATCTTATTCTAAAAATGGAATTACAAAAACCACCATTCACACAGCGAAGGATAAAATGAATGCTTTCCCTAGAGACATCATTTTAAAATTTGAAAAAATGTTCAAAATGGACTTCTGAAAGTTCAGTCGATATGTACTTTATCAGTGTTTACGCCATGATGCGCCAGCCATTTGGGAGCATTTATTGCCAATTTTAAAATTCATCGAAGATGAAAATCTTAATATTAAAATTCTCCATTTCATTACTGATAGTCCGTCGGGCCAGTACCGAAACCGTAAAACGTTTTATATCATCAGCAAACTCCACTCCACAAATGACTTATACAGAAACATAGAATTATACAGAAAGCGGCCATGGAAAAGGAGCCCCAGATGGTGTTGGTGCAACCCTTAAAAGAACAGCTTATAGAATAGTTGCTCAAGGCAATGATATCATAAGCTTATCATCTTTGATGACTCATCTGAAATCTGTTCAAGGTATTATAACGAAAACTATTAACGATTCCGGTATTTATGAAAAAGATTTGTTGATTCCATCCGATCTCAAGCAATTTGCAGGAACTATGAAAGTTCATCAGGCAGTGTGGAACGCCAATGAGCCCAACCAACTATCAATGAGAAAAATGAGTTGCGCCGAAGGTGAATGTAAAAATAATTCAGCGTCGTGTGAACATGGTCATCATGTAGGATTATACATCATAGGCGAGCAAACTAACCGACTGCTGACTGATAAAAGCAACAAAAACAAGAGTGACAAGATCGATCTGATCAAAAAGTCAAGTCAAGCCCTAAAGTGCAGCGGAGTCGGTGCAGCAAAATCTAAAAAACCTCAAATTTTATCTAATATTTTGATTCAACCTGGAAGTAGCTATCATATTGATCTTGCAGACGAATGCTCCGAAACCAAGCAGCGCTTGTCGCATACCTTAACATCCGACATTGGATTGCATGAAAGTGACAGCTTCTGGACGCGTGTGTCGACAGATTGTGAAAATATTGCTCCGGCAGTAATGAATGAAGTATTCTCCAAAATTGTAGATTCTAAAGAAAGCAGTGACGAGGAATATAACATTTTTTAAATAAGGATTGGAAACTGTAATACAAAATTATAATTAATTTAATGCTGGGTGCTTAATACACCTAAAAGCTTATTTAATTGTGTTAAAATTAATAAAAATACAAATATTATTAGTTATGTGCCTTCTATAATTGTTGATGTTGTTTAAAGACTGGTTTTTGAGTTATTTTATATCAATAAGTAAATTGTCTGTGATTAAGCTAGATCTCAAATAAGACTTCAGATTTTTATTAAGTTCCTGTATTGTTAGTATAAGACTACCTCTACTACTTTTAATTACATTTAATATAATAATTGTACGCTTCTATCCAAAGTTGATTTTTGTAATAACAAGTAATATAGTGATTTCTTGTGTGTTATAGTGAGTGTTTTGTAAGTACAGTGTAATAAAGGTAATTAACCGACAACTTTTATTAATTTTATCACCCCGCTCGTAACAATATATATAAAAAAAACAGTCTTTCAAATATAAATTATTTAGTATATTTGATTTCGGTGGAGACATTTAAAAAAAAATTAAATCCCTTCATTTCCATTCGGTCTATACGATTCCCTCGACTACTAATATAAAAAATAAAAATTGCCACCGAAGTCAACCAAATAATGAGTCTCCTGATAATGACCCATTAAATGGTCAGACTATCGGTCCATTTGAATTGCCAGCAATTTTGAATGGCGAAACTTATTTAAATTTTCTGCAAAATACTTTGCAGAATCTCCTAGAGGATGTACCTTTAACGTACTAAGAGATATGTGGTACCAAAACAATGGTTGCCCAGCTCACTACGCACGTCCAGTGAGAAATTATTTGGACCTAGAATATGCAGATGGATGGATCGGTCGTCTAGGTCCCATTGCATGGCCGCCCCGTTCTCCGGATTAAAATCCACTGGTTTTTTTTTACTGGGGTTGCCTGAAAGACAAAGTCTATGCCAAACCAATTGCAACAATTGACGAACTTGGAAGAATCTTGGAGGCAGCAGAAGATATGAACAGACGGGGATATGCTAGACTCATTAAAAGATCATTTTTAAGGCGTTGTCACGCGAGTATTGACGTAGATGGTCAACAATTTGAACATTTAATTTAAGTACGCAATCTAAATCTAATATCTTAATTTCTCATTATGACTTTCATTGAAACAGTCTCAAAACCCTGTTTTGAACAGTAGGTAATGTTTTCAACAACTAAACTGAATAATCCTCTTTGTGTCTTGATCAGAGAATTCTTAGAATTTTTACAAGTGTTGTCATAGTATTGCACCATTTTAGAATTGTGATGAGTTGCGCTAACTGTTGTAATAACATGCCAATAGTACATTTCATAATTTTTTTTTACGCTGTAGCATGTCAAAGTTGATTAAAAGTTAAAATATTCAAAAAATTCAAGAAAACAGATTGTTTATTTTATTTTTATATTAAAAACTACGAATGTATAGGTCCTATTTGGAACTGCAATTTATAGTTATGTTACTTAGGTAGCTAATACAAAAAAAATGTGGGGATATGTCACATTTGTAACCACAGTATCTAATCATAGGGTGTAGGGTATCAAATTACAACATTTTTCAAAAAAGTAAATGTAACTTTGAGGAAAAAAGAGCTGGTTTTTTATTATTATTTTTTCATGGGTAGTTATGGATCCGACCATACACAGGTACCGGCTTATCGTTGAATTTTGGGACACGTTGTATATACAGGGTTACAAGAAAAGTCGTGCTAGATCCGTTAAGGGCGTGGAGTACCCATCATTTCTGACATATTTCACTATGAAACACCCTACCCTAAACTTAACCCTTTTCGAGATAATCGTCTTTTAATTTTATTATTGAAATTTGCTGATTTTTAGGCTACTACATTTATTTTTGTTTATTTTGTGTATCTTTTTATTATTATTTTTGCATTTTTACATGTGTAATAAGATGCTTTAGGACGTCAGTCATTAAAATAGTTCATAAGTTAATTGAATAGATCGTAGTAGACAAGTGAAAGTAAAGAAATAAAAAAAATATATTAGAAAATTATTTTTCTCTAACGGATATCTAAAAACAATATTATGGTAATTGTTCGGTAGATGTTTTTTAAAATATCTACGTTTCATCAGCTATCTAACGAGGTATAACAATCTAGGGTTTGTATTACATTTCGTGGAAAAAAAGTAGTTGGGACGCTCCAGGTAACAGTTCTAACGGTCCCGCGCCTATTGTCCTTCAAGTTAAGACGCACCAAGCGAGCGAGACAAGTGACGATTTATGTAGGTGCGAATGAAAGAAAAAATGTGTAGAGACCGGTTAGGGCTGGGAATACAACAGGGGGCATTGTTTGGTTGTCACTAGTTGTCAGTCTGCTTTTGTGCTTCGTACATAGTAGATGTGATATCGTTTTGCTCTTTTTCTCGACTTGGCTGTGATTCTGGACTATTTCTTCTGATTTGTGACTACTGTGCTTGTTAACCGGACTCTGATTTGTACCTGTGATACGGAAGTGTTGAAGATGACGTCCTACACACCTGAGGAATATGCTGATATGCTTATTTGTTACGGATACTGCGATTGTGTGTCTGCGCAAGCTCGCAACGAATACATAACTCGCTACCCTGGTCCTTGAGTGCCGGATGTGGCCGTTTTTGACAGAGTTTATCGAAGACTTCGAGAAACTGACTTTGTTTTGAGACGACATACAGACATGGGAAGACCACGAATTGACGACGAAGAACAGGACAATGAGATAGTGCAACGCTTTCGAGCGGATCCGACTACTTCCACTAATATTGTTGCCCGTGATCTGGAACTTTCGCAATGGAGAGTGTGGTTTACAGTGCATACTGCTGGCCTATACCCGTACCATTACACGCCGGTACACGTTATTGAAGAAGGCGACCCCGCGAGAAGATTGGACTTTTGCAGATTTATGCTAAATGCTGACGTAGAAGACCCAGATTTTCTAAGAAATATCTTGTGGACGGATGAGTCCAAATTTGATAAAGATGGCATAACTAACTATCACAACGCCCATTACTGGGCCCCAAAAGAACTAAGGAATCCCAATAAGAAAAGAGTGAAGGGGTCCCAACGAAGATTCAGCGTGAATGTGTGGATGGGCATTATCTCCAATCACTTGATTGGACCTTACTTTCTCCCGGATAATCTAAATGGGGAAAGCTACGAAAATTTCCTGAGAGCAGACTTGAGTGATTTGCTGGATGATCTGCCATTCAACCTGATCAGGGACATGTGGTTCCAACACGATGGCTGCCCATTTCAGGAGAAGTGTCAGGGACTGGCTGAACACAAATTATCCAAACAAATGGATAGGACGAGGTGGGCCGTTGCCATGGCCAGCAAGAAGTCTGGACCTAACCCCCATGGATTTTCATGTGTGGGGGTGCATGAAAAGTCTTGTGTACAGCGAGCCGAATCCAGTTTCGTCTGTGGAAGACTTACGAGAAAGGATTGTGGATGCAGCAAATAAAATGAGGACCACGTTGACCACTGGAGTAGTGAAGACTGGTCTCCGTAGAAGGATGCGACAATGTATCAGAAATAGAGGCGGCCATGTTGAACATGAACTGTAGAATAAGAAAAAGTTGTGTGAAAACCTTTAATAAATGACATTTCATGCTTAACTATTGTTTTATTTTACTTTTTTGGGCTAAGTATAAATTTTCTTCTCCACTGTCGCCTATGAAACTAAAATTTTTTCAATGCATTTGAATAAAACCTTAGATTATTATACCTCGTTAGATAGCTGATGAAACGTAGATATTTTAAAAAACATCTGCCGAACAATTACCATAATATTGTTTTTAGATATCCGTTAGAGAAAAATAATTTTCTAATACATTTTTTTTATTTCTTTACTTTCACTTGTCTACTACGATCTATTCAATTAACTTATGAACTATTTTAATGACTGACGTCCTAAAGCATCTTATTACACATGTAAAAATGCAAAAATAATAATAATAAGATACACAAAATAAACAAAAATAAATGTAGTAGCCTAAAAAATCAGCAAATTTCAATAAAAAAATTAAAAGACGATTATCTCGAAAAGGGTTAAGTTTAGGGTAGGGTGTTTCATAGTGAAATATGTCAGAAATGATGGGTACTCCACGCCCTTAATGGATCTAGTACGACTTTTTTTGTAACCCTGTATATATAAAACCACGCGATTTTGTTCTTTTGGTTTAAAAGCTTTTTTTATTATTTATTACAGCAGAAGAGAACATAGAACCTGCCACGTCGGCGCGTCTAGAGATGCTTTCTTCACCTACAAGCATTGTTTTAACTTCCCCAGATCGCTTAGAAGAATATTCCTCGCCGATATTGGAACTACTTGAAAACTTGCCGCCCTTTAAAAGTTCTGACTATGTATCAGATTCATCAGAAGATGGTACTTTAATAGTTGCTGGTGGCAAGAAAATGAGGCTACCTAATGGAAAATCGAGACGAACTAAACTAAATGACCAGTATTTATACCATGCTCTGATGACCATACAGTGAGTATAAATGATGCAGTAGTTACGGAAGGAAGACCAAAGAAAGGCCGTAAGTATAAGTACGGGGGTCTATCTAGGATCAAAAGAAAAATAAATAAATATTCTAATAAGCGTTTTCACAACTACAAAAACATCGAAGTTTATCCGAAGGCATTTATTGATTTTAAATGTAATTGTAAAACTAAGTGCTAGGAAAAATAGATTCTAACAGTCGACATATAATATTTGTGAGTTTTTACAAACTAGAAAATTACAATGCCCAAAATATGTTCATCGCAGCAAGCGTCAAAGAAGCTGACATAAAAAGAAGGATAACTAATAGCAATATGAAGAAAAAATTCTCTGTAAATATCTATTGGACAAAGTCGAAGCATGCCGGGATTTATTTGTCAAAACACTTAGCGTTTCTACAAAGAGAGTTAATACTGCTTTGATTAAAATGAGGACACATGATTTTACAGATCAAAGAGGATCGAAAAGTGGAGGTGAGAACAAATGCAGCGGCGAAATAGTTTCACAAGTGAGATGCCACATAAACTCATTTCCTAAGTATAAATCACACTACAGAAGAGATGAGCGCGAGACCGAATATCTTATGCCATACATGACTTTAGACAAGATGTACAATTTATACTGTTAACATATAGGAGAAGCTGAGAAGGTCAATAAGGCAATGTATTGTAAATTATTTTACAAACATTTTAATCTTAAACGAGTGCCTCTTAAGAAAGATACTTGTAATAAGTGTGACACATTACAAGCGAAATTAACTCGTTGCAAAACTGCGGAGACAAAACAGATATAGATATAGAACGCGAAGAACATTGCCGAAAATAGGAAGAGGCTCGAAATAAAATGAAGTCTGACTATATTCTGACTACTCCATGTAAGGAAATAGAATTCCTCACGTTTGATTTCCAAAAAACACTGCCTATGCCTAAAATCCCTACCGGCATTATCTACTATAAAAGACAGCTTTGGCTGTACAATATGGGAATTTATTCTGCTAAAACTAACTTGAGTGAATGCTTTGTTTGGATAGAAGGTATGGTTGGTAAAGGTGCCCAGGAAGTCGGTTCTTGTCTATTCAAATACTTAGGCGTGCATATTTCTGAAGATGTCGAGGAACTAATACTATGGAGCGATTCATGTGGAGCACAGAATCGTAACATAAAGATCGTTCTGATGTTAAAAGCATTTTTGCATTCTCATCCCACCCTGAAAAAAATTACACAAAAATTTTTGATACCCGGACATAGTTTTTTCCCACATTGAAACGGCAATGAAAAAATATCCGAGACTATACACTCCCGATGATTATGTGCAGGTTATGAAAGATTGCAAAAAGAAGAACCCGCTCACAGTTACAGTTATGGCAAAATCTGATTTCCTGGGCACTTCTAAGGTTGAAAAAATGAGAATTAACAGAAAACGTGGTATTAATAAAGAATGTTTTAATTGACTTCAAACTCGGGAAATATACCTGACAAGAGAGTCGCCAAACTCAATTTTTTTTAAAACGGATTTCCATGGGAGTTTTGTGGAAGTAAATATAGGGAGAGCACCTGTTCGTGGCAGACCAGCTCTAATCTTGTCAGAGCATTTAGTTGGCCGTCAGGGAAGCCAGTATCTTCCCTTCGCGGCACTGTGCGACTAACGTGACTTCGTATGCTAACAATTTTAATATTGTTTTCTGTACTTTTATGTGACTAGTTCTCGGTTTGCGGGCGGCTAAAGGTTGTGTATAGTGTTTCTAAAGAATTTCAGTAAGTTTTATTGTTTTCTAAACATAAATATAGTGCCGAATTCTTTTATTACGACTATTGGTGAGTAAATTTATTTTCTTAGTAAAAGTGGGTAGGTGGTATCCTTTGTTTACATTGATTTTTCTCTGCGTATTGTTTATTTTTAAGCTTGTTTTTTTTTTTTAATTGTTGATTGGTGTGTCTTTGTTTGGCTATGTCGGTTGTTAACGAGTTGCCGGATCCCGGCGGTACAAGTGAATTTCTAACACCAACCGGGAAAAGGACATTTAACGAAATGTCACCTACGGATTTCACGCCGAAAGACAAAAGCCGTAAACGCATTATTAATTCGGACTTAAGTGGAAATGTTTCGTCTCCTACGGGTCGTGATAACTGTGGGGAGTACAATTACTGTGACTTAGTGTCACAGGCCACCGATTACTTATCAAAAATTAATGAATTAGTTAATGATCAGGGATCTCGGATGAATGTAGGTAATAAAACGGCGATTATGGATATTACTCAACGAAATACCGGTATCGTATCAATGTTAGCAATAAAATCCTTTAGCAACGAAGCGAATGCGAATTTTGAGCGACAAATGGAGGGTATCGCAACTCAACAAACGAGTTTAACGTACGCGGACCAACTTAGCTTTGCTTACCACCTAAATCTGCCCCGTGCCCGGTACCTACTGAAGCGCGCGTTCCTAGGCCTTGTGTTATTGCCTATCCCACTACGGAACGCTTAGCGGACTATGCGACCTCGTCAGCAACGAAACAAGCTCTTATGAAGGCTATTAAACCGAGCGATGAGGGTTTCCAAATTAGAATTTTTGGCGTTCTGTTACGGCCAAAGGAAGATTAAAAGAAGCCATCAACTTCGTTAGAGTCGAGTTTAGACTTGTTTGTTAGTCAAGAACAAGAGATGCAAATTTCTTATTATTATTTTTTATTTTACCACATTCACAAAACGCCATCTAGTCCCAAACTAAGCAGAGCCTATACGAGGGGTGATCAATAAGTAATGATAATCGAGTATTTCTAGAAAGCACAAAAACCCAAATTATTTTTTTTCTGCTTGCTTATATATCCACTACTTCAGCTTCAAAAAAATGTATAAATAGGACACCATTACCGGGAGATACATTCATTTGAATACGAACTGTCGAAGAGAAAACATCAAAATGGAGAAAAATGAAATAAGAGCTGTCATCAAGTACCTCTGCCTGAAAAAAATGTCTACCAAAGACATACACAGCGACTTAGAGGAAACATTGGGGGAGTCTGCTCCTCCATATTCCACAGTCGCACGCTGGGCAAAGGAATTTAAGCTGGGCAGAACCTCCACTGAAGATGAACATCGCGAGGGACGCCCTTCCACGTCCCTTACTGGAGAAAACGTCAAAAAAATGGAAGATATCGTGTTGGCCGATCGAAGGGTGACCGTAAGGCATGTAGCTGAGGTCACAGGGATCTCCTATGGCAGCGTTCAAAAAATCATTGTCAACAAAATGCATATGAAAAAGGTCTCTGCGCGTTGGGTACCGAGAATGTTAACCGACGAGCAAAAAAAGAAACGAGTCGACATTTCGAGGGTGAATCATCAAAAGTTCCAGGCCGATAAAGAATTTTTTTTGTCGCGTTTTGTGACCATGGGCGAGACCTGGATCCACCACTTTGATCCCGAAACCAAACCACAATCAATGACTTGGAAACGAGCTTCCTCACCAACGCCGAAGAAATTCAAAGTGTCAAGTTCAGCGGGAAAGGTTGTGGCGTCTGTTTTCTGGGATGCAGAAGGAATTATTATGGTGGAATATTTGGAAAAGGGGGCCACTATAACAGGCTCTTACTACGCAGGCCAAATAAGAAGATTGCGAGAAGCTATTAAGTCAAAAAGACGCGGTAAACTGCGCGCTGGAGTGCTGGGAGTGGACGCCCCGGCTCACAAAGCCGCAGTTGCGATGGCTGCCATTGAAGAAACGGGGTTCGAACTGCTCGAACACCCTCCCTATTCGCCAGATCTAGCTCCCAGTGACTTCTACCTCTTTCCTCGGCTCAAAGAACACCTCCGGGGCAACAAATTTGAGGACAATAGTGAAGTGATGGCCGCAGTAGAGGCATTTTGGGAGGGTCAAGACAAAGAATTTTTTTCTAAGGGAATCATGGGCTTAGAAAAAAGATACACTAAATGTATTAACTTGCAAGGAGACTATGTTGAAAAATAAAATACTTATTTTAATCTAATAGTTCTGTTTCATATTGATTATCATTACTTATTGATCACCCCTCGTACTATGGGTACTGGACAACTGATATAAATACATAATATATACTTTTTTTGTAAGTTAATAAAGGTATACACAATAAATAAATAAAAAATTATTAAGGCATTCTTAAATAAAGAATGCGAAAAAATTCGCGTGATATGGTGTCGCAAGTAAATACATTGGGACTTGTTTTTACAAGATTATGATAAGTGGCTGAATAAAAATGTATCTTTCAGCATGCTAGTATTATAATCATTCAGAACCAAGTACTACTTGTGGCAGACAGCAGATATTTTTTTGTATCGTATAGCATCTTTGTTCATGTTTCCGTAGCTTATCTGATGCCAATTTGAAAGAGGGAATATTCACGGGACCTGACGTCAGGAAACTGATTAAGGATACAGAATTTGCAAAAGTGATGACAAATTTGGAACGAAATGCTTTAAAAATGTCGTATCTAAGTTTCTAGGTAACACAAAAGATCCTGAGTATAAAAATATTGTCCAGGAAATGTTAAACGTCTACAAAAATTTAGGCTGTAATTTGAAGTCTCACATTGATTGTTTCCAAAAACGTTTTGACATATCGCATTGAATTGAAGACGACGTTTGACGTTTGTTTGCGAGCGTATCTCGTGTTAAATATAATAAAATTAATTAAAAATGAATCCTGTAAGTATTTACATTGATGATAACTTTTACATTCCATCCGTTCAACCTTTTAAAGATCATTTTTTTGTCAGTCAAGCAAAGCAGCGCCAATGACAAAAGATGACATGATGCTCCTCATGCAGCTTGTGGCGGCAAGTGCAATTATAAATAACAAAGCAACAAATGCCACTCATAACAAACTCAAGGACCAGGCTTGGCAAAAATTAGCTGTTGATTTTAATTCGTCAGTTTCAAGTTACCAAAGAACCCCAGCGCTACGTTTAAAATGGGATTACTTGAAGAAGGCCGCTCGTAAACGCTGCGCAAACATGAGAATCAGCCGAAATAAGGTCAGTTAAGGATTATGACTAATGATTCACAATAGTAAGTAGTAAGTTAAAACAAGATTTTTTTTAGTTCTTTTTTTTTACAGACTTGAGGAGGGAATGACTACTTTCCACCTGACGAAGTCCTGGACAAAGTGGCATCTCTATTAGGCAACGCATGCACAGGTTTTTCTGTGGAGTTTGATGGGGATGCCACTATTCCAAATGTTCATTTGGTGATGGATGAAATAGAGAATTTAGAGGTGATATGTGATGAAACGCTAGAAGATGGTGGTGATGGTACTTATGGTGGAGGTGGTGATAAGAGGGAGGTGTTGAAAGGAACACAATTACTTGAGACACCCCCCCCCCCCCCCCTAAACACATTTTTTTTTACATAAGTAACGCTAGTGGCAGTGGTGCATTGGGTGGGTGGCTGTAATTTTTGTTTTGATGCTATTTTCCATTACATAGTTATTCTCTGAAACATGCTAACAGTGGACCTTGACACATTAAAACTATATACTAACTACTATATCTTACTACTTTACTTTTACTACTTTACTTTATTTTAATAGCCAAGCGGAAACAAAGGAAGGAAAAGTGTAAGGCCCGCATAATGAGGAAAAATGCTCGTACAGAATATTTAGTTGTTAAGAAAATAACAATTGAATTAGAAAATGAGGAAAAGGAGTTACATATTGTAACGTTGCATTTGGCACCATTACAGAAAAGCTAATTATTTACCCGTTGTTATTTTGTAGGTTGTTCTGACAGATGAATTTTCTGACGTTTCAGTAAAGCTCCGAGAGATGGCGTCACAGTCGAGATTTTTTAGTCTATTTTATTCGACTATTGCAGTGATTTGGTAGTAGACTTTTTTTTTCCCTGGGCGAAGCGGAACAGGGTAGACATGGATGATTTTTAAAAGACAAAAATGTAATCCGTTTCCATTTGTTATAATTAGAGGGTTAAAATCACCTTTTATTGTTGACCAGTTTTGTTAAGAAAAGGAGTTTTTTTCAATGGAAATATTATTTGCCTTTTTGGTACCCTGGGATTTAGTTTGCTTCGGAGAGTGGATTTCCTTTCCTAAGTACCTCTAATGGCAGGAAAAGTCCTCTGACTGTAGCCCATTATTTGGATTCACTTGGGATGGGAACCAGGAATGATGGATTACTTACCCCGCCACGACGACAACCACGTGGAGAACAGGAGTGAGCGTTATAGGAATTAGTTTTACCATAGTTCCAAACGGACTGTGCCGGCGTTATCGGTATGTCTTTTGTTGTATATGAATTTTTACTGGCGTTGTCTTAACGGATACTGTGGACTCTAAGGGGCGTTATTATTATTATTATGGGAGTAGGTTGTTAGGATAACTACCTTTAATTTCTTTATGTATTAAACAGTCTTTATGTGACTTTTAAAGATATTTTACCTTTAATTTCTTTATGTATTAAACAGTCCTTACGTAACTTTTCAAGTTGTCTCCTTATGGGATGATCGCACCCATTGGGATTAACAACACCTTATTTTACCTTTAGCTTGTATTATCAAGGTAAACAGATTGCATTAATGACAGAACTAATTTGAGAATAAGAATTACATTTGTAATTAGATCTCTAATATTCCATGTACTCTACAGACACTACGGGATAAATAAACTGCCTCTTAATCTTATGACATCTCTTTATTTTATAGCTTCCCCCCACCCTAAATTAAAATCTAAGCGCTGACCGAGCTATACCAGGTATTTATTGTATTTGTTATTAGTTGTCTATGCTCATTTAAGCTGTCACCTGGCGCCCGAGATTATTGGTTTTGTTCGAATTTGTGGTGCCGGACCAGTTAGTTCATTAATTTGTATTCAACATAGACATTCATAAGTTAAAAACATATTTCTTTTATTTTTTTAATATTACAATTGTCGCCAGCGCACAGGGACTGAGGTGGTGTCTGTAGGTTAAATAGATTAGATAACTAATTAGATACTGTCGTTACTGCATTCTACTTTTTGTATTACTTGCCTTGTGTATTATTTACTTTGTAACAAAAATATGTTTGATTCAAAGCAACTGTGCAAAACTGGGATATAAAGAAAAGACTTTGCTCTGTAGTATATGATGAGGTGGCTCTAACACCTCATCTCATATAGGATGAAAGCAGAGATAAAATCATTGGATTTGTAGAGATAGCAGGAGAGAGAATCCCAAAACTCGCAGATCATGCACTGGTAGTGATGATCAGAGGCATATGCTCTTCGTGGCGACAAAGTGTAGCATATTATTTTTGTGAAGGAACAATTTCTTTAACAAAATTGATAGGCATTTTAAATGCCATAATGCCTATGCTGTCAGCAACTGGTCTCAAGCCGAGGCTCTAAATTCCAGTCCTGCTTTAAAATGCTAACAGATGCAACTGCTAGACTTTGTAGCAAGGAAGAGAAAATGGTAAGACTTCTTTGACAATCATCTCTAAATACTAATATAATGGGGCTGAAAAGTTTCTTTGTTTGTTTGAATGCGTAAATCTATACGTTGGATTATAATTAAGATGCGATAAAAGCGAAATCTGCATTTTATTTGCGATAAAAGCGAAATTTGAAAATTAAATACTTTCGCACCTTTTTACGTTACGTGCTTTCAAATGTTGATCAGACGCGCTAACAATTATTACAACTCTGTTCAAAACAGACAGAGACGGCACGAGTTGTTGCGTAGATGAGGAGCGAGCGAGTGATTATCGGCGCGTGGGTTGGCGTCCGTCCGTCTCTTGTCTTTCAATCAGTCACTCACTCATGCGCTTATGGTATAGTTTTGTTACTAACGCCAATATGGGCCGCCCGAAAGTAGAATTATCTGAACGAGTAAAAAAGTTCAAAGAGGATGGCTTGTATTTAAGCGATACTAACATCGTAATGTGCAAATACTGCAACGTGCGTTTGGAAGGAGAGAAGTTAGATACTTTGAAGATGCATACGACTTCTGTTACTCATTTAAGAAAGAAATCTGATCCTGATCCTTAACTAGGGTCCTCTGGAGTAAAAAGGCAATCCACAATAGTTGGTGCTTTTGAAGTGCAAAAGCGTGCCAAAACAGAAAAAGAGGAATTTGTGCTTGACACTGTAAAAATGTGTTTGAAAGCAAACATTCCGTTGAATAAACTAGATCATCCAGCTGTTCGCAGTTACATGGAAAAATATGTGCCTGGCTCGGGTAACCTGCCTTCTGGAGATAATTTGAGACGTAAGTACGTACCACAGTGCGGTGTTTCGGAGAAAGATGAAGTGAAACAAAAACTAAATAATCAGCCTCTAGTTGTGGTGGCCGACGAAACTTCTGACAAACAAGAACTCAGAACCACAGCAGTCTTGTTTCTTAGCAAGTGTAAATTTTTTAGACACTGCCAATGCTTCCACTTGTTCTCAAACAATATATAATTGATACTTTGAAAGAATACGAAATACAATACTCTCAAGTACATGGTTTGGTGTCTGACTCTGCAAGGTACATGGGTGCATGTTTCAACTTGCTAAAAATACTACTGGGTGACCATGCACTGCACTTTCAATGCTAGGCGCACAAAGTGAATCTTGTGGGTGACATTTTTTAAAAAGAATTTAAGGAACTGAACTCTATTGTGGCCAAGACAATGTCAGCCTTTTCGCATTCTAGAAAAATGAAAAGTTCCTATTTAAACTTTCTACGACAGCATGCTCCACAATTAACTCCAAAACTTTACCCTACGCCGGTTGTAACCAGGTGGAATTCTTGGTTTAAATCTGTGATTTATTTGAATGAATATATGCAGCAAATTATCGATTTTCTTAATGAATACGAAGACGACAATTCTAGCACTATTTACCTCAAAGAATGTTTTGAAAATGACATTCTAACCAGTAAAATTCAAGTTCAACTTACATTCGTATCAGAATTCTGTCCGAAAATTATGAAACTAATTGACAATTTAGAAGGTTCAAACTATTCGTTTGCACACATTTTGTGGAGTAAATTAGAAGATTTGAAGTCCTCTCTTCAGCGTCAATGTGAAGGCTCTTTTGGCGAAAAAACAATAAATATTTTATCAACCGAAAATTCTATCGATCACAGCATGATGTTGAAGACAGCAGCTCTAAAGAGCTAGGATAAATCGTTGGTACACATGGGGCCGAATCCAACAAATGAGTGCTACAAGCACATTGGCAGATTATTTTGTCCATCGGAAGCAGCAAGTGTCTTCTTCTGTCAATTCAAATTCTATAGTGGAAAGCTTTTTCCGTTTTTCAAGTGTACCACAAGAAGAACTAATTGACGGGTACTCTCATTTTCACAGACAATTACTTTATTATATGTTGTTGAATGGGTATAAGCTTGTAGCATTTTACTGTCGAAAACAACGTCGAGGTGGCACTTGTATACTTTGCAAAAATAGATATCAGTGCACTGAAATAACTGAGATTAAAAATATGAGTATTGAGAAACAATTCGAAATATGTGGTGTTGAAATTAAAAACAGTAACGTTGTTGTAATTTGTGTATACAGAACTCCGAATTCAAACATAAACATATTTTTTGAAAACTTTGAAAAATTGCTTATAAAAATACAACATAAAAAATGTAAAGTTGTAATTGCTGGGGACTTTAATATTATTATTTTGCAAAATGATAGTAATAGCATTAAATATAATGAACTCATCTTTAATTATGGTATGCAATGTCATATTACCGAGCCGACACGAGCAAATAAATGCATTGACAATATTGTTAGCAATATTCCAACAGCGATTGGAAAAAACACATAACCTTTGTCTATCAGATCACAATACTGCTCAAGTTTTGGGATTCAAGTGTCAAAGTATTAATGCCATAGCACATTATTTTGTAAATAAAACTGATCTTAGTAAAGAAAATATAAATAAATTTGTTGAATGTATAAGTGGTTTGTCCTTTTCAGAAATATATAAAGTTTCTTAAGCCAATACTGCGTTTGATAGGTTTCATAATTTATTAATACTATTTTATAAGTTATGTTTCCCTATCATTAAAGTTAAAAAAATCTACAAAAGTAATAATATAAAATGGCTAACTGAGGGACTTAAAATGAGAAAAACACTTCCACTTGCATCAGCTGTAATAATTTAAATAATAATAACAATGAACATAGTATATTTTTAGAACCCACAAATGCAATAGAAGTCTACAATATAATTAAATCACTGAAAGACACTAAATCGTCAGGCCATGATGATTTCAGCACAGAACTAATTAAACTCATATCTCAGTTTATATCAGAACCATTAGCGTACAGCGTTTTCCAGAGAACTTGAAGCTATCTATAATAAGACCTTTACACAAAAAAGGTTCCAGAACTGATAAAAATAACTATAGGCCAATAGCCCTGACCTCTATTTTTTCTAAAATTTTTGAAAAGGTAGTAAATAAAAGGGTGATTAGTTTTTATAATAAATATGACGTATTGGCTAAAGAACAATTTGGGTTTCGAAAGGGTAAATCTACTCAACATGCAATATTTTCTCTAATAAAATCTATAATTAACAACATAAATAAAAAAATACCATCTTTCGTTATATTTTTAGATTTAAGCAAAGCGTTTGATTTTGTGAGTCACGATGTACTAATTCAAAAACTGGATAAAACTGGCGTAAGAGGTATAGCCTTACAATGGAGGGATTCATATTTAAGCAAACGAAGACAAATTACAAGAATAACCAAATTCAATAGTGGCACTAATTGTTTACAATATTTCGATTCGGAACCTAGGTTTAACTATTACGGAGTACCGCAAGGGAGTATTTTGGGGCCATTACTATTTCTTATTTACATCAATAATCTCCCTCAAGCAATGCAAAATCGCAAATCTGTGCTATTTGCAGACGATACTACAGTGTTAATAAGTGGTAATAATTTAAATTCATGTGAACATGAAGTAAATGAGACCCTTCAGAATATCATCAAATGGCTTGATACGAATCATTTAAAAATTAATATAGATAAAACAAAACTTATTCATTTCAGAACAGTAAAAACAAAACAATTTGATATTTCAGTTAAATTTAATGATCAAGAAATAGAACAAATACAGAGCACAAAATTTCTAGGTGTTACAGTGGACGAACATCTGACGTGGAAGTATCACATAGAAAACGTTTGCAAAAAGATGAAAAAGTTTGTGTTTGCATTAAAAAAAGTCAAAGAGGTTGCTTCAAGGGAGACTGCTTTAATGGTCCACCATGCATATGTTTGCTCCATAATTCGTTACGGCATTATTGTTTGGGGTTACTCATCAGAAATAACGCGAGTATTCTTTTTAGCGCAAAAGAAATCGCTTCGTGCAATATTCGGTTTGAAATGGACAGATTCATGCAGGCCTGTTTTTGTATCTCATAATCTGTTGACCGTCCCTGGCATATCCATCTACGAAGTAGCTAAATTCGTGAAGTGCAATAAAGAGCTCTTTGAAGTCAAGGACAATACCAACAAACGTCAAAATACTCACTCGTATTTTAAATTACCAGTACCTAGCCTATAAATTTTTAGGGTGAGCTGTGTTTACATGGCACCACTTATCTATTACGCGTTGCCGGAGAATATTGCAACTCTTCCTTATCACAGATTTTGTACTTTATTAAAAAATTGGCTAATAGCAGAGTGCTTTTACTCAATCAATGATTTTTTAAAAAGTACTCTACTCAGTCATATCACTTCAGAAATGCAAGTGTAGTAATTATTTTTAATATTATTTTTGATATTTCAATTGCAATGTAATGTAATTTTATTTTTATTTTATTTCATAATTTTACCTGTACAATTTTAAAAATTTGCATGCTATCTAAATATAGCGAAATGTGTCTTGTGCTTTAAACATTGTAAACCACCTAATGTGACTACCACATTTTCTGCAAATAAATATATTATTATTATATTATTATTATTATTCGATTGGTCGGCCAAGAAGCTCCTGTGGATGAAATGCAAGTTTTAGTTACATCAAAATCTTGCTACCCTTGATTTGCAAAAGCAGTTATTCAATGTCTCAATTGCCCTGTCAATAGTGTTGATGCCGAGAGGTACTTTAGTATCTACAACATTGTCGTAACTGATCGCAGGCAAACAATGAAAGATGAAAATGTAGAAATTAATACAATGCGAGCCTTTAATTGAGTTTTTAACACTGTATTTTTTTTTTGCGAAATAAATGCGAAATTTTCTATTTTGAGTTTTTAAAAATGCGAAATCACGATTTTTTATTTGCTTAATTTACGTACCCCTAATTATAATACTATTAAAAATTAAAAATACACTTAACATAACACTAACTTAACTATTAAAAATACACCTAACAGCCCATTTATTAAGGCTTTACTTTTAATAACATCAATTACTTTTTAAATTATTCAGTAAAAAATCGAATTCTGTCATGGTTGGAAGCCTACATCAAAATAGTTATTTATATAATGAGTTATTATCGACGCTGAGCCATATTACATTTTATAGTTTAAGTGTAAATGTTTCCATGAAATATTTTTAGATTCTGGTTTTTTATTTTGTACCTAAGTGGCAAAACAATCTAAAATATTATTTCTACATCTTGTTTCAGGTGGAAGAATTCATATATCCCTAACCTCACACCTTCTAAAAAGTATCCGGAATAACTTTTTAACAAAAGATATTCTGTTTGAGTAACAACGAGCATCATATGAGGATATTTTATATATTTATGACTTGGACGGCAAGTCGGGTCACACAAGAGCGTTACCCAATATAACTTCTCATCATGTTGCACTAAAAAAACAAAATGAAAGTGAAAACAGCCACACAAGTGCTCAGAGCACGTATAGGTGTATTGCTTAATTATACCGATGCTCTTCGTAAGTAGTATCTTCTATATCATCATTTTTATTTATAAAAGTAACCATTTTTTTAATTTGTGTACAATACCGATTTAAAAAAAAAATAGTTTTTTATTATTTTAATTCTGTCATATATTTCATGTCTTGGAATTTAAAAACTAATTGTAATTTAACAACAATGTTTTTGAAAGTGTATTATATCTCAGAGTAATCATAATAATATTTCAGATAAGCGGCTCAACAATCCATTACGAACAATGGAAGCTACTACAGCAGTGGCCACATCTTTTTAAGACCTGTTTGACAGTGTCAACGGATCTCCAGTAAAGGCAAATTACGTTGTGCCGTCAGGCCCACTTCACCACATTAAGCATTTTGGCAAAAATCCATTACGATATTAAAAAATATGAAATATATTGACACCAAGAGTAAATTGGCAATACACGCTGGTAAACCTAGAAATGTGCGCATTCCTAGAAGGATGGATAATTACATTGAAGAGTTTTCTTGGATTATCAAAATTATTATTCTCTGAATATGGGGTAGAATATTTTTATCCCTGGTTCTTAAACGAGGATCCCCTGGCAAATTTCTTTGGTCGCATGAGAGCCATGAATTATCGGAATAATACATTCATGTTCTCATTCAAATCGCTCGTTATTTCAAATATATTGAGCCCTCACTCAAAATTTTCAAATTGTGAAGAAGATGATGGTGACACGTTGATAGATTTTAATTATCTTTTTAAGCCCCAAAATAAAAATCATGACAATATTTCATTAGTTAACCCTTTATTTGCACCATCATCTTCAAAGTGGCCTTTGGAGACACTGAATTAGAAAAAAATGTGAATGAGAAAGTGAGGATTCAAATACCGGCCTATACCGCTGAATACATATGTCGAAAAATATAAAAAAAAAATTGTAATGCATGTGCAAAAACGTATATTTCTAAGGAAATCCAGGATATTCATTTATATATAAGTTATAGAGAATACAAAAGACTACAAAATAATAATTTGGCCTATCTAAATGAGAAAATTCTTCAATTGTATCTTCGATCAACAATAGCAACTAGATATCGGGTCGCGCACTTGAGACGTGAACTCTTAGTGCTCCCGCAGATATACAAGTGTAAGTTGGCCGACTAAATCGCAGAGTATAGTAATAGGTATAGTGACATATGCTAGCCCGCACATCTGCGCCAACTAAATTGTCCAACTAATTAATTGGATATCGACCGCATCAGAATCGAAATTCACTTCCGATTACGC